ACATTTAATAGAAAGGGAAAGAACAAATAAAGCTAAATATGAATTATGTACCATAATTCACCATAACCATAGGAACCAAAAGGTTAACGGTATATATTCTGATTTGACTTTCTGGAAAAAAAAACCCTGATTTACAAAGTTGGTTTCCTACCTTCTAGTTTTAATAGTGCATAATAAGTGTATGCTAATACATGTTCTGCTATGGAACACTAATTAGCTTAATGACATTTACTGCCTCCTGAAAACACCAGGCATTTCAGCAAGTGGTTTTAGGATCAAGAATTCATTATAACCTTTTGAATTCATTATGACCTTTTGATTAATTTATTTCTCTGTCTGGATTCACACTTTATTTGGTATAGTCAGGTAGGTTCTGAGTATTCAGTATAAACATAATGATGAACTGTTCCCCCAAAAATGACTATCCTGTTGGGCATTTAGAAATAAACTTGCCTGAGAATAATCTTTAATGCTGGAAGTTATAGAACAGCTATAGCACAGCATTTTGGCAGAATAAAAGACATAGTTCATAGTATTTGTGAACATCCTTCGTGTCTGTTTTCACAGTGCAGTCCTGTGCATGTTTACTTAGAAAAAAAGCCCGCTGTGTTCATTGAGACTTATCCTTTTGGAAATATGCATTCATCCCTGAAGTGTGTACTTACTTCTAAGTCCCATAAAGTTCTTGTGACTTAACTCTAAGTTGAGTGAGTATGGGGTTGCAGCTTTAGCATGTTTAAGGGTTAGTGAAACTTGGAAGATGTGTTCACTTGCTACAATTTGTTCATTTGAATGCGGTCAGGCCAGCATTATTTTTTTCTAATTAAGGTATGCCCAATTTGGTTTATTTTGACAAAAAAGAAAAGAATAAATTGTCAGAGGTATGACTTGCAACAGGTTATAGTATGCTGAAAGTTGTTGAATTTTAGTTCTGTGTTTCTCTAAGATTCAGACAGAATCCACTTGCATTTTCTAGCTTTAATCTGCTTTTTTGGCAGTGCTAGCAATCAGTTGGTATAATAGTTGCATCCATAGCCTTCCATGTATGCTTCTGAATCTACTGGGCTTCCTATAAGCATTTCATCAAGGAAATGATGGTCATCTGCTGGCCTCTGAAACAGAAAACTTTTCCAACTCTAACTCTATATAAGCTGTAGCAGACCTGCTGGGTGTCCTTTGCAAAGAAGGTTATTTTAATAACATGACAGCTATTATGATAGTCTTCCAAAATGTAGGAAGACAACTAGATGATAAAACATATGACTCTTCAGTGTCAATATACTAATGCTCAGTGTGGGAAACAAACAGCATGAACTTGAACTCTTACTCCAGGAAGGAAATTATGACTTGATAGTGTAACTGAAACCTGTTTGGGATGACTCCTATGATTGGAATTCAGCAATTGAACGATATAGCTTGTTCAGGAAGAAAAGAGGGACCAGAAGGAGACAGAGTCATGTATTAAAGATATGCATCTCTGCACATAAAGGAGGATGAATTTAGTAACTTCATCGAGATACTGGATTAAATTAAATGGAACAAAGAATAAAATGATCTTGTGGTTGGGGTCTACTATTGACCACCCAGTCAAGATGATGAGACTGAAAATACTGAAAAGCAATTTGCCAATATTTCAAACAGTAGTAATGTAGTAGTAGTAACAATGGACTTCAGTTTCCCTAGTATCTGTTGTGACCCCTTTGGGGAGTCTCCAGAACAAAGGAGGAAAGGGGCACACAGTATGAGGAAATTTACAAAGATAATTTTCTTTTTATTCAGGGAAGCTTGTTGGCTCCAACAGCCCTCTCTAAAAAAGAACAGCAGTGTTTCTGGAAGTCTTAATGTCTGGTGTGCCATTGCTGGACTAAATAATTAATAATGGTAAAAAATAGATTCTGCTGAAATTACGGGCTGGTTGACACATGCACATCAGGATTTCTCAGTATGAGTTGGTTGATAGCTGATTGTGTAAATCAGGACTTGGGAAACTCTGGGAAGTGCAGGGTACATGTTTCACTTAACAACTCTCTTCCTCAGCCGCAGAACAGTTTTTTAGAGATACATGTAGAGCACCAAAATGGTCAAACCACTTGTTTTAAAGTTAATGTCAGCCTTTTTGGTGCTCCATGGAGCTTTAAAAAGATTGAAAAAATGGCCACTCCAAATGCCATTTTAAAAAATTGCTTACCTTTTGGCAGCCAGGGGCATCATCTGTTGTCTACCTCTTGTATTGATCTCATAGTATCCTGCTTGCACAGAAGATCTGTGTCTCGGAGGTGATGGTCAAGGATAGCTCATTCCCATATAGTGTGATAAAGCAATTACCATCCACATGGAAATTAGCCCTAATTGTGGAGCCTGTTCCGATTAAGGAACAAGACTCATGCTGAGACCAGCCTGGTGCCAGCTCACATCAAATTTTGGTGCCGGGTAAAGACTGCTCTCCATGATAGGGCATTGGATTAGTTTTATATTATGTTGGTGCATTAGCAGGCCTTGTGATTTAATGTATATAAGGTATTGCAGCTTTTAAAAATTGTATTTTGAATCTTATATTGCATTTTTATAAGTTTATTGCTTTCTACTTTATATTGTCTTTTTGTTGTATTTTAAGTACCACTTATACTGTTGGATGTGACCTGTGGAGGATCCCTCTCCTTCCAGAGCAACATTTTGCAGGGTGATGTCGGTGATCCAAACATGGAATTCTTTTTTGCACACATGAACAATTTTTTGCATAGTCTGGTTGATATATTTTTTAAAGCATGTGTCATTTGCTCAGTCCTTGAAAGATAGAATCTTCTTTCTAATTCACCTGCTCAGACTATTCTAGTCCTGTTTTTATCCCCTGTCTTTCTATCTATAGGGTTGCTTATGATACTCATCAAACTATAAGGCTTGATGTTTAGACTGCTTAGTTTTGAAAGATCTACCTGCATTGGGTGCTCAGTGTCTCCTAAAAAACAAACCCTCGTGCCCAGTATAATATTAATATCATTTATGGAATCACTTGGCTGGAACTTCCAGAGAGAACTAAAATAGCAAGTTACAAATAGAAGCTTGTCAGCCTTAATGACTTCATACACAGAGTCACTTTACATGTTGTGATGTGTATCACATGGATCTGTTTATATTAATGTGACAATTTTGTCTTTCCAAATGATTCCCTGTGTTTGGTATTTGTTCATCATGGTTCAGTTATCCACAGATCTTTGCTCTACTTTAAGATAACAGAACTTGCCATTTAGAGGCTATTAGTACTGATCCATATTTGTTCATTTTCAATTGTTTTGCTCTACTGTGGTATCCTTGACCTTGTGTGGTTATAGTTCTTCATGCTAAAACAGTGTTGGGATAGAGTGTCTCACAGACGACTTTTGCTGTTCCTGGTTTGCCCATTGTTGTGTCTCATTGTGAATGAAAAAGGAAGCATACCTCATTATATTCTAAGAACGGAGCACAATAACTGCACAAAGAGGACAGAAGATAAAGGGGAAATGATGACTTGCCTGTCATTGCAGTGGGTCTGAAACCATTTCACCAGAGAGATAAAAATAATGCAGGCTCTTTCAAGTTCATTTCTCTAGTGAAGGAGGTTTTTCATGCTCAGCTTCTTCAGTGAGGGGAAGCTCTTGTCAGTTTCACACACGTGCTTTGCAGTCATTTCGGCAGTCCCTGACAGTGTCATTGTTCAACAAACAAAGTGAATCTTGCTTGAATCTTTTCATGGAGGAAGTGGTTGATCAAATGTAACTTCAGCTCGATCCTTTGTAGATAGTTCAAAACCTGGTTTCTGCTAGTAAGGTCTCATTTGTACTAGGTTGAATTCTGCCTTTGTGGCAAAATTCAGCTGTATGCTTAAATTCACCCACTAACACTGCAAAAAGCTGGAACTCAGCTAAGAAAACTTTTGCCTGCTGCAGATAACCTGGGAAAGCCCTTTGTGGAGATGACAACAAATTGAATGCTGGCAATATACGAAGTCTTGTTAGCTTCCCCTCCCCATCTTTGCCTTTTTACACACAATTCTCAAAGCTTAAGCACATGTTACATATATAGCTTCCACTATTTATCTTCCTATGACCACCATGTGCATTCGTTTGGGCAATCAGCTCTTTTCTAATGGGAATAAAACAAGTCCCACCAGTTCCTAAGGGAATAATGCAAATTACGGTTTCAAAATCAGAGTAGAAATTAAAGTTGCCTATCATGAGCTTTGTTGCGATGGAATGAGGCAGTTGCTGGGGTTATCACACTAATGGGTAATGCTGCCACTATCTGTTGGCAAAGCCTCAAAAGGATGTTACAGACACAAACTATTTCACTGGAGGCTGGGATATCCTGATCACAGGAAGTAGAAGTTGGCTAGAAGAAATTATGACTGGGGAAAGGAGAGGAAACAATGCCGCAATCCAAGGGGCAAGTGACAGGAGTGCAAATGTGTTACCACATAGCTGTGCCAGAAGGGTCCCTACAGAAAGCATGTGTGATGACTGGCTCCAAAGGCACTTCCCAGGGATAGGGTGTTTTCACTCTTGATGCAGCCTCCTGTGCTGTGCCATGCTGCTCCAGAATTATTTTCCAAATCGGCACAAGCAGATTTTGTCAGGACACAGTGAACCACAGAGAGGAGGATGGAGAGGTCCCATTTTGTCTGCTCTGTTCACAGTGTGGAATTAGGATCCAAATGATGGTGGTCCCCAGTGAAGAGAAAGGGAATGTGTATTACGGCTCACTTTCCCTCTTATAAAAATAAATAGCAGGGATGGATGGGGGAATCCAGTTGGAATTGCAGCACTGAGGAAGTGGGCGTTCAGCCATGTAAAATTGATCTGCCACTCCCACTACCAAAGCTGCCAGTTGAACACTTTTGTGGTTCCTGAAGTGCTTTGTAGCAGATTGATACACACATACTTCATGTCTTCAAACTGTATTCTGGCATGGAGAGTGAATGATACTTGATGTTAGCTGAGCAAGCATAATTTTGTTTGTGATTTCAGGTTGATACTCATATCCATGCTGCTGCCTGCATGAATCAGAAACACTTGCTGAGGTTCATTAAGCACACGTACCAAACGGAGCCAAACAGGATCGTGGGGGAGAGGAAGGGCAAGAAGATAACTTTGAAGCAGCTGTTTGAAAGTCTTCATATGGATCCCTATTATCTCACCGTAGATTCATTAGATGTCCACGCAGTAAGTACATTTTAACCAATGAATGGAATAGGAAATGAAGATCAGAATTTTGTAAATAGGCCAAGTATTGGAAGGGGGGTATTTTTCTCTGTGTATTTCATGAAATATCTTTATTAGCTGATAATTCTGAATAAAAACTTGACTTAGCATGTTTTACAAGGAGATAAAGCAAACCTGTATTGCAATACAATGGATTGGATCCAGAATAGCAGGGCAATTTTGGCCCACTGTTCTTCCCTCTGCAGCCCCAGTGTCACCTCCCTCACTGTTATGCAGTGTCCCTGACCCTTCAGCTCAGATTTTCAGGGAACTGCATGGGGATGGAGGAATTTGTGAAAGTTATCTGCCCACGTATCCCTGTTTAGCCAGTGGAAATGCTGAGAAGGAGCAAAGCCTCAGGCTAACAGAAGGAGCCCCTCTATCAGTGGGAGGCTTTTGATGGATCTGTCCTTATCACTTATTAATATGTGGCTGCTTAAAAACTGGTAATTCACTTTCTGTTATTGGATAAGTGTTTTTTTCCCCTTTCTCAGGATCGCCAGACATTTCACCGGTTTGATAAATTTAACTCCAAATATAATCCAGTTGGTGCAAGTGAACTGAGGGACTTGTATTTGAAAACAGAAAACTATCTTGGTGGCGAATACTTTGCCCGCATGGTGAAGGTAAGCAGCGTTTGTATCACACAGAAACAGGTCTTAGAGTCATCTGAAAGAAATGAAGCAGCATGAAATCTATTACTTGCAGTATGTATCACAGAACCTAGGAAAAGCCGAACCCTCCAAGCATCCCAGTTTGGAGATTTTGTGTGCTGTCTGCATCAGTATAAGCCAGATCTGTTCTTTCACGGTTACTGATTGAAACACCAGGCTCTGCTATTGTGAATGGATAGAAAGCATCAGGTGATTGCATGTCAGCGCTCAGGTTTTCATTCCAGATATATGTATAAATCATTCTCAGCCAGAGGGAAAAATGCAACTAACCAAGAATTGGATCCATACAGGCTGCAAATTGTCCTTGTGACAAACTAAAAGGATTGCACTTTTTTGCTTCTGTGTTATGGACCTTTCTATAGGAGGCATTTATTGTATACTTAATGATTCCTTTCTCACCACTGAGTATGGATTCTTTGAACAATGTTGTGATCCTCTTGGCCACTCCCCACTTTTAAGAACACTTTCTCAGGTTTATTTTAGAGTGTAGGAAAATGGGGTGGTATTGCTTAAAGCGAAAGAAGAGATATTGTCCTACTGCTCTGTGGGATTCCAGCACAGCACCACCTAGAGGTTTTGGAGCAGGAAAGATGTACTGCCAGCATCTTAACTGCTTCATTCACTGAGCACTTGAAACATTTCATGCCATCACACCTTTCAATGAACCATACCAGTGTCTTCACTGCCACAAAGCATTACATTGCAGATTTTCTTCCAGCATTGAAACTCTTTTGTTGCTGGATTATTCTTCATTCTGTCTTCCTCATGTTTGTGGAGAATTGATGAAGAAACCCAGCAAATGTTGAGGATGGATAAGTGGAACTTCTTCTTTACACAATAGAGCTAAACCATAGAATTCACTACCGCAAGATTTAGGGAGGGCCACCAACTAAGATGGCTTCAAGAGGCGATTAGACAAATTCCTGGACGAAAGGGCCACAATGGCTGCTGGTCCTGATGTCCATATGCCGCCTCAGGTACAAGAAGCAGCAAGCCCATGTGCCTCAGTTGCTGGAGAATGCAAGCGGGAGGATGCAGTTTTTATAGGCATCCAGTTGGACCCTGTGCAAACAACATACTGGGTTAGATGGCCCTTTGGTCTCACCTGTCCAGCTCAGCTTCTGTTCTTTGGTCACTTTGGATTACTTACAGGAAGGAACTGCTACATCAAGACAGGCGCTACTCTTCCTTTTGAGGGCTTGTCTCGTCTTTCACCTGGGAATTTCATCAACTATTTTTTGCTGGCCTTTTCTCCTGGAGCTTTTGTCTACTCCCTTGGCTACAATTTATAGGTGTGGTATGGTTATACTTTCTTTGCTAGACGATATCTTTTTTTATTCAACAGCATCACAAGAATTGCATAGGAAGAACTTCTGTGCACAGACCATAGTTCTGTGTAGCGCCTTCCTGGCTACTTTGCAGCATCTCTCATAGGTCTCAGGCAGACATATTTTCCCACCCTGTTGTCATCAGTGACTCTCTTTAAATCATAGTCATCATGAAATTTCTTTGGGGAAATGGCATTTCTAGCCCTACCTTTATGTAGATTGCAGATTAATACTTTCTCATGAACTCTAAATGTGCCAAGTATGGAGGGAAGTAATCAAAACCATCACTATGTAAGAACTACTATAAAAAGTAAAATTTTGCATCTAAACATTTCAGTATTGCAAAGTTAGGGTTACAAATACAGATGCTGGGATCAGAATGCTTGGCTATCCTTGAATTATATAAATATTTGTCTAAAACCTGTATCTTGTTTAGAATGTTGAATGGAAAAAATCTGGATGTAATGCTGCTTACCCTGTGTCACTGGTTATGATTAAACTGGGAAAAGGAGCATAAAAACACACTATAATATTTTGCAGAGTATTTTACAAATAGTGATGTAAGATACAATGGAAGAGTGCTATTAATAATTCCTAATACATTTATTTCTCTTGCTTAGAAATGTAATGGGAGATTGTTAATCTTTAACTTGGAAATTAAGCCCATTTAGATGCCATTTAGAACTCTTAACCACAATAGAAGGTTCCACTGAGAATGGGAAATAGATGCATTGCATCTTTGTGAAGTACAGTTGTCTGAAATGCCTCATGCTGAAAATGACTGGATGCAATATCAATTTGCAGGTGCAATTTAGACAAAAGGGTTAAATTTAAACAAGTTTAATTTCAAATTAAGAAGACCAAACTTGGAGTGATAATTGGATGGAGACAATTTTATTTAGACTACTGCCCACACATCTAGTTTGAACCTTGGCTAGAAAAAAAGGATTGTTTCATGAGGAACAGTGGTGGGGGAAGTATTCTGCAAGCAAGATATGTTGCAGTGCAACGGTGGACTGATTTCAGGGCTTTCCCACATGGTCCACTTTCCCAAACCTTCCTGTATTGCATCACAAAAAGAATGTTTCTGTTTATGGAGTTTGCTGAGCCCCTTTTAATAGTGAGTGACTTATGTGTTTGGACAAGTCAGAAAAATGTTTTTCTGGACATGGTTAAATCTATAAGTACACCTCAAGGTTCTCTTATTCTGAGGTAAAGTTTCTGGGGGAAATACAATATATAAAAGTATTGCCAATGCTGTAAACTACTGATCTCAATGGGCATTTTTCCAGATTAAGATCTGTGTGTAAGCTTTGTTATAAGAGAAGTTCTTCTTAGCAGAAAAGTAATAATGATTTGTTTTGAATAGGAAGTTGCTCGTGAACTAGAAGAAAGTAAATACCAGTACACAGAACCTCGACTGTCTATTTATGGACGTTCCCCTGATGAATGGGAGAATTTGGCCAAATGGTTCATTAGACACAGAGTTTATTCACCTCATATGCGCTGGATAATTCAGGTTCCTAGAATCTAGTAAGTAAACACACACACACACACATATAACTTGCAGCTTCTCTTTCCCATTCTCTATTTTTCTATTTGGCTGGTTATGTTTAAGTATTGAAAGTGGGACCAGACTGCCTCAAGCCAAAAGCAATGAGCAAGTGATTCCTTCTGTCCTGTGGCCATTGTGAAGTAGTCTTGCATTATGGCAGCTACACCATATCCTGACAGTGATGCAAACAGGACCATACTGAACAGCTTCGTGTTGACAGGCTAAAGGTGATGTTGCGGGCTGCTGCTGCCCCATGTCTTCTCTCTGCATTTCCTGGGAATGCTTAGCTGAAGCTGACTCCCGAGGTGATGCCATCAGCCTCTGGATTTCCCTGCAGTGGCTAATGAAGGGGGGTTAGGCATGGGGAAGTGCTGGGATCACATCCTCTATCAGGATAGGCACCCGTTTGGGGTCTGTGGGTGCCCTTGGCAACTTGGGAAACTGTTCAGGACAGCATCGCTAAAGGGCTGCCATGAGAGGCATGGCAAAGAACAAGAAACCTGCTAGGATGGTCTGAGCTGTAGTACATTATTCACTGGAACAGACAGTTTCCATCACCAATGGAAGCCTGCTTCACAACAGTCCCAGCTGCTCATGGAAAAATGGGCTAATCTAATAAGTTTTAAAAGTGGAAGATGTAACACACTTTGGCAGGCAACAAAAAAGGTGCCCAGGGTGCTTTGGAGCCCATGAGCCCCATGTGGCCTACCACCTCATACGCAATATGTGGAAACTACCACATTTGAACCAAGTTGAGCATATTCCTATTCCCCGTCTACATCCTTGGTGAGCACTTTCATGAAACTGTCCTAAGGGGGGTTTCACACTTGCAAACTTGTATAGAAAAAGTGCTTTAGTTTCCTGTGACTGAATTACTGTGCATTGGCATCACATGTGAACGATACATATCTCTTTAATGGCTAATAATCAATATTTTAAATGCTTTCAGTGTGGAACTTTGGGCCTTGAACTTTCTTCTATCACCAGAATTGATGCAGGAAAATCTGTGTGCCCCATTAACAATCAGCTGGCAGTCCATCTATGCTTCGTTGTTGGTTTTTAATGAGTGCTAGTTCCTTGGGACCTCTTTAAACTTAGATACAAGTTTTAAAAGGCACATTTGGTCCTGGGAATGACCAGCATGTTTTGAATACATAGAAGTAAAGTGAAACTAAAAAGCACTGTCATTGGAAGTTCAGCCTTGAGATAGAGAGGAACACAAGTGACCAACAGCTGTCTCATCACCTGGTGTAAAAAATCCCTCAGTGCGTAAGTGCCTTTCCCGTCACCCCAAAGCAGCAATGAGAGCAGCTAGTGTATCAGTGCTGACATGGGGTCAGCTTCCAGCGTCTGAGCTCAAATGCTGGATTCTTTTAAAGTGATAGACCGATGAATGCATAGGATTCAATTCTCAGTAACCTTCCGCATTTTCTTCTAAGCGGCCCCAATGCCAGCACCCAGCACGACGGGGTAAATGCTGGAAGGGCAGCTTGTGTGACTCAGCTGGATGGTAGGTGCACTAAGCTGTGTTTCAGACCCAGCTCAGCATGCGTGCCATGTCTGGCGCCACCCAGTGAATCACTCCAGTCCAGTCACTGGCATGTTGGGGCTGGTGTCAGTGCTGAGCTTTGTGTGGCGTTTCAGGCCAGCCTCACCAGCCGGGGAGGTGAGGCATCTGGGCAACTTGCCAAGGCCACCCCAAGCCTCCGCCCTGGAGCTAAGCATCCTTTTAAGGCTAAACTCAAACAAAGCATACTTGACATGATGCTATTTATAAAATGCAGATTGTGAATTATTGTATTCATGGTTTGCAATAGCTGGATTAAAGTCTAGCTCCAGACTAGCAGTGGAATCAGTTTACACTGGGCTTAATATAAGAAATATATGACCACAGACTGAAAAAACAAATTTCCATTCATGTTTTCTAGGCTTCAGCCCTATATGCACTTACCTGGGAGTAGATCTCATTAAACGTGATGAGATTTAGATCTGAATGGGTATACACAAGATTATGGCATTAGAGGCATGCAGTAAACTTAACTATAAATGTTTGCATTTGTACATAGGACAGCTTTGGTTTATTTACTAGAAAGTCTACTGCATGACCAGCATTCTTTGTCCTTGTGGAGCTGACAGATTGGTTTACAAAGTACTGCATGTCTCTGTGTGTCACATTACTACTTTCTGGGAAAGCAAGTTACTATCCTTAATTGTCCTATTCAGCATAACGCAAACAGGCATGAGTGTCGTATTGGTCACTCAGGTTAAAACTGGCAAAAGAGAGATCTCAGGGCTGAATTGCAGACAAGGCCACTGGCTCAGTTCACAGAATCTCAGAAAGGAAACAAGCTATGGTGGCTTTTTCTATCTCTCCTTCCATGCTCGCACGCATGGGCCAGTTGCAGGCTGCGTGGATTTGAGTAATTGCCCCTGGGCAGCATGCCTTGTCATGTCATGCAAACACAGACAGAGTGGCCTGTTACTGTGGTTTACAAGCTACTGAGAACCCTCCAAGTGCCCATGAGATCTGGGTGGTTTGATATCTATGGCAGTAAGCCACCCTGGCCAGATCACTGCCTGATCCCCTCTTTTTTCTGCAAAGCTGGGGAGGGAAATAAAATAGGATTTTGTTTCATTCTAGCAGATTCTCCACTTGCTATTATGTGCAAACCTGGATTTGTGATTTAAAATCAAATCTAGCCAATTTTCTTAGCCAATCTAAGAAAACTTAATACAGTGGGCTGTTGTTGTACTTTGCTTAGCATGTTCCTGTACTGAGCTACAAACCCAGTGTTTACTAAAGCAACCCCAAAATCCTCCTCCCAGTTCTGTGGGAGATGCAGAATTTGTGAGCCTGGCACTACATGCAGGTTTGTTCGTATGCATAACCCTGCATTATGTTTACCACTATGTATGAATGCTGCCTATTTCTAGAAAACAAATTCCTGTGCATTTAGACTATGAGAAGCAAAATAACTCTCATCCAGCCTCTTTTATTTGTTTTTACTGATTGAATTTAAAAGTGTTGTCCTTTATATAATAAAGAACAAAACAGCAGCAGAAGGACATCAACCCAAAATAATTATACAGTGCAATCAAAAGTGTATATTATCAGCATTCAGTCAACTCTTATAAGCTAACATTTCTGTCCAAATAACATTTCTTGAGCTGTCTGAAATTATGTCTGCTGAGTTAGGTTAAGGCAGATGGGACCAAAGCCTGCAGGTAATTCCTAGAGCATCTTGGCTTCCCAAGGCAGGTGCACGATATATAAGGCATTGCTTCAGCTTGCACCCCTCTTTTACCTGCTACAGTAAGACAAAACACATTTGGTTTGATGAAATAAAGTAGTCACTGTGGCACAACTAGAATATGTAGGGTGTCTGGAAGAAGGAAACACATTCAAATTTCCACTTAGCTATAAAGGTCTCCAGAAAGGCCTCCTTTGCCTGGGAAGTCCCAGTTACACTATTACTCCCCCCAAATACTGGTGCTGTGCTGCATGACAGAGGCCTGGAGAAGAACAGGTTGCTGGATACCCACATGCATGTTCTGGGCACATTGTGGCACACTCAGACCGTGGGAGCACATAGTTGCTTCAGGGGTTTGGCAGGAGGAGGTGAGAAGGTGGAGGAGAAGGCTTGCCTGGGAGTGCGACAAATAGCTGAGCAGAATAGGATAGATCATATCCCAAGAAAGCTGAATAAAGTTATCCTTAAGATGTTTCTTTCTTTTAGTGATATATTTAGGTCAAAAAATATTCTGCCTAATTTTGGGACAATGCTGCGAAACATCTTCTTACCCCTGTTTGAGGCAACCATCAACCCCTTAGACCATAAAGAGCTGCACCTCTTCCTTAAATATGTGAGTATATGAACAGTCCATTTCCATGGGTGCATGAATTCAGGGATTCCGTTGTCATCATCTGGACATTGTAACTCTTTTTGTGTTTTTTCCTATCCACGTGATTCTGCTGCTCACCTGTAAAATGAAAATGTTTGGGCAACACCAGGTCAAATGAATTCTTCTAAACTGGAGGGAGTGGTCTGAGCAATATTTCCTGTGCACAAGGTATCAGTCCATGGCCCGCCACTGAGATAGCAAAACCAGAATAAATTCTGCAAAATAAACAATCTGTGCAAACGGCATTGTTTATACAGGTAGCTTTTTCCTTTGTGCAGAATTTTAGCTATCTCAGCATGGAGCTTTTATTTTTTTGTATAGATTAGAACCCTGCTTCTTTTCTACCTTGCTCCAGAATCAGCCCTCCTAATTAAATGCATAGGTCCTTAGAGAAATGCAGGTGTACAGCAGTAGATTTGAAGAGCATTACTGTGTCCAGCTATCTTTCCAGACTTATGTGCCCATCAAATGGGCAATATTTTTATTTATTTATTTATTTTATGAAAACATTTTTATGCCGCCCCATTCGCCGAAGATATTGCATCCCCCAAATAGGTAGGTGATTGGGGCTGCTTGGCCACATACACAATTTGCAGCTCAGTAACATCCGTGCCTGTTACAGAGTGCTGTGTTCTGTGTGTGCACAGGAACGAAGGAGCTACTGTACCTTTTTGCTCATGTGATTCCTGATCCAGGTGTGAGCGTGTATGTAAGCCTGGATCTCAGGGTGCTGGGTGAATATGCATGAACATTTTGCACAGGGAATAGTCATCAGTGGTTCAGCTAATTTCTGAAGCAGCCTCAAGGCTTCCACCACAACTTAAGGTAGCTTTAGCTTTTTAGATAATTTACAGTATAGTGAAACCACCTTCTGTGGTTAATATAACAAAAAGAGCTTTCAAGTGCACAGTAGAAGGACTGGGATTAAGCCTTCCGCATCTGGAGTAGGTTAAAAGGTGTTTCTATATTACTCTTACCTTTGGTCTTTCTTAACGATCTGCAACATGTTGTAGGTAAGAGAATGTAGCTATCGTCTATGAGTCACCAATTATACTGTGGTGAACTAAAACTATACTTGTACTGAAAGTGTTTTTGCTCAAAACATAATTATAAAAATTCCCTGTCTGTCAAAAGCAATGTTTACATTCACTTGTCAATAAGAGGGGTAGTACTATTTGAGTATTATCAATTTAAATTTGAATTGCAGTATTTTAAATGAAGAACTGCAGAGTCATTTTAAAAGCATTGTTGGATGACAAAGTGAAGAAATAGAAGGGCTTTTATTGGAGACCTGGGCTTGAATCTAGCATGCAAGTTTTGCCACTGGAAGGATGCCACTAATGGAATGGGACCTCCACCTCCTCTCCTTGCCCCAGCAGTCCCCGCTGAGCCCTCCAAATCTGCTGTGGTATCCACCAGCTGGCAGAATGGTGCTGCTGGTTCCTAAGCCCTGTTCTGTGGCATTCTGTATGGCAGAATAGCTTCCTAGTAAAATGCTACAATTTTTGTATTTGCAGTACATGCAATATATGAAGCTGAATTGCTGTCAGTCAGTGGGATACCGGTGGACCCACCAAAACTTGACTTTTGATGCACAGCTTCCAAATGAGCACAGGGCCTCAAATAGATCCTTTCCAAGAAAAACTTTTAATGTACAAAGTACTTCCCAACATTGTCCTTGATCATCCACAATTCTTCTCTTTTTAGATTATTTCAATTTATCCCCCGCTTTTTTTACACATGGCACTCAAAGTAACTAACAACGGGAACACAAGTAAAAATGCATAACCATGTAAAAGTGGAAGGAATGAGCAGATAGAGCGCCAGAATGTTAAAAGTTCATGAAGTATGAAATAATAGCCATAATCAGTGCTGCGGTATTTTACTTCTGTCTCTAAAGGCAACGTAATATCCAGCACATCCTGTGTGTGGCATTTGGTTTTTATTTCTTAGGACCTGCAACGTGTGGTCAATTCTTACATAACTACTGTGTGTGTGTGTGTGTGTGTGTGTGTGTGTGTGTGTGTGTGTGTTTTATAGAATAATGTTAATTTCCTCTAGCAGAAGGAAATAACTCCCTCTGCTGATGAAAAGGTTAAATGCTTAAAGGTTCCTGATTCTACCAGCTCTGGTAGGCATGCTGGGTGGTTTGGCACATTACCACGCTGTGTCCATTGTAGGCCCTGTGTGTATGAAAGAGGGGCTGCTGTGCCTTTCCATGGGGCCCTCTTACTGGTGTCTCTGCCTTGGCTGGCTGCTCTTCGCTCTTGCTGGGTTCTCCTCTGATGTGATGTAGGAGCAGCTGCAGAGCAACTCTTACTCATGCTGTAGTGCTGGAAAAGGTTCAGAAAAGCAAAGCAAAATGATCAAGGGGCTGGAACAGCTCTCTAGCAAGAGAAGATTCCGATGTCTGGGATTGCTTGGCTGAGAAAAGGGAGATAGGATGGAGGTGTGCAAACTGACACACAGAGGGGAGAAAATGGACAGTGGGTGGGGTGGGGTGGGGCTTCTTCGACCATAATACTAGAACCTGTGGTAATCCCGTGAAAGGAATGGTGGGAGATTCCAGACAGATAAAAAGAGGCAATTCTTCACACAAAGTTGAGTCCAACTTGATTGCTCCGCCACTGCAGTGATGGCCTCTGATTTGGATGGTGTTGAAAGAGCTTAGACGAATTAATGGAGAGTACTACTCCTTACGGCTATATGATCCCTCCAGTGTCAGAAGCAGTATCCTCTAGATACATGCCAGTTGCTGGGAACATTGGTGCCAGTGCTACATTGGGACTTCCCTTAGGCAGCTGGTTGGCCACTGCTTAACAGAAGGCTGGATTAAATGGACCGTCGTTCTGATCCAGGGGAGATTTTCTTACATCCATTCTGCACGGATGGCATCATATGCTGGTAGGAACTTGCTCCCCCTATTCCACTGTTGTCCCACTTGTCAGGAGGGATGGGACTGGCATTGGAAGGAGCCATTGCATGGGCTTCTCCTGTGTTGCCTCACTGGGGACCTCTGACAACATCTGCATGGTGTGGGAAATAGAAGTGCCGGGACAGCAATCAGCTCAGCAGGGTTCCTAGATTCCAACCAAATGTGGGATATTTTTGGGCCATATTCATCTCCTCTGGACCCCCTGCCCTCCTGGGTAGCAGCATGAGAGCAGGGACTGTGCAGTTCAGGTGGTCTCTGCAAACAGGAAAAACAAATATGAGACTGGAAAAGAGCCCCCCCCATCCCCCAGCCAAAAAAAGGAAAAACAAAATTAACCTCCCCACTCCTGAGTTGCCGCGCACATAAGCCTGTATCTGTCTCATGGTCTGTCTTCTGAATATATCTTAAATTTCTATGAATGATGTAGATATTCTGGAACTGTTACCAGGATTATTCAATCCTTTAAAAAAAACTTTACAGGAAAGGAGTTGAATTAAAAAGAAACCTGGTAGGTGGAATTTCAGCTGTGTAGGAATCAGTGTACCTTTTCACTATTGGGGACTTTTAATATTTTGTTACTCAGGTTGACATTCATTCACACCCAACTCTGTTTATGTTGGATTCCTAGGTGACAGGATTTGATAGTGTGGATGATGAATCCAAGCATAGTGACCACATGTTCTCAGAGAAGAGCCCAAATCCTGATGCCTGGACTAGTGAAAAAAATCCTCCATATAGTTATTATTTGTATTACATGTATGCAAACATCATGCTTCTCAACAATCTTCGAAAGTAAGTAGTCATGTTTACAAGTTCATGTCTCTATTTAAGAAAGATACAGGCTAGACTTTGAAGTTGGGCTTAGATTAAACTGTATCCATTTAATTAGGAGAGTATTTACGATCTTTTTGGAGCTGTTCTTTCCATTCTATTCTTGATTCTGCTCCTAAGGCTGTGGAAATGGAGGAAATATGTGTGCAAAAAAGTGGACACATTTCCCCGGACTGAAAAGCCTGTTCCAGGAGCTATGATGGTGCACGTCCGGTCCTTGACTCAGCTTCTGTACAGAACTCCTCTCCCTTGGGAGTAGGGCAAAAAGAAGAAAGCCTAAATCCACTCCACCCCATCCTGCCTCCGTACCTTTAAATCAGCCCTTCCCAGCTTTGGGGGTCTTTGCTGTTGTGGGTATATAATGGATCCTTGGTCATTGGCCATGCCAGCAGGGGATGATGGAAATTGGGAGCTTCAGTGTAGAGAATACTGTTCGAGCTGACTGGCTGGTGCGAACATACTACACTGGTCCTTCATCAGCTTCATTGGCTCCCTGTTCCAGTCTGGGCACACTTCAAAGTGTTGTCTTTGGCAGATAAAGCCCTAAACAGCTTGGGACCAGGGTACCACAAGGAGTGCCTTTCTCCATATATTCTGACCCACCCACTTAGATCCTCTTCAGAAGTCCTCCTCCAAATGCCCTCTCCTATTGAGATCAAAGGCGAAAGGGCCAGGAGGAAGGCGTTCTCAGCTGTAGCACCTAGACTCTGGAATTCACTTCCCAGGGATATACGGCTGGTGCCAACTCTTCTTTCTTCTAGGCACCAGGTGAAAACGTTTTTATTTAAACGAGTTATTGGTTAATTTAATTTAATTTACTTTAATACTTTATATTTTGTTATGGATTGTTTAATTTAATTTAATTTTGGTTAACTTAATTGGCTGTGCTTATTGGTGTGTCCACGTACATTTTATTATGTGATGTTATTTGTTATTTTATTGTTTTATCTATTTTATCAGATTATCACTTGTTTTACTACATTTTATCTATGTTTTGCTGTTTAGTCTTCGTAAGCTGCCCAGAGTACCTTCAGGTTATGGGGTGACATAGAAATGAAATAAATGCATGCACAGCTCTGGCTCTTAGAACAGACTTTGGAGAAACCAGCATTTAGCATATTTTCATGCATGCAGTTCCTTTTGCTGGCTGGGAAGAAAATAACTTTCTGGACATATGTAGCCCAATCATTACTTTGAATATTAACACGCTTTTTGAAAACCTGCAATAGCCTTTGCAAGATTTAGCATTTCAAGTAGTATCTGGAGAAGTCCCAACTGGCTTTCATCAGTGTTAGCTAATATTTTTGCAGCAGATGTGCACCTGTTGTCACACATATAGACTGTGACACATATAGAATTGTGCTTGTGACATCATATTCTTCTCTATCTTGCCTGGAACAGTTTTGAAAGCTTCAATATGTAGTGAAAGATAGGTTGCATGTCCATTTTCCTACATAGGCTTTTGTATGGCTTTAAACAACTAGTACAAAGCACCCTGGGTGCTCTCAGAAAATGTCGTACTGTTTTTAATAGCATTTTAAAATCAAGGTTTTGTTGAACGTCGTGTACTCAACACTTTTTTTTAGTGTTCTCCTTAAGAATAAAATTACAGTTCAATACCTAGTGAATACACAACCCCGTTGCTTTGTATGTGAATGAAACTGCCTCAGTTAAGAAGTATGAAACAGGAAAATGAAGCAGACAAATCCCTCTGCTGTGTTGCGTTTGCTCTAAAGGTACCACTGCTGGGCCAGGGCGGCGGTGGCGGCTGCAATAGATGCTAAAAAAAGTTCCCTCTGTTGTCCCATAGAAATGATATCTGGTCCTCTGACTGAGTCATCACATGACCTGAGCTATGTCACATGGCTGGGCTGCAGTTATACACTTCCTATGGAGTAAATCCAGTGTCCTGGCCTGGCCCAAGACATCTTGCTGACTGAGGCAAAGCAGTGACTGCTGCTGCTTTCCCCATCATGTTGTTAGTCTCCAAGGCCAAACAAGTCATTCGCCTGAGCTAGACAGTTCCAGAAGTCCCACAGCCCTGCCTCCCTGGTGGTAAAGATCCAGTGAAAATAAATTAAGTAACTAACAATTTGCTAACTTTTTATGACATCCAAGCCAGCTTGTCTCATTGTGCCTATTGGGTGGACCAGCATTGTAGTGTGGGAATCAATAGGACTGGGCCTCACATCTGTGTCTCAACTCATTTGCTCTCTTAGATACAAACTGCATGCCTGTCAGGTTGGAGTTATGAGTTAATATAATAAATATTACCCTAATTATTGAGAAATCAAGATGCATAATGGGCAGATATTTCAATTAGATTTATTTTAAATTGCTGTAGAGAACGATGTATGAGCACCTTCCTGTTTCGGCCACATTGTGGAGAAGCTGGATCGATCACACACCTGGTATCAGCCTTTCTAACAGCAGACAACATTTCCCATGGATTACTCCTGAAGAAGGTACAGCACTAGAGACAGCCTGAATTAAGCATCCCTGATGCACATGCTTGGACAGAGAAAAAGCCCTACAACTTCCAGCATATTCAGCCAGTATAGCTGTTTGAAGCACATGGGGAATTGAAGGAGTTTCTTCTGTCTAAACATGCAAAGGATTGCAGTATAGGGTAACTGTCCTACATGCATTTCATAGGAACAATTCTGACTAAGCTCTGTCTGACTTACCTCAAATTTGGGTTGAGGTGCATATCTCGTTGCTTTTGGTGAGCTTGAGTACATGCTTAATTTTCTGTGATGGCAACCAGTGTTTGATTTTAGAGTTTCATTTTAGCTGAATCATGCTTTTGGTTTGTCCAACATTGTCCTCTGGGTGGCAGACCTGGGTCGATATAATTCTGCTCGTAAGACTTCTGATTTAGGGATTTTAGATACTGAAAGAGCTTAACTGTGTGCCCCTTAGGGGAATAAACTTGGGCTTGTTGTTCCGCTAATAAGATCTGTCTGGCCACCTTTTCCCACAAGAATAGACTTTGAGTTCAGTCATTCAGACAATTTTCTCTTTCTCAGTACTCAGCCATCTGCTGACCTTCTGTATTAATTTATTCATGCACTGTTTCCTATCTTCTTCCTAGGTTATATCTAAAAATGCACAGTCTACAAGGAAAATGTGATTTCAATTATATATACTAATCCATGCTGTGGTCACAAAATGTGAAACCATTGCTTTGTTGATTTTTACCACCCAGAGAGCTACAGCTCTTGTGTGGTGTAGAAATTAAACAAACAAGAAATAATAATTGTCAAAGATTTTCCTTGTTCACTGCCTGTTGGATTTTGAGGGGTTGGATGGTGCTACATTGTCACATATGACAGAACCCTTTTTATATTTCTCAACTAAACCATTTTTCAATATTTCAAGACTCAATTCTTTTTTCATAATAAAAATCTATTTACAATATATCCTTGTAAAATGTCCAAAATAACAGCACAAAGGCAACTTACGCAATTTCTGTGAGTAAGGGGAGGGTTAAAATGTTCCCATAATGATTGAAGTTGAATGCTTTCCATTTCCTCTGACTATCTCCCTTCCTGTTATCTCTGTACCAATGAATAATGGCTCTTTCTGTTGTTTTTGTACAGAGTCCAGTCCTCCAGTATCTGTACTATCTTGCACAAATCCCCATTGCCATGTCCCCCCTTAGCAACAACAGTCTGTTCCTGGAGTATTCCAAAAACCCTCTTCGAGAATTTCTACACAAGGGACTCCATGTTTCCCTTTCTACAGATGACCCTATGCAATTCCACTATACAAAGGTAATTTGTACAAAAGTAACTTTGGAAATTCATTTCATGTTACATTGACTTAATTTAACTATGTTTCCAGCTAATGCAAAATAAACAGCCCTATTACAAGTAGGTTTCCTTGGAAGTAAATTCTGCCGTGTTCAGTGAGGTTTCTGTTGGCTTGTGTGGATGGAATTACAGTCCCAGTCTAATAATCAGTTATTTTGTGTTTAAATCATAAGCACTGAATACTTGATAATACGGATTGCATGTTCTCTGCTGAGCACAAGATGTGCTTCTGGAGTGTTTCTTCAGCTGCCCCTGCAATGTGAAATGTGCCAGGTAGCGACTGAGTGGGGGTCGTCCCGCTTGTGCATCTTGGCGGTGGAATCCTTTCTCCAAAGAGGCTCTCCTAATACTTGGACGCTAATGTCCTTTCAGCACCAAGCAATGCCCTCTTGATTTTCTCACGCCGTTTCAGTCTGCCCCACAAGATCTAATCTCTTTCCCACTTGTTTTTGTTCCTTTTGATCTTTTAATGATGACATCTTTTCATGTACATATCTTTCCTTTGAATTTATTCAGATAGCTTTATTCATGTAAGCGACCTGAGAACTTGGTTACAGGCAACATATAAATGCCTAAAAAACAAATATCAAACACAGTGTGGTGAGAATTAGCAGTCCAGGACTGTGAGGGATCACAAAGTATTTTGTGCGTTCTCTGCCAGTCTTTTTAGAGAATCTCAGCTACGTTTTTCAATAAATAAAATTTATAGATCTTGAGATGTTTGACTATGTACAAGGATGTCCATGACTCACCTTTGACTTGCTCACTAAGTACTGGATAGTTGTCTTGACTGATTTTATTTACTTTTAATAAGTGTCTTTAGTAAATCATAAATGCATATGTATATGTCTAGTAATTTGTATCTTATACATATTTGAAGGAAGCACTGATGGAGGAATATGCCATTGCAGCTCAAGTGTGGAAACTTAGCACTTGTGACCTGTGTGAAATAGCGAGGAATAGTGTACTACAGAGCGGTTTGTCACACAAGGTAAATTTTATTTGATAAAGAAAATGCTGCGCTGCATATGAGTTCTTTTTGTGCGCAAGGGGCACGTTACATTGCATTATATTTAATGCATTTAGATGTGCCTGTTTTCTCTTTAAAAAGAAGAGCTATCAGAGGAGCCACAGGGATTGGGATGGGATTGTTGTTAAGCAGTGGCAGCTTCCCTCTCGGAGCAAGTGGCAGCCTCTTTTCATCAGGGTGAGGGGAAATGGCTACATGTCTCTCCTCAGGTGCTGCAGTCCTGATACAGATGAGCCCCTGCTGTGGTCATTTCTTCCAGAAAAGGAATCATGGATTTGTTATATGTGCTTGCACATTTAGCATAACCATCTAGGTTTGCCTGGGTGCTCTGAAGGCTGAAGGGGAAGCAATTGGCAGGGTGTCTTGGGTATTTAGGCATTTGTACTATTGTCGAAGGCAGCACTTGCACCACACAGCTTGTTCTGTGTCCCCTAAGCTGCTCTGCTACCCTTGGATACCGAGGAAGATGTTCTCTCATCTGTTGCACTGCAGTAAGATTCAGCTTGTGGAATGGGGGAGATGACTCTTTCCTAACTCAGCTGTTAATAGAGTTGACTTGACTTTAAAATGTAAAGCACCTCAGAACTGACCTATTCTTTAAATGTCATTTTTGTCCTTAGGAAAAACAGAAATGTGTAGGGGTGAATTATTGCCATGAGGGGCCTGAAGGAAATGAAATTCGAAAGACAAATGTTGCACAGATTCGGATGGCTTACAGATACGAGAACTTATGCAATGAGCTGAGTTTCCTGTCTGATGTGATGAAGACGGACGAGATCACAGCACTGACAAAATAATCAGATCCAAAATCAAGTCTGTATTGCACAATCGCCAGGAGAGAAGTATATGGACATGAGAGAAAACTTGAGCTTTTGAAGGACAGAAAGTTGTCTGCTGATTAGAACTGTTTCATTGCATCAGGCTTATAGCAAAACCACTTTTTACAAGCACTTGGCATAGGTGGAACTGCTGTACATATTCAGATGCAAGTTCAAACTTTATTAGTTATGCTGCATATGCACTTAAATGCACTCTAAATCTAGTCATAATATTTAAACATTTTCATCTGGGGTAGATGGCATCCTGCTTTAAAACAAGTAATATGGGGACAGCAGTTTCTGATAGCACAAGCACATCTCTCCTGCTGTGCTTAGTGGCAGGCAAAGATCTATGGCACTTTAACATTTTAATTGCTGGCTTGCCTCCAGATGGGTGACTGAAGCAGTACTGTAGCCCCTTTCCTTTTGGAAGTTATTTAAGGAAGACTGCAGCTATTTTAGGGAAGTAAAAATATGACCAAAGAGCTGCATATGGATCCTGGTTGCACATTGTATGTAACATCATGCCTTGATTACTTTCTGTCTTCCCCATCTGCACCTAACTTAATAATTTTATGATCACTTTCCAAATGGTCCTATGATGAGTAGCATATTAATCCTAAGCATTTATGGTGATTCACCATGGTGGTTTGCAATGATATGCAGGCATGTGTACTGGGACTTAATCACTTAGTTACTGCTGTAGCAAGTCTTAAGATCTGTATCTATGTTCATTTCATTTTGAATGTGCAACTCAGAAGAATGAAACACTCTTTCTATACTTTTGTGTGCTCCTAAGTTCCAGGGAATCCCCTTCGCACAAATTCAAAACTGTCTTTCTTGTTCTACCCAGGCAGGTAACTGCAATATTTCTAGTTGTGCTTGTCTGCCCATCCATTAATTAACACGACAGATAAGCCATACAGGGATGAAGGATGACTTAGATCATGTGACTTCATAGCCCACAACAATACTATGAATAGTTTTGTATGAAAAATGGAAATGGATGTTGTTTGCCTGATGTGAATTCTACACAGTGATAAGAGTATCCTTGAGATCTAAGGTCAGACGATATATGTCATTTCTTTATGGCCAAAAAACAAAAACACCCAGAACTGTACAGCACTGTTCATTAAAAATCAACTGTGCTGTAATTATATTTCCTCCACTGAACTTTATTACATTTGATGCCACATTAAGCCTAGTGGAGAATTTAGTTTGGTGCTCTGAATTCACATTCCTTAAAAGCCCTTGTACTTGCAAGGAACTTTTTAATCTAACCTCATGCTGGCATATTAGCTTGTTTGTATGAAACAAGTTCTCTTCCCTTGACAAGTGTCTTACTTTCAATCACTTTGCCATTTGTCCTGGGATAAACTGGCAGTTGCATTATATAGTTCTGCTGTTGGTTGGGGCAATAAATAAATAATAAAATAATGGATTAGAAGTAAAATTAGCCTTGTAGCCCTTTATAAGCAGCTGAGTGGCAGTGGTAAGGAAATCATAGAGTTCCCAGCAGCTGTGCTTCTCCTCCTCCTATTTAACTGTTAAGATAGTTGTGTAGCTATGCTCTGGAAGACAAAATAATTTTTGCACTTGAAACTGTTAACAGTCAATGTGGAAATGCTGATTTATTTTTATTTTTTTTGGAAGGGAAACCTTCGTTTTCAAAATGTTGATTTCAATGCAAGGTACTTATTTTGAAGCATGTCTACTTGTTTCCAAATACAGTCATCCCAAAACAGTGTCAGTGGTCCATGCATGGAAGCAGGCTTCTGTGTATGGTACCTTTGCAGAATCAGGAGCCTTGCCTACAAAACACTTTTGCAAAGACAGTTTGCAGTGCTGGATCCCTGCATGCTGTACCAAGGATTGCCTGAGCAATTAATATTTACAGAGAATTATCAGCTTGGACAGTGACAGCTTTGGCAATCAGTGAGTCACCCCCTAGGGATTGTGGAGATCAGTTAACTTCCACCTGCTCAAGAGGATCAGCATTGTCAAAGCCGATTGTGCCTTTCAGGTGTGTGCATCAGCACAAAGTTTTTAAATCAAGACTGGGAAGTGGCTACTGGTTGCATCTGGAAGCAAAGTATTGTTTTGAAAGTGATGATTTTTGAGTTACATTTTTCCTCAAGTCTTTATATTTTTATATCTTGAAGGTCTGATGTCAAACAGGATTTCATCTGTTTCTGTTGCTGTTAATTTGTATCAAACAGTTATGATAAGGTACATTCTCAGTTCCAAGCCTGCATCTTTTGTCTTGTCTTAAGCCTTAAATATGCTTAGTATGATTTCTCTTGACTCATTTGAAATAAATTAAATTGTACACAACTGGAAAATCTGCATTATGAAATTTAAAGTCAGAAAGTTCATCTCACAGTTCAATATTAGTTTGACATTTGAGATTGTTTATTGGATTATATTTGTATATAGTCATTACCTGGCTTCATTAACCAGAAAGCATGCTTCACATTTATTGTCATCAAACAGAGATCATTTAGATTTATCTTGCACTGTAATGACTGCAGGATGTAAGGTTGGTTACATTCTAATTTTCTTGAAACTGAATGGGCCAAGGTTGAACAAGGCTCCCCCCACCCCCAGAAAAGTTGGATTCCAAGTTTTGTTTTGCAAAGTTTGTTAGATATACAAAAATATCCCAGCACTTCCAGGATAGCAAATAACTGCATTACATATTCTGCTACGTCTCCTTATCATTTCATATTAACTGAAATTTTACTGCTCTAGAAAGTTAATGGGACATATTTACCACATACTGTACTTTAGTCTTTTTGTGAACCCTGAGACTTAACCATGCAGTTCTGTCCATGTCTTCTGGGAAGTAAACCCCATTGAGTTTTCACTTGAATTAAGGCAACAATCACCTCAAGGTTGTTATAGAATATTGGTTAGTGTTAGGTTGGTTTTTTGTAAGTAGTAATTAAAATGCTTAATGCCTTTAGTGTGTCTTTCTTTTGTCTTTACTCAGTGGAGTATATTAGGCACAGAGACACCCTGGTTTTTAAACAATCTGTTTTCTTTTTCCTGCTCTATTCCATTTTAGATTTATTCATGGTCATACTATAACCGCAATCCTATGCATGTTTAGACCGAAGTACAACTCTAAGCATTTCTCAGCCAGTATGAGAGTTGTAGGACTTTTTCCTATATATACATGCATAGGATTGCCCTCTTACAGAAATTAAGTTCCACTGAACATAGAGGTTCTGTAAAAACTTGCTTTAGGATTGTGCTATGAGAACTTTCTGGAGAATTCATGTTCTTTAATAATAGATTAGAATATCTTTCCCTTGAACTGAACCACAGGTGCTTCTTGAAGAGAAAACCCCTTTTATTGTAGCTAGCATTTGGTAGCTGGGCTATTCAAAGCTAGAAGGTTAACTGTTGAAATCTCATCAATTTTTTTATTCCTTATGTTTTAATGTATTTCTACTTTGTGCCTTTGTGTGCTAGAATGCTAAGATAAAAACTGACACTGCAGAATCCTTTCATTGCATTAATTCTAAGAGGAAATATAAAGATTTGCTGTTTCAACAAGCAAAATGGTTTGAATTGAGTATCTATGAATTTTGCTCACTAAAATATTTAGAGGTATGTTACATGAAGCATAATTTTTTAAAGTAATAACAAATGGTATTTTCAAAGTGTGCTCAGAAATAGGTCTCCTTTTCTGTCACACTCCTGTAACTCAGACACACTTAACACTTGGGGGGGAAAGGCAGTAACGAGGCACATAGTAAATGGTCTGCTGCCCAAGTAAGTTAGGATGGGAGCTCTAGCCTCCCACTTGTCTTCCTCTCTAACTAGTATTCAGAGGCATATAAACAGATTTATGACTCCTTTAGATGCATTCTTCTTTGCCCGAGCATCAGTAGGGTGCTTCATAACCATGCGCTCATGGACCTGAGAATATGGAAACAGATAAAATGAACAGTATGGCCTCTCTCTCTCTAAAAACACACACACACGCACGCGCGCGCACTTGTGCTGAGATCTGGATTTCCAATAGAAAAAACACTGGCAAAGATGAAGGAAATTGAAGTGTTTATTGCACAAAATTCATAATAATACAATGGAAGGCTTAGAGCTATTAACAGTCTTTATCAAATTCTTAAGAAATATTCACATTCATGCTAAAAAAGGGAATGCAATTTTTTGTTCTAAAAGCAGCAATTCAACTTTTCCAAACCAAAATCATCTCATCTCCAATGTGCAATTAAGCTACAGTTTTATAGTGTTTCATTGTTTTTTCAGAAGTAATGCACATACTATTTTTAATCTACACGTTTGTGATTTTGCTATGTGCTTGCCTGCTTTATAGTGAGAAGGCTTGAGCAAGCATGGTAACTTGGATTTTGCCCCACATACTCCGGAAATTTCCCCTTCCATATGCAGCTTCAGAGGACTGGCAGTCCTTTGCTGCTAGTGGGAAGCAAAGCTCTACAGTGTAACAGAGGGAGGGAGGAAAAGCAACAGTGACACAGAAGAGTAAACCCAGAGTGGCCAAGTCCACATGGCTGCCCTCCATACATATACAAGGTACACATTACAGTACATACACCAATGTGTACATTTATTTAAAATGCTATACACACTAGAAAGTATATAAATTATACACCTATTTACAAGCATTGATGTGACACTTTCATGTGCACATGTATTTCTAAGTGATAGGTTTAATACCCATTGTTTTGGAATTTTCAGCTCTTCAAAATCTGGCATATCAGACTTTCCAGACACAAATGCAGGATTTTAGTTTGTCATGAAAAAAGAGCTGGTTGATTTAATACTTCAGTGTTTATGCTGCAGTAAGAAAATGTGAAGTCAAATGAAGGTAACTCTTCATCAGGGAAGAATGGTTCACTGTTTCTTTAAATCACTGATGTTAAGCATTAGGCACATCTACTGCAGCACAACCAGCTCCAAATACTTTGGAAAGTAGGGAATGACTCGAACTCATTGTTGGTTTTATTTTTATAGCCAGAGAAATACCAAACCATACTCTTCATATTCACTGTGCACTTCAATGCCTATTTATAATCAATGTGTAATGAAAAAATGTTCCCAAGTAAATCATTTCAGGACTGCAACCCATTACTGGCATTCAGTAAGTCAAAGCTCTCCCTGGATGCAGTAATAAGAATTGCTGTCAAATCTGCCCTTGGGCATGTCACATTAGAAGGGAAAGAAAGAAACAACCTCTGCTATACTTTAACTGTGTGGACTGCATCTGATAACCTCTAATAAGCCACAAATGTTTGTCATTTTTGAAGTGCATAATCCTAGGACCTTGGGCATAATTTAAAACGGCTTTATCTAACATTGTAAATCTGAAAAGATTTGTGTTAACCTTCATATATATTTAAAAGTTCACTGAGAATGACAAAAAACAATTTTATAATGCTCAAATACCTGGCAACCTCAAATATGATACTGCCACTTCATGAAAATTTAAGTTATTAACTCTCCCAAAATAAAGGCAAAAATTGTAACACTTTAAAAATACAAATGGATGTAGAAAAGACTGTGTTACATCAATCAAGCCTAACATCCACACCTACCACTTCTGGCCAGGCCACTTGCCCTGCTCCTTACACCAGATGACTGGGTCTGTAAGCTACTCTCTCAAGTTTCCCACAATACCCCTGCAATATTGCTCTGGACATTATGAGCAGTGTAAATTAGTGACCTGAAAGATGCCTACCATTGCCACCAATAACCCACTGCCAGGCTGCTATATGCATCCTTACATCAATGTCTTTGAAAAGCATTATAAGATTAGAGATTAAGAACAAATGCAACAGGTCATGTGACAGTAAAGCAAGAATCAGAACTTTGTAACTATCTAGATGTTGGCCTCCCAGTTCTCATCAACATTAGCCACATGATCAATGGTCAAGAATGATGAGAAACTGATGTAAATTCCTCACACTGCACTAAAACAGCACTTGTAGAAGGGAGTCAAGCACTATTTGTTGTCACCAACTTACAGCTACTTCTTTTTAAACAGAGGCCTGGTTTATAAGAACTAAGAAATCAAAGTATGCCAAACTAACATAACTGGTAAAGCTAGTTGTATGATATATACTCAGAAACCAGAACTCTTTGGTGGTCTGATCAGTAAGTTCTGGACACATCAGTAAAGAACATAACCACACATTTATTCAATGGTGTTAATCCACTAGTGGAACTAACCTCAATTCCTTTTCTGCAAAGTACTCTTCTGCTAGTGGAAGGAGTGGAGGAGGCAAGTCTTGCCTCCCGTTGCAGCCCCTATCCCTATGACCCTGCCTGTTCTGGAAGGTCCCTCAACTATCTGTGGCACATTTTGGTGGGTAGGACAAGACCACAGGCGGAGAACAGAATTGGTGAAAATGGCCTCCCACCCTATACAGCCACCAAAAAGCTCTGCTGGATCAAAAGACTTTCACTGGCAGAAAAAGCCCTTCAATCCCCAGAAACTTTTACTGAATCCAACCTTATGACAATCATGGATGAGGAAGCCTTAAATTTAAGCTGCCTGGAGAATTTATTCTTTCTCAACAGAAGTTCAATATCCAGTTATTTATCAAAATAACTGCTATCACAAAACTTGCAACAGCAAGTAGTTACTGAAGCAAATACATGTAATACTAAAAGTGGCAATGATTTACCACAAGGGGGCAACACAAATTACCGAATTTTACAAAGCGACTGTAGTGATTCCTATTCACAGAGGCAGGCCTGCACCCACCTGATGAAGGACTGCTTCTCAGTGCAGTACTGAATAGGCCCTCTGTAACCACCCACGTTTTTTCCCCATTTCTCCAAGTGCAATTTGAACGAACCATCACAAAAGAACTATATTGAAACTAAAATATTTGCTGTTCCAGTGTTTCATAAAGTGTAAGAAAATGCTTAGCATCACCAGTTGATAAAATGTCACCACTTAAAGGAAAATTAAAAAAAAATAAATGCAGACTGTGTTTCACACACTTTTTAAAAGACTACTGATTTAGCTTACAGTGACTGACACAATGAGTAAACAAAGCAAAGGGAACAAAGAAAATGAAGTGTTAAGAGGTTTCAAGTCTAGGAATCACAGAATCATTGCTACCATCACCATCAGGGCCTGTGAGGCTGGCCGGCCTCATCCACCATGTTGAGTATGTAGGTTGCGATATCTTCTTCTGTAGGTGCATCAGAGACCACCCAAGAATCATTTGCTGCAGTCACCTGCAGACGGCATATAGGGCAACTCCTGTGACGACCGCTCCTGTGTGGGGAAGGCAAAACAAAGCAGAAGACATTCTTCCTTTCAAAATGTTACGTTGATAATAACCATGACTATCTGTATTCACTGGATAGGATATCATTTCTAATAATTGCACTTTGGTTTGATATGTTTTTGTTGTCATGTGGGGAATAAGGAATCAGAAGCTCAAACTTTTATATAACATGAGTGACCAGCATCCACTGAAAAAAACATGCACCTACATTACTTCAGTAGCCCAGTTCAATGCCTTAATGTAGAAGAATGACCCAGAATAGTGATGTCAGCCCAGTATGGGAGATGTGTGAGTGAATTTTATGTAACTGATATTGGTTTTGCAGGAAAAGAGAATGAACCCGCCTCACTTTCTTGTGGCCCCATACCTCTTTAATCCTTATGACCCCCCCACCACCAACCTGTTATTTGCTATGGGAGGAAAGCTATTACTTGGGTAGGGAGGAACAATTAACCCCCCCTCTTCAGCTCTGATGGCCCCTACCGTGCAACATGACCAAATATTTTACAGGGATTTACATCTTGTCTAGCCTGGCCCTAATAGTACCTTTTTAAGATAATTAGGAATGCTTAAATCCCTAAAGGATACATTCTTAGGACCAGAAGTTGCCCAATAATGAAAGCAGTATTAACAACGGAGTTCCATGAGCACTTGCATGAATGTTTTGTTCCAACAAGGTCAGAGATTCCTTGGATTCCATTCTGCTTTCAAGTGGAATTGGCCATACTATTTATCTTTGTAATCAAGACAGAATAGAGGAATGATTATTGTTCTTAAAAAACAAAACAAAACAGGCACGAAATTCTAGGCTTTAATTTGTGAAAGCCTGATTATTTGTCTAGTTGACTATTTGCTAAAGCCTAGCTTGGAATAGGGTCCAGTTGAATTTGCTTTGCACTGCAGATGGTTCTTATCCACAATTATAGAAGTTATCTTCCCTGCTGCAGTTTTTACTATGGAACACAAGCCAATATACACAACTGGAGGGAGGGTATTTAGAAACACAAAGCATCATTAGTGAATGGCCCGGCTCATGTATTACTAACTATAGTTAGTCTGGACCATGTGGCAGTGAGTGGGTGAGCTGTCTCCTGCTCACCATTTCTGCTTTGAATCACCTTTCATAAACAAGCCAGAAAACATTCCAAACCTGGCTTGTGTGTAATTTTTAGCCCATGAATTGCCTAGCCATGCCTGAATGAGCATCTGTTTTGCGTCTGCTTTCATAAATGTTTGTTTTCCCTGGGTTAAGATTAAGTATTTCTGTACTTAAAAGCAGATCAAAAGCTTCAAGATGGAACTATTTTCTTTTGACTAAACACATCTATTTTAATTTTATTTAGCTATACATGCAGACTGTTGCTGGCAAGAAACATGACTGAAGCTTTGACTTGTGATAGTATTAAATTACAATTTAATTTAAATATATATACAGTATATATACTGTATTTAAGTATAATTATGTAATTATTATTATTGATAAATATCAATACATTATTGATATAACAAAATTACAATTGACCTTTTATTATATTTCTTTCCATTAGGTTATGCCCTCCACTTGTCAGCAACAGGTCAGGCATGTTATCATGATAATGTTTACCAATTAAGAGAATAGGGAAATGCTCACGAAAAAGAGTCAATACCCGTGTTCAAATCTAGTTCACCTATTACCCTGCAAAATACATCCTGTAGTCCATGGTACCTACCAAGATCAATGTTTCCTTTGACAAGAGGAGAGATTGTTTCAGCTGTCCTATTAAAGGAATAGTCTAAGGAAACTGATGAAATGCATTTCAAGGCAATGCAGCAGCTGCCAGGGCCTGCGTCAGACAACTCACCATTTGTCAATGCATTTCTGACAAAAGCTGTGGGCACATGGCAAGATGAGATCCGCACGTCCATCCATGCAGATGCAACATTCTTCCTCATCAGTCAGCTGTTTCACCCTATAAACCAAAGAGCACTATGGATTCACAGTCACAGAAAATGAGAACTGGGAAAATTTACATTTCAACATGTCTTGGAATGTCTCTTTTGTTAAAACATAGGATTTTTATTGTGAATGTGTATACTTCACAATTGCCACCCAATCATGTGGCACCCAATGCGCTGTAGTGTGAGATGGGGACTCCGGAGATAGGAGTTCTGGTCCTGAGTCATTCATGGCACTAACTGGGTGATTAGACCAGTCACAGACTCTCAGCTTAAACTACCTCACAGGGTTGTTGATGTTGTGAGGATAAGATTGAGAGGAGAAAGAGAATTTTGCAAGCCTCGTTGACTTTCTTGAAAGACAAAAAAAGAAGATGGGATTATATCAATCTCTGAGCTGAACTATGTACAACTTGTAGAAGCCATTTTTGTCTTCTCCTAAGCAAAGGGAGCACAATTGCTCTAATCCAGCAATTTCCTACTGCATGCTTTGAGACCAGTCTGATGCAAAGCAGCTGCTCTGCATGTATCAGTCAGGATATGGTGAATGTACACAGTTGGTGTATGGTGCACAAATCAAGAAGGGGGTGTTTAGTACACTGGTACACATTCCATGTGGGCTATCTACCTCTGATCTCTATGTATCGACATTAATTTCTGAATATATTAGGCTGCCATGAGGTCTGTGCAAGAGGAAGAAAGACAAGATATAAATACAATATAATAATGTGTGTGTCACGCACATGATGATTCATTCTACTTCCGAACAAATGGCTATTTCACTGTGATCTGTGTACCTTCTTTCAACAGCTTTCTGGCATGGCACTGATGCAGAGCACAGTTGGGCCTGTGAATATTTCTGGACAGCATAAGCTGTTTGCAAGCCACACATTTACTAAGTCACTCATATTAAACTGTATCAAAGTAATATGTATCTCCTAAATAACAGAGAAATGTCATTAGATTTCTTTTTTCTTGAAAAAGACTACAAAATTATTTTCATACAGGGTTTGCTTTGCTACTTATGTTCAGAGCTAAAAAAAAACTAAACAACAAAACTAATCTGCATGTGAAACTAGGGTACAAATAGAATTTTTACAGTGTATACTTGAGTGAACTATGCTGTGATATTCCAATGCCCAAATGAAAATAATTGCATACAATAATTTCTTGGGTGCCTCATTTTTGTGCAGGAGAACAAAAAACACATTTTACATTACTGCTGTTTTCTCTGCATTCTAAAAAGGCTAAGCACTTTTTATGGCTACATTGTCAACTGCCATTTTCCCCTAGTGTAGTTGCTCTATGTCTGAAGTGTTTTTGAGCTCTCACTGGTAATTCTGCATGCAATTTCATTAAGTCATTAAAATCACAGTTGGAAAAAATGTATGAACAAGGTTGGAATTAAGACAGCATCTTTTGTATGTATTATGTTATCTCAAGAATTGTAACTGTGTACCTATTTTCTTCTCAAAGCCTCTCCCTCTCCATATTCCTTGGCTTTTAAATGATGCCTTGCTTACATTTGCTCTAAGTTAACTGCTAGCAAACATGCATCAGTATGTGTACCTATAATAAAACAGATGCTGATGTTAGCCGCTAGCAAAACAGGATATCATCTATGAGCTAGTTCATGGTTTTTGCAAGTCTTCCAGGTGACAGCTGATGACCTTCCTAAGTGGGAAGTTTCATATGCCAAAATATAAACAGCAAAGAACGTAAGTGGAACAAGGCAAAATAGACAGCTCTGACTTTTGTTCTGACTCATTTAATTAGCTTTCTTAGTTCAGATTAACAATGTAATACAAACACAGCAAGAATCTATCACCCTGATTAGTAATGTGTTTAGATTTTTTGTCTATTTCACAGGGTGTTAACGGTTGAATCATACTACAGGTATGTCTCAAGCTGTACAAAACTGTTCTGCACCTCCCCCAACAGCATTTGGCCTAGGTTATGTTTATACAGCTTTCCTCACTTTCTTCATGCTTTGGATCAGGATCTGTAGCACGGCAGAACAGTTCTAATGTTACAGCTGCATCATAGGTAAATATGCTACAACTATTATGATCTGCTTTACACCAACACAAGGCAATACAGTCCTGCAAATCCACAATGTTCAAAGATTACTTCCTTGATCTTCTAGATGGCCAGACCACTGATATCTATTATTCAGTAACAAAAGCTCTCTGGACAGTTCATAAAATAAAAAGGTAATACACAAGAGCATACTAAAACACTATTAACAGTACCCAAGACTGCTAGTCTGCTTATACCACTGACACAGATAACATGTTTAAAATTTGAATGACTAAAAAGCCCAGGAAAATAAAGTAGTCTTCACTTAGTGCCAAAAAGATCATAATGTATGTACCAGGCAAGCCTCTCTGGGGAACACATTGTACAACTGGGGGCCACCACTGAAAAAGCTAGGAATATGGCATTCAAAGACAATGACAATCTCTAATTCTTTGTTCCTTTTAGAATAGTTTAGCATGAGCAAAAGAACCAAGGACACATTAAGTATCAAAGCATAGGAAGAAGGCACAAATAACTGCTGAAAAATATGGTTTAGAAATGGATGACTAAACAGGATTTGAGTTCAAACCATTACTTACGTGGGGGCTGGCTGGTCCTAGACCAAGTCAGAACCCCCAGCTCTTCATCCCCCATCTAAAAGATGTAAATCTGAATCGTTGCAGAGAGAATACACTGTAAGGGCCCGTTCCTACCACACCCACTCTAAATGCCCCTGAATTCAGAGGCTTGGCTCCACCTAATGGCTGCAGCAAGGTGCAGTGGCTGCAATCTCCACTGTTATCATGCCTCACTCCAAGCCAACTCAAAACTGGGACAATAGTACCAATAATCAAACTTACAACAAGACTTACAATGATATAATGAAAGCTCCAAAAGAAGCAAGTAGATCTTATGGAAGCCAGGAAAGAAGTGTCTGGATAATAAGAATGGGTTCATTAAACTTCAGCTCTATTTGTAGTTGCCTTAGTCTTTAAAAGCAAATATAAGGACATTATGCAACCTCTCCACTAAACTGCTTGTGCATGTATCATTTAAGAATCACTATACATGGAAAGATGGAAACAGATAATATTCAGAGGAAAGGTGGCAAAGCCCTGAGAATGAAAGCAAATATATATACATGACAAATAATGTACTGCTGTTGTAAAGTGGATCATCTTCAATACACAAGTCTTTCCACAAGAAGATCTGTATTTCCCAAGCAGTATTATGCACCATAGCATTATAAGGAAGTTAAATTTAATTTGTAACCGGTACCTTTACTTCTTTGGTACTTGATGCAGATGCTTTGAAGGACAAGAGAATCCTCACTTAAACAAAGTCCTTATACTCACAGAGACAGAAAAGGTTGTAACTATTAATATTCTCCAAGCTGAGCTGCAAGACTTAGAGATCTAGCACTACAGGTTTGGTCTGTGCAAAATACTCCTTTATACACATATATTTCTTTGAATATACATGCACAATTGAGAAAAATACATTCAAACACTAATTAATCTCTTAGCACGCTCAGATACCTTCCCATCCAAATGCTGGCCTGACAAGATGCAACAGATGACAGATCCTCTGCAGCTCCTTCTGATGCAGTGTTCTGCACAAGAACACTTGCTGCCTGACTTGTGACATCTTTATAAAGTTGAATGAACTGATACAAGTTCATGATTCTTGATGCTTCGACAATGCCACTTGTCTTGTTTATCTAAATATACAGAAAGCAATCTCAGCATTTTAATGTTAACTCCTTACTATTTGTTCTCAACACTGTTTGTTTATAAATGTGTACATAATTGAAACATGGACCATGAGTTCCCAAGGTGAAGAACCACTATCTATTTAGTCTCCCCCCTTCATATTGAGTTGCATTAAAACTACAGTATAAAGGTTGCATTACAATCACAGCAAGTTAAGTACTGGCATTTTAAAAACAATTACAAAACTTATCTTTTCTCCTAGCTGGAGTTAGACACAAAGTTCAATGATAGTCTCTGGATTATATTTTGATATTGAATTAAAAAGTTAAATACTTTGATAAACTTACCTTAGTACATACTACACGAACAGCCATCTTCCAGAGAGCAGAAGCATCTGAACCTGGCTGCACTTCAAACAAAAGATGCTTGTCCTGGCCAGAACCTAACTTGGCAGTGCTGAAAATATTTAATATTAATGCAGTTCAATTATGTAGTAGGTATTAAAACATAATTCAGTCCATATTAGAAATTAGATATCCAATCTAATTTCTGCCCTTTATGGATCCAGTTCATAGTAAGTGTAGACACTCAATTTATACTATACTCAGCTTTATTTTATCTACAGTTTATTAGCAATTATTATGGTACTTTAATTTATGAGGTTCGATTGTGTGCAATGGGGCTGAGAAAGGTTTCCCACCTGAGAAAGCTCCTTGCTGAAACATGTGAACTGTTGCACCAGAGACTGAAGTAGAATGGGGGAATCTCTGAAAAGTTATTAGTTTAACTGCAACTCTCTGAAGTTTTAGCAAATATATGGTATATTAATTTTGTTGAACCTCCAGTGGTGCTGCTTAGAGGATTATGGAACTATCAAACTATATCCAATAAATACCTTTGACAGGGAAATCATATCTTTTTATGGCAGGTTTGGTTTTAAAAACGTTGCCAAAAAAAAAAAAAAAATCTGATAAAAGCGGCCAACCCCAGCTTATATCAACAGCTATCCAAAGTGTTTAACATATTTGTTAAAGGTATAATTCAATTGTGACTACCCATTCCTGGTAAGCCACACTCACAAACAGGCAGCAAGGTCTTTTAAGGAGATACTAGCAGACTAAGAAGGCTACCTTGTTAAATTTTATAAACATGCACATTTCTTTGGTGAATGTTAATTGCTAAAAAAGCCCCCTTACATCTGTGAAATGAAAAAAGTATGGAGTATTTATTATTTCAATTGAACTTCTTATCTAGCATAGTTCTACAACACTTGTAGAATATGCAAGTGCTTCATCTTTTATAAAGAGGTGCACAAACCTCCCCCCCAAAAGATCTCCAGATGCTGCAGGTCATTTACTCTGCAAAGATGTATAAAAGAACAACAAAAGAAGTCTTACATGTCATTTAGTTCAGCTACTCTTCCCAAAAATTCCTCATATGTCAAGAAGCCACTTTCTCGAACCAGAGTTACATGTTTGATGACTTTTTCTGGAAGCTTGTTAATAACAGTGTGCGTCTGACCTGACAGCTGTTGGCCCATGATAAACTGCTTTAGCTCAACATCCAAGAAGAAAGCAACTTCTCTCATTTGGAGAATGCCTAATAAATACAATTAACATTGCTCTATTAGAACAAACAGTCACCACTGCAATTATTATTCATTTCTTATAAACTACTGCATAACTCTGTACAAAGATCTATATACTGATACTAGGACACACAGCTTTAGATTTCAGTAGACTCTATTGGCACCTAATTTAAGAAGTACTTTAACAAATAGACTAAGTCATTTACAGAATCATAAATAGTAGAGTTGGAAGGGGCCAGAAGGCTCTGAGGTCCACCCGCTGCTCAGTGCAGGACACTGAGTTGAAACATCCCTCTCAGATGGGTGTCCAGTTGCATTTTGAATGGTTCTAGTGTAGGAGAGCCTGTGAATTAAGTATCCTATGAATACAAAAATGTATTGAAAGAAAATTGTAAAATACAAAATGTAGTGACTGTTGGTCACAAGATTTTATTTATTTATTTTTCGATTTATATCCTGCCTTTTTCCTACAAAGGGCTCAAGGCAGCTTACATCATTCTCCTTCTCCATCTTATCCCCAAAACAACAACCCTGTGAGGTAGGTTGGGCTGAGAGTCTGTGACTGGCCCAAAGTCACCCAGTTGGCTCCATGGCTGAGCGGGGACTAGAACCCAGATTGTCTGAGTCCCAGTCCCATGCTCTTAACCACTTTGCCACACTGGCTCCATTTTAAAATACTGTAGACCAAAAGTACCTCTTAAGAATATAAGAACAGCCATGCTGGATCAGACCAGTAGTCCATCCAGTCCATCACTCCATTCACCCAGTGGCAAACCAGCTGTCCACAGGATCCCTTCAGCAGGATGGGAACAAGAGTTCCACCTGCTCAAATTCCTCAGCAACTAACATATGCAGGCACACTGCCAGTGATAATGGAGGTAGCACATAGCCAACAAGGCTAATAGACTTTGACAGCCTTCCCTTCCATGAATTTGTCGAACAGCATTTTAAAGCAATCCAAATTAGTAGCCATCACTACTTCCTGTAGCAGTGAATTCCACAATTTAACTATTACCTGTGTGAAGAAGTACTTCTTTTTATCTGTGCTGAATGTGTCACCAGTCAGCTTCATTGGTGATTACGGGAACTTGTATTATGGAAAAGAGAGGTCTCCCTTACCCTTTTTCTAACTGGAATATGGTAACCCTTTGATCATTTTAGTTGTCCTTTTCGCAACTCAATAATGTCCTTTTTCAGTTGTAGAGACCAGAACTGGACACAATATTCTAAGTGCAGCCACTCCAGAGATTTGTATCAGGGGAGTACAATTTTGACAGATTAATTTTCAGTTCCTTTCTTAATTACGTCTAACATTGAGCTTGCCTTTCTTACAGCAGCTGCATATTGGGTTGACATTTTCATTGGACTGCCTACCATTGCCCCCCAACATCCCTTTATTGATCAGACACTGCTAGCTCAGATCTCATCAGGCTAAACTTGGTTAATTTATCTTATACTCACAAGAAGAAAAAAATAACATGAAAACACCCATTTCTGAAGTAAAACCACAAGGCAGTTACAATTCTTATATCTCTAGCCCATCCTCCTCCAAGTTCAGGCATAAAGGTTTCTGTCACCCCATTCTGGACAGGTAATAAATTACTTTTAGAATCCAGCATTTGTCAGAAGAACACAGAACTGCACAGAAGCATGCACCTCCTTCAAAAAGAACTAATGGTAAGAAGCCATTTCAAGGCTGGAACACATGTGGTTTCCTATTACCTGGAAAAGCATTATGTTCAACCTAAGAGATATGGCCCGAGGGTCAAACCTTGCCCTCCTGGGGTCCCAATGGTTCCTCAGATGACCACGTCCTATTCTTCTAGCCAAACTCCATTACCATGTCCCATTCCTTTGGCCTCACTGATTCTTTGGTGACTTCCACACTTTTGTGCAGTTTTTCATGCCACGCTAAATTTAGGCTGAAATGTCTCTTCTAAGTTTCCATTACTGGCTTTAAGAGCTTTAGCTAAAATTCGCTGGTATTTTTGCCCTTCAGGGCTTCTCCAAAATGGTCCTTGACATGAAAGAGGGTCAACATCTCAGTGTTAAGAGGATATACAAACCAGAAAGTAGCGCAGCGTTCTTCAACCTGGCGCCCTTCACAGGTGCGGAGCTACAACTCTCAGCATCCTCTAGCCAGGATTCCGGGAGTTATAGTCCAGCACAGCTGAAGAGCGCCAGGTTGGGGAAGCGGGAAGCAGGGCGACTGCTCCATTAACACATTCTCTGTAAAAGTGCGTGCGTTTCTTTTCCCCTCTCCCCCGCTCCCTATACAAACAAACACGTAGAGCCGCTTCTCCAGTCCAAGGGACCAACTACCGGGCGGACAGAGACAGCTGGACAGCTCAGGAGGCTTAACTCTGGTCAAGGCAAAGGCCCCCGTTAAGAAAAACGTTATATTTTACTAGGCTATAACATTTTATGGTATTAAGCTACGTCTTACAAACCATATGGAGATGCCACCGACAAATACAAAGGAAAGCATTCCGCGGCCGGATCTGACGGTGCCACACCCCTCGGAGACCCCCCCCCCCGCCCCGACTCCGCTCCTCCCTTCGCTCGCCGTCGGAATAAGCGAACATAGGCGCTCCCGCTTCGTCCCTGTCCCACCGGCGATGGGGATGGGGATGGGCCCCTGCGCCCGAAGAATGGGCTTGGGGGCTGAGGCGCCGCAGACGGGGAGAGAAGGGCTCGGCCGCCGCCGCACCTCCCCCCCTCCCCGTTTACGCAGCCCAACTTCAAGCAGACGGGGGCACATAAACGCCGCTGCCAAGAACAGGAGGAAACTCAAATAGCCTCACCCCCAGTACTCCGGCATCCTGCTGCAGGCCTCCGCCTCCCTCCGGGCGCAGAAGCCGCCCTCTTCTCCGCCTTCACAACCAGGACCGAGACGCGAAGTCATGACACATGATCCCGGTCGGGTCCCGTCGCGCCTGGCTTACGTCTCCGCGCCTCCTCCCACCTGGTTGCTAGGAGACCCAAGGAAGCGGCTTTTGCTGCGGATCCGTCGGCGCGTTAGGCAAGATGGAGAACAATTCAGCGGCCGCTCTGAATCCCAGTGAAGCCATTATAGGTACGTTATCGGTGTTCTGTGTTGCAGTGGAGGAACCGTAAAAACCGTAATTCTATACATGCCTAGAAAGAAAAAAAGCCTGCAGCTCCCACCGTGTCGAACCCAGTTGAGTTGGCTGGAAGTCGCTGTTGTGTTTGCTGTCTAAACACACATAAGATTACACCCTTATTTGATTTGGGTGGAAACACCCCAATCTTCAGATGCCCAAATATGCTTCCAACTTTTAAAAAGGAACCTAACTGTTTGGATTTGATGGTTGCCAGGTCAACCTGCCCTCAGGTGTCAGGATGCTGCTTTTAAATGACAGATTGGTGCAGAAAACCTCCCTCATCCACGATGTAATTGTAGACAAGGCAGCCAGTTTGGCATATATAACCAAAACCTGGGTGGGTAAACGGAAAAATTAGTCTTTCCTAAGTTGTGTCCACCAAGGTACATGATTCAGCGTCAGGGTAGACATGAAGGCCAGGGAAGATGGGTTGCTATAGTGTAAAAGGGTTCAGTTGCTCTCTCCAGGCACCCTGCCTGTCCCTTGACTAGTCTGGAGTGTTTGCACCTTTCGTTGGGCCAGTGAGGCAGAGTAGGGATTCTAGAGGTATACCATCCACCCTTTGATCCATCAGTCTCCCTACCTGAGTAGATGGAGGTAGTCTTGGTGTGATATTGGAGTCTCCCAGGTTGTTGGTTCCCTCATCCTGAGGCTTGAGAATTCATGGCTACCATGACAACCATGAGACTGTCCTAACATGTCATTGGCCCAGTACATGTGGCAGGACATACTATAGACTTGATGTCCTTGGCCAGATATGAGGATGGTGCTCTGAGCATAGGGGACTTTCATGCAGCCCCTTTGTCATGGTCAGATCACCACCTCCTGAGATTTAGACTGAGGACAGCTTTTCCCCTCCTCAAGGGTGGGGGAACTATTAAGATGGTCCGTCCCTAGAATGTGATGAATCCAGAGGGTTTTCCCCCAGACAGCTTTGAGGGATTTTCTGGCTAACATGGCTGGCGTTCCTATCAAAGCCCTGGTCATGCTGTGGAATGCAGAAATAATCCAGGTGGTTGACATGATCACTCCTAAGTACTCTTTGTTGTAGAGTTTATACAGCTCCATGGTATGCCCTGAAACTGAGAACAATGAAATAAAAGGACATGAACTTCAGAGTTATGGCAGTTGAATCAGTGGAGATATCCAGAGTACAGCCTGCTTTGATTTTACTGAAGGACTTTCAGTTGGCACAGCTTGAGGATGTGGACAAAGTGCTTGAATGTAGACATGGTGCAATGGGGATGCATTGCAGAGGTTCTGAGGAGCAAAACAGTACCTATAAAATTATGTAGGTAGATCATGCAATCATTAGCAAAAGCTAGACATTGCTGGCTAGAGGAAGCTCTGCTTTTAGAGAGCAGCATATGTTTTTCCCTGAACTGTAGCTGAACTGTTCAGGCTGTATCTCAAATTAGACCAGTTGAAGCATGACCAATCGCAGCTAGAACAAAAGAACAATTGACACATTATTCCTCTTTCCAAAATTACACCCCATCCTCTTTCTGTCTCTGAGAGACATTCCCTCTCACCTTTAGAACATCTTATTTCTACTTATAAGCAGGGGAAAAGGGCACACCTCTGTAACCTATTAGTAAGTGTTAACTGTGTTACGTGTAACCCTTCACTTAACAATGTATAAAATGGCAAATCAAGGACTGCTTGGGTGTGCCATGCTGGCATGATTAATTGGCAGCCGTGTTATGCCTGAGAATAAAACTTTTAAAAAAGAAAAACTTCCCTGTTGTGTGATTTTGAGTCATAAACACCAGGACATGGACCTTTTGGTCAACAATTCTGCTCCAACTTGGATGGCCATCTCCTGAATGTGATACTTGGGGAATAGTGTTCAGCCCTGTGGATTATTCAGCATGGAGTTCCTAAGGGGTCTGTTTTGTCTTCCATGCTATTCAACATTGCCATGAAACCACGGAGTTTAGAGTGTGTTACCATCAGTACCCTGAAACAAGCAAGCAAGCAAACAATGTTTTGCTCATTATCAGGTCCAGTAACTGCATTAGCCATGCCTGAATTATCCATGGTTTCAATTTTTCCATAACATTTGATATTTGCTATTGCAGTAGCAGCAAATTTACATTTGCATGGTGTTTAAATAAAAGAAATAGTACTGTATCAAAAATCAGACTAAGATATTCCATGGCATTTTCACTAAATGAATAAAAATATACTAAAGTATACTCAAAAAGATTGCAGAACAGAAAACATTTCTAGCACATTTAAGGGTAATTTGGTTTTATGTTTGCAAGTTCCTGATGCATCTGTGGATAATTTTAAATTGCATTATTTCTTTTATCAAGTCTCATCTGCTTTCACTGATTAGATGAAATCACTTCAGTAAGCTTCTTACTCCCAGGCTCTCTGCTTTTGTTTTAAAACCATACTGTGAAAGTTAGAAAGTTATAACTAAAACAGGGTGAGGTAGAAGTGCTTTGCAATGGTACTATTTCTAAAGAACTCTTCAAAATTGCAGAAAGGTCTGATCCAGGAATCATCATCCACAGATTTTTAACATGAATACGGCTTCATCTTTCCTTAGATGGTGAAAAAATCACTTATTTGCAAGGCTTCAAAACTTGCCAAGATACTAACCTTACCAGGAACAGCTTTAAGGGATTCTTTGCTTTGATAAGCCAAATTGCCATAAATAGTTACCTCCCATTGTTTTTTCTATTTGAATTTGAGAGCCATATTACAAATACCGGGGCTTTTAGATTTTTCATTTCTTTATTCTTCCATTTCATAAGTTCACTAGTAACAAACAGATGCCAATTGCAATATTAGACAAGTCTGGCAATTTCAAAAGTATAATTGATATTATTCAGATGATTATTCCTGAGAAGTATGTGAGATAATGTGTACATGTTATTGAAATATACTTACGTCTCTGTGTGAAGATAAATGATGGGTTCAAAACATGGTGCTGGAGGACATTTTTTGAATACCCTGGACTGACAGAAAGCAAACACGTGTGTCCTGAATCAACTCAAACAGAACTTTCCCTTGAAGCAAAAATGACAAAATAAAGGTTGTCATACTTTCAGCACATCAGAAGGTGAAACTTGCTGCAGAAGGCAATCATTGCTTGCTAAATCTGAAGGAAGAAGAAGAAAAGGAAGACCAAATATGAGATGGCTCACGTCCATAAAGGAAGCCATGCCTTGTGTTTATAAGAGCTGAGCAGAGCTGTCAAGGGCAGGTCACTCATTCATAGGGTCTCCATAAGTGAAAGATGACAGCATGCAACAACAACACTCTGCGAAGTGGCAGTAATAAGCAGAGGCAACAAAACTGAAAGAGCCCCAACCACCTTAGTGGAATTGAGCATATCATGCGCATTTTTTATTAGCATGCCACAGTTTTTCGTATTGTTTCCTGCACCTTTTGATTTCAGGTCTTTTGATCTGAAGCAAATTTTCATTTCTGATCCCTAGTAGGTTGCATATAATGAGCAAGGGCCTTCATTCTGGAAGCAGGGGAGTTCTCATAATTTAGCTACTGATTGCAACATATTTGCATCTTCAAATTGGATGTTACATTTAGATTATTTTATTTAAATTTTTAATTTGGAAACTGTTTTGTTTGGCACTATCCTATTTAAGTTCTCCCTTCTTTGTAAGAACTTGCATAGGGTTTCTATTTTGACTGGTCAGAGTTTTGCTGTCCTTGCTTTTTAACTATTGCTTAACAATAGAAAGACACAAATTGGAGATTTTGAATTCTATTTTGCTAACTATGCTTTGTCTTAATTTAATGCTTTACTACAATATGATTTGAAGCTAGAAGAATAGCAGCAGGTTGGAACACTAAGGTTAAAATTACTTTTCAGTGACCAAAAGCAGCATCAGTGGCCTAACTTGACCACTTTCGTCAGCTGCGCTTTGCAGAAGAGGATCAGTGCTAATGAGCAAGCCACAACTGAAGAATCTCTGATAAGTTTCTGAAGCAGCCCAGACAACACACACTGAAAACCACTGAATATCGTAAGAAGGCTGTACAACATGGTCTGCTAAAATTATATGCAAAAACTGTTTGCAGGAAAAATTGGCTTAGCATCCTGAAATCTTTCATGTTTCCTGAAGAAAGTACGTAATGGAGCCTCCCCCTTTCCAGGAAGGTCAACAAGCATCTGTGTGGGAATCCTACAGTTGTTGGGTTAGATCCAGAGTTCCCACGAATGGAACTCTATTCACAGGATGCTCCCACTGCAGAAAAGGGAGGTAGAGAGAGATTATTCACCAAATCTTCCTTCCCCTATGCAGTCTCCTGTGTCCTTTGAAAAGGTGCTTTGAAGTGTTGGGACACCATCCAGAAAAGCATAGGAAGAGGTGTCACTAGGGACTAAAGGAGGAGTCAGCAGAGATTGCATCCTTCTATTCTTCCAGGAGGAGCTTCTGCTGGATATAACAGTCCCTTGCACAAACAGAAGGACATCCTTGGATCTGACTCATGAATACTGATGAATGCAAACAATTGTCATTTTCTCTTGAATGGTATTGAACCAGTAATTCTTGATCTAGCTGGTTCTTATATTCTCTATGTGGAATTATTTCCACGTTGTAAATTAAATTATATTTATTTCCAGCATGTAATATATTTATCTTTTAGATGGGCAAGCAGGCTACAGCAGAGAACTGTGTTGTTCACTGAAATTAGCGTATTGATTTAGGCTTTACGGGGATGTTGGAAAAGGACTATTAAAACACGGGGCTACAGCAGAGTTCTTCAGAAGCAGCCTTCCACAGCCTGGTGTTCTGCCAATGTTTTGGACTCAAGCTCCCTGCATTTGTATCGATTGACCATGCTGGCTAGGGCCTATTAAATTCAAATCCCAAATATCTAGAAAGAACCATGTTGGAAATGGTTTTTGAAATGGGGTGAGCTATCACCCACTATATTTTCCTGTGAATTTTTTGGCTAAGCATGGTTAAAACTCAGAGGATTGTAGTATTGGGTTCTAGCCAAGTCTAACACCTCATTCATTGCAATGGATCTACCCTAACTGGAACCAATATTAGATACAACCTCGATATTCCACATACAACTAAATCCAGTTTAGCATGGCCCATATTGAGATGTTATACTCATTGAGAAGTTTTTAAGGTCTTCTCTCTAATGAGGCATTAATTATGCACTCATGGTTCCATGATGGCGGTTTGTGGTTGCTTTACACGATGCCATCAGGCTTCAGGGTGTCTCCCCTGCTTTCCAAGCATTTTTACATCCTTTTTAGTGTGAGGAAAATGTATTATTTTCTGCAAATGGTGGAATGAACCAGAATGAAAAGCTCATATATTTTTGCAATTCCACTCTGCTACAGTTTCACCTTGTGTACTGGAACATATAGAAAGGCAGAGAAGGAAAGGAAAAAAAGGGGGGAGGCAAAGATACATGTAAAGAAGTTTGTTTTAATCCCACATAAAATCTGAAAGCAGAAGCCTCAGTAAAGATTAAGGGTAAATTCCTCATGCAGAGAAGCCCTATGGCTGAAATCTGTAGTGAGCCCCAGTGAAGTCCATAGGTCTTACTTTGGAGTAAATATAATTAGGTTGTTGTAAGCATGGATGGGTTGCCCAGAATACCACTACTGAATATATTATTGCGATTTGCTATGGCTAATGATATAAGAACCTTATTTTATGCACTTTTGGGTTTTTTACAAGCAACATGATCAATATATTACTGGTATTTTTATTAAGTTAATCATTGCAAAATCAGTATGAAAACCTTTCATAACAATTGTAATCTGATTTGTTATTTAAAAATATTACATCCAAGCATAACTACCTGGCAATAGTATAGAAATAACTATGTAGCTTGTACTTTATTTCAATGCAATATTAATAAATAAAATCACTGATTATGATAATGAGATCTTGTGCTGTAATCCTACACACACCAGAGAGTAATCTCCATTAAATACAATGAAACATCATTCGGAGTAAATACACTTAGCACTGCACTGTTTGTTGTCTGCCTAGTAGATATAAAAGTGACTGTTTGACAATATGACAATATAAGGGACAGATTTTATGATCCTGATTTTTATATTTTGCCTCTAATTTACAGTTGATGGTCTGTGATTTGTGGGCTTTAAAAAAATATTTCTGAATAAATCTCGAGAAGTGGAATTATAAACTTCCCCAAAGTAAGATCTTTAGAAGATTGTTTAGGATTATTTTCCCAAGAAGTTTGGCTAGAATCATTTGCAGTTGTGGTATTATTATACGTCCGTGTAAATCAAGTATTTCCCTATCCTCTTCATAAGAATTTCAGTTTTGGAATTCTATGATGAAGCAGACAGCAAAAGGAGACCACCTTTCTACAACTGGAGCAGCATATGTGTTTGTATAGCAGGGGGAGGAGGAGAAGAGCAAGCGAGTGCACACCTACCACAGTCAATAAAATATTTGGGCATTCTTTCACTGTATCACCTAGTTCACTTATAGAAGTTTCCTTATGCAATTCTTTATGAGGGGGGAAATGACCTGTTATTTGAACCAGAGGGGTTTTTTTGTTTTTGTTTTTTGCTTAAAGTGTATCTTGACACAACTGGGGCCAATTTGAGGCTAATACCTGGTATTTATTATCCACACTAAACTCACTTGAAAATCTGTACTGGTGTTACTGTACTAAAAATAGTTCTGCCTGAGAAAGTAGCATATCATAGCATGATAAAGTATATCTAATATGCATAACATACAAACTGTTTGCATAAAAAGATATTATACTGACTGGCAGTATTTACAGTTATCCATTTATAAAGTATTTGCTAATTCCTGCCATTTATTGATCTAAGAACTGTCCATTTGGATGACCTTTCTTAAACTTCTGCTTCCAAACATTTTACTGTTGGTTCATGTTTGACTTGAGGCTCTTCTGACTTTTTCCCATTCTTTGATTCCTGTTCTAGTGTTTTGCTGCTTGTCTTTGTTTCTTTGATATTCTTGGTTTCAATTTCTTCTTTCTTCTCCTCCTTGTTGGAAAATGGAAATGTTTTCTTGTATCTTTGAACAAATTGGAAACAAAATTCATTAAAAAGAATTGCCATATATTCAGTATATTGATATTCTGGGAAACAAACAAGACCTTTAATGAGCTTTTCCACATGAACATAATAACTGCTGATTCCGTTTTTTGGTTTTGTCCCTAAATTCAGATCTCAGCACTATAGAAATAGTGTTTTCTTTCCTGCTTTTCTTTCATATAATGTCTGAGTCGTACTGTGCTATAACACAATATCACAATTATACAAATATGGAAATACCATATGTACTAGCATATGAGAGGTAGATATTTTGGGCTGTTTTTCTGGCATTGTCATATGACAGGAGTATAAAATTATCCCCAGTTTTTGCTTTGCTATTTTCATTTTCAAAGGGCTCTTATACACTGGTATATTGTTGTGAGGTCATAACTCACGTCTCCAATTAACTCACACAGCAGCCAGCAGTAAAACTAAAGACTTTTATTGCTATTCACTACAAGAGTTACGGTGTAACAGATAAGCTCTGGCAACAAGCTCCTAATAGTTCAGTTGCCCCCTCCTTTCTGAGCTACCTCAGAAGCCCATGTGGTATTAGATCTTCCTGTCTCATCTTTCCGTTCGTGTGTGGGACAGACCTCTGTCTTGTCATCGCAATTGGTCTAAATGCCTTAAACTCCTCCTAAGTTGGGCATTTGCCAGATTTACTGTTATGTCTTCTTCTTCTCCTGAACTCTGTCCAGCAGTCTCAGAGTCAGTAGTCGGGAGGGGGGGCAACTTGTTCAAGCACCTCAGAGCCAGGATGAGGGGAAACTACTCTTTTGGATGCCTCACCATCAGTCTGCGGGAAGGCTATTCGCTCAGGGGCCGGGCTGTGGAGAGGTTACTTGCTCAGATGTCTCAGAGTCAGGCTGCAGAGGGGCCATCTGGGCACTGGGCCCCAAGTATAAGTCCCCTTGTTCCAATGCCTGACTCTCACTGTTAGCTTCTGCCTCTTCCTCACGAGTAGACGCCTCTGTCGAGCCATCAGGCATGACATATAGAAAAGCATTTGTCAGCCGGAAGCATCTAGAGGTAGGAGGCCCATACAGGTAGCACAGATGGCCATGCAGGGAATGCTGCCCTTCCCAGCTACTACTGCCATTGCTGGCCTGAAGTGGTGCACCACCACCACCTCAGTGAGGGTGGGGTGAGCACTGGGCTGGACTGGGTCTGCAGCAATGCACAAGGCTCGCAACAAAACATAATGCAGGATGAACTCCTTCTGTACTGGTAAGAAGGTTTTTTTTAATGATTATTACTAAAAACAATCTTGTGAATACAATTGTCTTTATAATCTATCTTTTTTTAAAAGGATGAATATAATACGACTTTTTTTTAAGCTGGCGGATAAGATGGTCCCCTGCTTCTTGCCTTGCTATTTCCAGTTTCAATGGTTGCCTTATACACTGGTATATACAGTACCTTTTCTTTCACTCTCAGAAATAATACCCCCATTTCCCCCACTTTAAAAAACCCAAAAAACTACTTTTAGAAAACAGAAGTGAAACTAGACAATCGCATAATCTCTTAAAGAATCCATAAAGGAGTTATAAGGAAGGAATTATGAGTGCATAATTCCTGTCTTGTAGCAGCTCTTACAAAGCTTTTCTACACATCTTGGAATACTCCTTGAGAAATATTTTTCAGCAGCTCATCCTAAAAAACCTCCTGATGTTGTAATGCCAACACATATTATGCTGCAACAACCAAAACAGCCTCTTGAAGCATGAGAGGCAGAAGCACTAGCATAGCCTTCTCAGAAATGGTTCCTTTTCTTTGGAAAAATTGCATGAGCTCAAACTTGCAAGTCTAATGCAGGTTTAACTTTAAACAGATTTGATTTGTAGTTTTGGAAATGTTTTTGCAAGGACTTACTCTGATACCAGACATATCTAGAGTCACATTAAGGTTGCAAACTTGTTTTTCCTGCCCTCAATGCATGCGAGTCTCTGAACTTGGAGGCTTATATGCATTCTATGTCCTGAATGGAGCATGGCAACAAGATCTGCCATGCATTGCACCCGGATTTTTATTTATGCTGCTGTTTTTTGGCCATCTAGATAAAGTGCCAGGGAGTAGGAAGGAAAGAGGTTGGGATGCTGATAGAAACTTGGCTTCAGCATCTCCTCCTTTCCCTTCTTCATGCCCTTATTCTTCCCTCTGAAGTGCATTTGTGACCTTGGAGAAGGGAGCTGGAGGAATTATTTCTGCACTGACCACAAACGAGGTGGGCTGGGGGCTCAGCCTTCAGAGGCCTAGTTCTAAGATTGCAGGATCTCAGAGCCAGGACTCAGAACAAGCCCATGTTTTCCCCTACCCCTGCCCAGGCAATATCGGGAGGCCATAGGATTGTGCTCTAAAGCGCAGTGTGTAAGAGATGTATACCATATTAACATATCATGAAATTGTATTTTAACACACTATTGTTGTATTAGCACAAACATGGTTAAAACAAAAAAGTAATGAGCATCCTTACTTTTTGATATAGCAGATGGCTAATACAACTGCGGCTGCAAAGAAAATGAGGGCAAGCACAAGAAGAACAGTTGGAACAGCTGCAAAGAAACAAAAACAGGTAACTTCTAGAATCACAGAGCTTCAGCAGTCATTCATCACAGTCATTCTCAAAGGCTGGACAACACTTACTGTTCACCATTTATGTTTAATTAGTCCCAATCAAGTTAAAATTTAAACTGGTTTAAAACTGGCTTCTAATCCTGGCATGCTTGGGTGAAATTAACCTAATTCTGAGTTGGAATATAATGCAAAGCTATGAGCAACCACATCTTCTTGGTTTGTTTATTGCTTATACAGTGAAACCTCGGCTCACAGACGCCACAGTTCATGACCAAATTGGGTTGTGAAGAGAAATTTTGGCAAAATTTTGCCTCAGGTTGCAAACTCTGCATTGGGTGACGATTGTGATCGCGTCTGTCTTTCCTGCACAATCGTGCTTGGCGTTGGGCAGAGAGATCGCCATGATCACACCCGTCATCCCTGCATGAGCGTGCCCGCGATTGTGCCTGTCTCCCTCCCAGCACAATCTCGACCATCTCCCCCCTCCCCCAGCACAATCACTATCACACAATTGTGGTTTGGAATCTCCCTCCAAACAATAACCTCCCCCCCGCCACCTAGGTTAGTGTTCTCTACTGTACTTTTTTTCTTTGTTACTTTGTTTCAAATTTTTGTGATTCAAAAATGGTTACAGAACAGATTAACCTTATTTACATTGAACCTTATGGGGAAATTTGACCTGGGTCACGACCAGTTTTGGTCATGGCCAGAGTCCTGGAACTGATTAAGTTCATCAGCCAAGGTACCACTGTATAAAGGAAGGCATGAAGTGAGAGTGAATAGGCCACACATGCTGCTCATCACTGCATAAGCTAGGATTCATGGCTTCTTCTCATGTTTGAATTAAGCCAGTTGTTAACATCTGTATTTCTGTTCTTGTTTATTTTCCCACAGTAGGATTAGAGAATGAACAAAAAAATACAAGGTTGGTGCCTAGAATCTAAAAGGAGTATGCAGAGAAGTGGACAAACTTTGTTAGCAGGAATTCTCACTAAAAGGCTTTGAACCCACTTTTTCTAGCCCAGTATGCCCAGGCTGAAAAAATCCCTGATGCTTTTACAGTTAGGAATTCTCCTTCTGCTTCAATCCTTAATTACATTGTCATGTCATCAGCATTCACAATGAATTAGCATTTCGCTTGCCTTTTAGGAGGATGGGAACAACCTTCTTTTATCTAAAAACTGTAGGGGTTAAGCTGCCTCCCCCAAGTAAAAAGAATGGAAAACCACTAAAAACATCAAGTGTCTTTATTCCATGTGAAAATGCACTAAAAGTATCCTAATGCATACTGAGTTCCCTTCACACTGTCAGGACAAATTCAGGAAAAGCATTGCCATGATAGGGCTGCTAAAAGCCTAACACTGTAAGAACTACTCCAGACTTAAGATGGGATTCCTGATCTGATCAGGAATCCAAATTAGAAGTTTTGCTTCCCATTATGTATGCCTTAGAAATGCTAATAGGCATGTCCCATCTTTTTGTATTGTGTCCAACCCTATTATTTTACCCTATCTTGCCTCTAGAATACTGCGTACATGATGCCCCACCAGCCCTCAAAACTGTATGTAACTGATTGGTTATAAAAGCATCTTGTACATACTCTGTACTTCCTACAGGGGCTACCTGCATGTTGCATGTTTTTTCCTGTATAACTAAATAAACTGTAAATGTTCTTTTGATTGTACACCTGCTGCATACATGCTCTGTTTTTTCTCGTCAACACAACTAAAATAGGTAAAATAGGTGAGAAAAATTATCTAGTGCACTTACTAGTGAGCGCTAGAGCAAAATATTTGCTGTCTACTCAGACTGTTTGCCCTTTCCACTCCAGATTTTTCATGCAGCATTTTTATGTGTTTTCTCAATTTAGGGACTTTTCTTTCTTTTCTTTTTAAAAGAAAACATACGTTTTCTGATTGATGCAATTGAATTGGTCAAGAATAAGAAAGCTGCATTTATCTTTTTAGATGTGGAAAAAGCTTTTGATAATGTGTCTTGGCCCTTCTTAATGAAGACTCTCCAATACTTAGTCTGTGGCTCAAGCTTTATGAATTAGATTCAAGCAATTTATACTAATCAACATGCTAAGATTTTAATTAATGGCGTATTAACTGCCATTTTCCAAATAGAGAAGGGAACATGCCAAGGATGCCAAGACTGGTCTATATAGTATATCATAGAGCCAATTGAAAAATTTGGACTATATTTAGTCTATAAGAGCAATAAGAAAAAAACAAATATTATACAAAAATTTGCAACCAAACAGGAAGAGGAAAGTATAAAAAAGATTTCAGGATGCAAAATAACCTCAAACCCAGTTAAATATTTAGGGATAAATATAACAGTACATAATAATATGCTATTTCAAGATAATTAACAAACAACATGGATGAATATCCAAAAAGATCTACAAAAATGGACTAAACTAAAAGTATCATGGTTAGGAAGAATTTCCATTATAAAAATGAATGTGCTACCTAAATTGAATTTTCTATTCCAGATGGTACCAATTGCTCTACTAGGAAAACTCTCCAAGAGTGACAGACAACTAAATACCTGTATTTGGAATGGCAAAAAGCTGAGGATCAGATCCAAAATCCTTCAGGATGAAAAGGAGAGAGGAGACCTTGCAGTACCTAATTTAAATCTATACTAGTATGCAGCTGACCTGGTCAGGATTGCAGATTGGATTATAAATGCTAATGATAGACTAGTGAAGTTAAAAATAGAAGATCTTGAAGATGGAATACACAACCTCTCACAGGTCAAGGAGTCAGTTAAAAAGGCCTTGATATCAAATAATAACCGTGCATTAAGAGACAACCTAATAAAAATTTGGTATTTCATGAGAAAAAAAATAGTCCTAAAATCTCTTCTCCAATGCCTGCAGTTGGAGCATACAGAAAATACTTAAGGAAAAATAATTATTTCATAATTTGTGGGGATATGATTGACCAACAAGGTTGAGTCATATCTTGGCAACAACGAAAAGAGGAAGGAAATCATATGTAATGGTTTGTTTATCACCAACTGGTTTCAAGATTGAAAGGGGAAATACAGTCAGGGAAAGGTACTGTAAGAGATATGATAGATTTTGAAAAGTTGATTATACAAGAAATAATTATCTGTTAAGAGAACTTTACAAACAGTTACTACAGCATGGCACTGAAAACCAACAAGACATGAAAAGTATGACAATTTGGAAGCAAAATCTTGGAGAAGAAATATCATCTTGTCAATGGGAAGCTTTAAATTCACAGCTAGCCAGGCACTAAGAGAAAATTGGTATAAGATGTTTTATCGGTGATAAATTACTCCAAAAGATATAGAAAAAATTGATAAGTACTACAATGGAAAATGTTGGAAATATAACAGGGTGGATAGGACTTTCTATCATATGTGGTAGATCTGTGAAACTATTAAAAGATTTTGGAAATTGATACATGTGGAAATACAAAAAACCTTTAAAACTGAGTTTCCTGAGTCCAAAGAATATGCTTTTGAATATAATGCCAGAGACTTTTTGAAAGAATATGTCAGAGTTATTACATGTATGACAATTGCAGCAAGAATTATAATTGCTTCTCAATGGAAAACACCAGAATCCTCAGCAATTGAAGATTGGAAAATTAAGTTGGGAGAATATGCATTGATGGCATAATTAACTAATTATGTAAACAGAAGACCAATTGAAGAATTTAATGACAAATGGACATTCTATTATACCCAGTACAATTAACAGGATGTAAAAGGAAGCTCTTTCAAAAGTAGTTGATGATTTATAATTGATTTAAAGCAATTGGAAAATTTGTCAGTATTCAGAATAACTCCCTTTTTTCTGAACTTCCATAGAGTACTGAATGAAAGAAATTTCTTTGAAATTTGTGGGCTAGAATGTATTGGTTATATTTGTTCAAAATCCCTTGGCAAAGTTACTTTATTACACCCCCTTTCTTTTTCTGTATTCTATTTATGTCAAGAAAATAATAAGAATAATATTGTAAAAATGAAGAAATGCTTGTGTCTGGAATGGAAATATTCACTGGAGCTTGCAGAAAGGAGCTCTGCTGACCTGATCTGATATGGAAACTGATTTAGAACGGCTTGCTCCCCCTTGAATCGTAGTGCCTGCTGGTAAGCAGGAACACAGCAGACCTATTGGCTACTGACCTGATTTATTTCTTACATTCATAGCAGCTGTTTGATATACCTTGCCAATTCAAAAGCATCCTTTTCCCTCATTTCCCAAATCAATTTATTTAATACAGCAGATGAACCTTTAGATTTATTAAAATATTTTACTGGGAAGAAGATGACAGCCAGAGGACATATTCACCCTCAGAATCCCTGCTCTATGCAGTGGTGCACGATCACCTGCCTTCTGCTAAGTACCTGCTCTTTAATTTTCCAGGGGGGGCTCTCAAAGTCCCTGGGAAGCATTTCTGCTATTGCCCATCCTCTGCCCCTCACTTAGTTATGGCTGTAACCACCAATCGTGGGGCTGATCATCAGTATTGCACACAAGCAGCCCAGTCTGAACTCCTACACCAATAGGAGTGGCTGCTTTCACCTGGAAGATGGCAAGACCCCTCTGCATCTTGCCTGCAAGTTCTGGAGGGCAGAGACTGTCATAATCTTCCTTGGGAATGGGGCCTCTCCCCATATAAAGCTCATCCTAATGATAATCTCATCCTGGAACAGATGTGGGACTCCAAAGTCAATGTGGCATCCAAAATCTCTTCCTTGATCACCTCTGTCTGTTCATGCCCAACCCCCAGTTCAAGATGCAGAAGGTCCTGTGGGAGCATCCAGACCACTGGGCAGTCCTGCTAGGGGAGGACAAGTTCAGCAGCCTTGTGGGGAAGACACCTGCATCCTTATATCTCCAAGCCATGCGAACCATCCTCCAAACTTTTTCACCCTCCCATTTCCCTAAAAGCATCCAGGAACTTCCTGTACCTTTGCTCTTAAACCCCTTCCTTGCTTGGGTAAACAGCATCTGACAAAAAATGTGGTAAATGTTTTTTCATGATCCCTTCTTAAAATGTCAAATTCAAATGTAACCTGTTCAGGCAGGATTTCCAAGGGCGCTTCAGGCTGCAGACCAAGCATGGAGGATGGCAACTAGGGGGAAGGCCTTTTCTGTGGTGGCCCCGCCATCTTTGGAACAGCCTCTCTGCTATGGCCTTTAAAGATCTCTCTGGTCATCCAGGATCCACATAGGTTTATTTATGTCTTTTTTCTTCCTTCTTGGCTGGGTCTTTTTCATTGTATTTAATGTATTTTAAAATGTTTTAAATGCTGTTTTATATATTGCATTTTGTTGTTTTTATATTCTGTTGTGAACTGTCCAGAGAGTTGTGACAGTTGTGAACTGTCTAATCACTTACATTTCTTCTATAGGTGGTATAGAAATGTAAGTAATAATAATTTTAAAAAATTGCTCTCACTTTGTCCACAGATATACATCTATCATTAAATTAAATATCAAATAGATAAATAGAAAAACATCCAGTTTTCCATATCTTCTCAGCAATAAATTAAATAGTAACAAAACAAGAACATATATTAATTTCTACAATCCATTTATATTTTCCAATACTTTATAAAAGGTTTCCACTCCTCAATAAATTTGGAGTTCTTTTGTCTACCAGTGACAGCCAGTGTGGTGTGGTGGTTAAGAGCACAGAACTGCGGCTCAGGGAGTCTAGGTTCTAGTTCTCACTCAGCCATGAAGCCAACTGGGAGACTTTGGGCCAATCACAGACTCTCAGCCCAACCCATCTCACAGGGAGGATTGGAGAGCAGGAGGAGGAGGACTATGTAAACCACTTTGCATCCTTTGTAAGAAAAAAGCTGGGATATAAATCTAATAAATAAATAAAACCATCGTCACTGTAACTACTTCACTAATTTTCAATAATTTTTAACTTTGCCAAACTTTAATACCTCATACTTTATATGTGGTTTGTTTTATATTTTTTCAGTTTTTGGCAATCTTTTTTATTGCCGTTAACAAAATAGATCTATACAGTCAATCATTCTTTTGGATCTTGCAATGGAAGAATGCTGATGTTATTTTGTAACATATTGTATCCAGTTATCTTGGCAAGATCTCTCTTGTTTCTAAAATTCTTGAACCTTTGGACTTGTCAACCAAATCTTTATATAAAAGGCCTATTTAGTGCTTTTTTTTTGTAAAAAAAAAAAAAAAAGATGCCGGAACTCACCTCTTGGGGTCACACTTTTACACTAAAAAAGATTTTCAATTCACCAACTTTTTTTGAAATAAAGAACTTATTTACCTTTTGCACATAGCCAGTCACTCTACGCACACATAAACATAATGGTCGCCGCCGGCAGTAAGCACTCAGCGCGCGACCACACGACCAATCCCAAGCCAAGCAGCGTCCCAAGCCGAGCAGCGCCCTCACAAGCAGCGTGGACACACACGCAGCCTGCAGGCCCTATTTTAATGCTTTTTGCTGCCGACCTGCTACGCCTGAGAGGGTGATTCACAATCACATGGAAAAATCCGTCAAAAAAAGGTGCCAGAACACCGTTCTGGTGCGTTCTATGACAAAAAAAGCCCTGGGACTATTGTGTCCCACATTTCCCTGTACCTTTATCCTTTCTATATGTTTTATTAAATATATGAGAAGTTAGATATTATTAGTAAATCAGTGTAAAATCACTTTTAAATTAGCACTGATGAATTGGTCATTCCTTTCATAAAACTACTTTCCATACTTCTTCAGTAATTCCATACTTTCACTATGTCCCAATTAGTTTTTTTTTTAATCTCCTTTTATAAGTCTTGATGTAAGGATAAATAACATATTCTTGTCAATAAACCTTTAATTGCACAATCCTATTGATTCCACCTTTGATGCAGGTAAGATTGGAGCTTTATGTGCATTCTCTACCCAAAATCAGGTGCATCCTGATTTTTATCTAGATTGCTTTCAACTGTCTAGATAAAGCTCAGAGAAGGAAAGGGCAAGGAGGCTGGGACACTGATAGGAGTAAGTGTCTTAGCCCCAGTCTTCCTTACCTACCACCTAGTGTGTCCTTTTTTCTCCCTTCAAGAAGCATTTCTGACCTCAAGGGAGGCAGTGGCATGATTCTCTGTTCTGGCTGCAAAGGTGGGGGGAGGCAGTGGCTTATCCTTTGGCATCCCTGTTCAGAGATCTCCCACCTCCTGATAGTAACAGGAAGCCACAGGATTGTGTTCTAAAACATTGTGTCTCCACAATTAATTTTTCAAATTTATGCCTGCCTTTGACTGACTGTATATGTAGTTTTTAATCTGAAATCATTGAGGTTGATAATGCTGCCTTCTCCTTAATTCATTCTGCTTCATGCGTTGTTTTCTTATCATGTTCCTAACAATTATGGTATCATATTTTACCCTTAAAGGGTTTTTGCCATCAAGAGACTTTTTTTAAATAAAGATGATTAAAGGGATACAACTGGACTGAAGTACTTTTTCCCTGTATTCCATGCCTTTATCATAGTCAGAATAAAAGGGGGTTTGAAGTTCAAAATTATAATACTTCTTTTACTAAACCCATGCCAGTTGGAAATTGAACTGTACAACAATTTTGTTCTAGCTTATACCAGAAATTGGCAATGTTTGCTGTACTCTTTTATTATCTCTTTTAATGGCATTGCTTGATGGTATTTTGCAAAATGTGGCATAATACTCACCTGAGGTTCGGGTCTTTGTAATATTATTAAAGTTCTAGGTTTCTTTTTGCCCCATATACCTCAAATGATTCCTTAGATTTACTCTCCCTTCCATCCACATACTAAGCCAGTGGCAAAAGATCAGAATATACAGAATATCCCCACAATCCCTCCAAAACTCATTACTGTACAATAATAGAATATGGGCTTACCTCCAAACAGGACACCATCATTTTTAAAAGCAGTGTGTTTGTCAGTGGCAAATAGTATTTCCTCCATAGTAGTTGGTCCTGGTGTTAAAATTTCTGTTACACATATAAGACGATATAACTTCTGTAGTGGCTTGGTTTGTGGTGCCTCTGATGTTTGAACTATTGCTGAAGTGTCTTGAGATGTGATGGCTGGAGTAGAATTCATCGCTGTGGAACTCTCTGATATTGTAACTGTACTTACTTCTGGTATACAGGAATTTTTCCATATGTCTGAAAAGAGCATGAGAAACATGCAATGCAATATGCTGGCACTGTTTGGCATATTGTTTTAAAAACACATACTTGGAGTAGATTAGTGTTTCATCTGAACCTTCCCTGCTTCCTGAAGGCAAAGGTAGCTTATAAACCACGCCAAGTCATGGTTTTTTGTTGGTTTTAAGAAATCCACTGTGGCTTGCTTTGGTTGTCTGAACCTGGACATGTTAAGACATGGCTAAGTTGAAAAAAAGGCTACAGGCATAAAAGAGTGGCTGCTTTGGTCAAAAGGGTCTCATAGTTAAGAGCCAACCAAGTGGTCATCAGTCTCCACAGCCCCCAACTTGCCGATACCATGTTCCTACCAGGTTCTGCCACATGCCACCCACTCAAACAGCATTTGGGGTCTGGACTGCTGGTGCACAGCAGGGGATGGGGATTCTTGACGTCATTTCCTCAGGGGGAAGCGAGGCCAAGTGTCTGGATCCTATCTGCTGTCACCATTGCGGCAGCAGGCAAGATCTCAAAAGAAAGGCAAGGAGAGGGGCCTGGCACCTTCCATTTCACTTCTCCTTGCAGGGAGAGCAGGGAATTTGGCAGGCGATGTTTTCTTCCGCCTTGGCACCTGGCAAAGCCACAGCTCAGCTGAGCACTGGCTCCACTAGGTGAAGTGCAGGGACAAGCCATCTTGTACTGGCCCTCCATCCACAGGTGCTGCAGCAAGCAAAGGTGGCAGAAGAGCTGGGGAGGGCGTGTTCCTTCCCATCACCACCATAAACAGCAATGACATGGAGAGGCACCCACTCTCCTGTTCATCCAACAGAGTTCTTCTTTCTGTTCCTTCCTCTTTACTGCTCAGCCATGGTCCTCGTCAGCTGCGCAGGGCAATGGCCAAGTGGCAGGATGCCCACCACATGGTGGGCTTGGAAGCCCAATGCAAGGCAATCTGGGTTCTCCATCCCTCACTCCTGCCTATGAAGGGAGAGTGAGATTGTTCATGAACAGCCCTGCTCTCCCAGTATCAGCAGGAGTGCAAGATGAGAAAGTGGTTGACAGCTGCCAAATGTGCTTATTATGCATTTTCTGCAGCTGTCATCCCTGCTCTCCTCAGTGTCTCCTGGGATACCCGCAGGAAGACTGAAGGAGGGATGTGCCTGATCACTGGTCAGGTACAGCAAGGACCACCAGGCAATTTTAAGCCCAGAGTGGCTATATAGCCACCCGGACTTCCTCTGCACCTGGTCACTGAATTGCAGTCAACATTTTTCTAGGTGTTACAGTTTGTCACTGTTATTGCTGTTTAGAGCACATGTCACCACCACCACTTTCATCACTTCTAATAGCAGACTCAGGTGACAAGTATCAACAGGGTGGAGTCAGAATGTGGCTGGTAAGAAAGGGTATCAGCAGAACTGCAACCATTTTTAGAAAAATATCTTAAAGGGGCATCTCTCACAGTACTGTTCAAATAGTAGCTTAATGAATGCTTTGCATGTTTATTACTTATGCAATGTTAAACCTTAGTTAGGGTGGTATTTGTGGTAGGGGAACATGCTTGTATTGGCACTTTCTCTCCTGATATGGGAAAAAAAGCAACTAGTTGGAATAGAACAGAAAAATTGGTATGCAGTGCTTTTCTCTGGGAACAAAGTTAGGGAAGTACATATGTGATCCTGATGAAAAAAGGGCCTCCTCCTTATTTAAAACAAAACAAATGGATTGATTATACACAAGTAACAAGGTAGGCATGTCATGAGTAGAGCTGGCTGGAGCCAGGGGTCAGACTAGATGGCCCAGGAGATCCCTTCTGACTTGGTGTTTCTATGTAACAGTATAAGTCCAGTCAAAACATTGGTTCAGAAAATTAGATATTATGCAGGAAGAATAATATCTATTTGAATATGTAATACTTGTTGTATTGCTGTGTTCTTAGAAGATGACCAGCATTTAAAAAACTGTATCTACAGGTGTACTTAATATATTATAATAAATAATGAAGAACTGGGCAGCCAATGTGATTTTTACTTTGAAGAACATATTCATATGGTTTACCAGCTTAATAGATATAATACCAAAGGGTCAGCTGATTATTTTGAAATAATGGAGAGAAATTACCTCAGAGCAGTTCTTTAAAATTATTCCCCAGTGAGACTCATTTTTATTGAGTAAGTGAAACTACTTCCTTCACCAGAGTTTTAACTGATAATGTAACCCTCAACAAAAATGTTAAAACAACTGAGATCAGACCAAATTCACTTTTTTAAAAAATCAGGGCTGTTAGTGACAAACATGCTAGTTATTAAAATGGTCCTTATAGCTCCTTATTGCAGTACAACTATTTAATTTGGAACATTGTGTTATGTTTTGCTTTTTTTTTTTTTTTTTTTGGAAAAGTCTATTAAATTTTGCATATTCATGAAGTAGTCACTATGATGTGTCTTTTCTGAACCATGGGCAACCTTTCTCCTTTTTGCTGCAGAAAGGATCATTTTCTCCAAAGATGGTGCTTGAACTGCATGAATCCTGCATTACCCCCTGCCCCCAAGCCCCAAAATTTCTTCATTTGTCATTTATACATGCAATTCTTGCTCTACTGGGCTCCCTGTTATAAGTGTTGTGTGCAATGATGAGTTCATGGGGAATCTAGGTTACTGCTTCCTTTGACATAGCAACTTACCTTTTAAGCATCCTCCATGTACAGACCCCAGGGTTCTGTGTACCAGGAAAACCTGGAAATATCTTTTCAGCTTGTACTTATGGAAAGATTCCCATGTACTCCCTCTCTCTGTACATGTTGGACAGGCTATATTTCAAATGTCAAAACCTTTGCCTAGAGGATCTAACTTTCCTAACCCATCTGCTTCCCTGATTCCACTATGTTTAGAATGGGAGCTATTTCCTATGAACATTTATAACATGCTGGATATCAAGGGTGAAGCTTGTTCTCTGACAATAAGCTTTAGATTCCTCTTTTGGATTTTCAGCTTTCAATTATTCGGGGTACAGTTCTATCTTCCCTGCAGCAGATGCATGTAAGCCTTCAAGCTTGAAGACTCAATGTGCATCCTAGGCCCAAAACAAGACATGGTAGCAGCAATCTCTACCGCTGCACCTTAAATTGGGGATTTTCTTTAAACAGCCATTCTCAGCTGTCCAGATTTAATGCTGGGGGGGGGGGGGGGGGAGGCTGGCTTGCCAGCTGGATGTGGCAGAAGCCTGTAGCCCCAACTCCTTCCTTCCACTTGCCAAGCGGCTGGCATGCCCCTTTTTTCTCTTTCTGAGGCCCAATTGCAACCTCGGCGGAGGGCAGCAGCGCAGTTCTTTCCACAATGGCTGCAAGGGGAGTGGGGCAGGACCTTAGAGCTGGGACTCCAAAGAATCCTATGGCCTCCTAGACATTGTTAGAGGCCATAGTATTGCAACCTTAGAGAGAACAATGGCTTTTCTTCTTTTTTTTACACTGTCTTTCTCTTGATTTTCTCATTCTTTGTATTTCCATCCCTCTTCATAATAAACTTTCTTAAGGCACAATCCTGTGCATACTTAGAAAATGTCATGCAGCTTCCAGCTACAGAAATTTTTTCTCTGCCTGAACATGCATGGGATTGTGCCCCTAATTTGAAAACTGGATGACTACATTCTTTGGCAATTCCAACAATTTATTTCCTTAAGTGCCTTACAGCTTATCTACACTAAACACTTTGACCAAAGAGAGGAAAAACAAAAACAAGCTAAATATGCTCAGTGGTGACTGAGTGGGATGGTATAAATTGGTGACCTGCAACAGCAGGGTGTTGGACTCGCTGGCTTTCTTGGCCCCTTCCAGCTCTACTATTCTATGATTCTGTGGCAGTTGCCCTCTCCTAGGCTGAAAATTTCCTTGCACCTCTTGGAGTTCCTCTTGCCCAAAAGTTAGGGTCAGCTGAAAGATGGTAGACAATGGAAACTGGATTGTCACATGCTGACTGCAACCTCACCATAGCTGGCCAATCTCCACAAGTGTCACTGCATCCATTTAAAGCAGAGGGTTGATTAAAATATGCCTCATCTTACTCACCTGAAGAATTGAAACAGTAAACACCAAATTTCCTTTTTGCGTCTTGTCTCCAGGTGGCCACTCCAGTTTTATTCTGACCACATTTTGTATTTGGAACAATGCGAGAAATGACCGTATATCGCTCTGCTACCCAGCCAAAACTACAATGAAAAACATATTTTTTTCTGTGAGGTATATGCCCATATCAAGTTATATTATGAGATAAACCCTGGTATGTATACTTTGTTTACTGCGGGGCAATGGATAGTGCTGTATTTCTGTTTAGTCCTGAAACTGAACAGACAACTTTAAGAAGTCATTTTATCCAAACTATTCTCTCTCATGGAGTTCCTGCAGAGTAAAGGAAATGAGAAGCTGCACACTCACTAAGTAGTGAAACTTGTTTCTTCTTAAGGAAGATAGGGACATTGTCTGCTACTGGTATCTTTTTGGAATTAGCAGTTCAATTTATCATTACCTCTATGATCTAGTTTAGGATACAGTCTAAAAGAGATGAGGAGGAGCCTCTAAACTGTAACAGAGGGAGATGCACAGAGAGGCAATGTCATTCCCACCAATCCTATTAAATTCTAAATTCATTTTTCCTCTTCTTTTCCCTTGTATGTCATGTCTTTTTAGACCTATATAGAATTTTTCTTTATCTGTTTTTGGGACGCACAGGCACACTTACAAAACTTTTTGGGCAATGCTGCAAAGCAGGTGTAGTGCAGATGACAGGACTGGCCTGCAACCACTTATCATTTCCCAGTAATGTCTTTGAGCTCCATGTGTGGCCTGGAAGCATTTGTGAGAAAGGAAGATGACAATAGCTGGACGGTCTCGTTTTTCTTTGAAGCAATCCCAACTGCCAGTAAGAAATGTTGGGGTTTTCCCCCCTTAAAGGAGGAGGGGGAGGGCACCTTGGTGGGCACCACAAAAGGTGTCCATGGGCTCACATATTGGCACCAAGATTGTCTTCCCCCTTTTAGACTGTACGCTTGCAGGCAGGAGCCATTTTGTTTAACTGGGTGTTTGTAACACTTGCTTTTTCTGGAGAGTGGGCACAAAAATGCTGAAATAAAATCAAAGATTAATAGTGAACTGAGATCCAAAGAAGTGCATAACTAGTTCTGTGACCCATGGGGGTTTGGGCTTTTCTGGATTTTACAGAAAGGGCTTCTCTACATGAGGCATTTAATGTGAGCACGTGATTCCCTCATGCACGTTTACAGAGCTTTTTCGTGATGTCATTCATCCTCCGAGGCCTCTCCCATGTTTTCAAGCTAGTATTGTGGCATTCAGTAAGAGCAAGGAAAGTCAGCCATTAAAATCGAAACAAAAGCCTAATGTAGAATTGTGATTATGCTGTATTGCAGCTATATCACAATTGTCACCTTTGGGTTGGTTAATAGGACATAAAGAAAAATCCAAATCATAGCAAGGGAAAACTTGTGTAAAGGATGCATTTTTCCTTCCAAGGAAATTGCATGAAGGAGCTTCAGTAAAGTAGCAAGTTAAACCTATTATGTAGTGACCACCTAAGATGCAGCATCTTTTTTTGAAAACCATGGGAAGTTTCAGGAAGAGTTTGTGGTATGGTATAGCAGGCTCCTGTTTTAAAATGGTGTTCACAGGGAGAGTTACACACGTTTCACTAAGCATGCCCAAGTTTCTTGAGGGTACCAAACGTAGCTCTGTCTATAAATTAATAGAAACTATGGACTTGAAACCCATTGTTCAAATGATTCCCTGAATAAATGTATTTAATTCCAGAATAAATTACCTATGTTAACTATAATAAGGATATTAAAAATAAGGAGAAGGAATTTAATTATTGTATGCTTTTATTCTTGATTTATCATTTATAATCTTTATAAAATATCATCAGTACATGTACAAAATGGTGATCTGTACAAGTTATCATAAAATAAATACAAAGTTGAAGGATTTTTGGTACCTGCAGGTCTCAAAGCCATGACTTCTAGCATGTTCAATCTCAGGTTTAGTTGCTATTCTTAGTCCCAGCTGCCTGCAAATTGCTTCTGCTTCCGTGAAATCAAAATTACGTTTTTTCCTATCCTGAACATGACTTATGCCACCAATCCTGCAGCTTGAAGTGACAATATCTGGAAATTGAGTAGATATATAACAAGTTATGCCATATTTAATTCACAGTTCTATTTGCAGGGTGGAGGAGAAATTGTAGAAAGAGCTGTCAAAAAGGCATGGAGAATCCATTTACATTGGCCTAGCATTAACTTCCAAGAAACTGGTAGATAGTTAAAAAGAACATGCATAGTGATTAATATTAAGGAACTTTCCATCACAAATTTATCTGAATGATTATCCCCTCCCAAAAGGAAACATCCAGCTGGTATTGCCAAAACATATGAAACAAAGCAACCATGATTCTTATTCTTCTTGCTCTTTCCTATCTACAGGAAACTATTAGAAAAGACAGTTGGAATTTGCTGTCACATCTATATAGAGATAAGTATGCTTTATTTGTCTTTTTCACTCCATTTAGGGAGACCATTGGAAGTTCTGTGCTTGGCAATTAACCTGAAGTGGGCTAACAAATTGAAACTTAATTCAGACCAGATAGAGGTACTCTTGGTCAGTACAGCAGCTGACCTTGAGATTTAAGAAACTAACTTACATCATCAGACATTTTTTCCATGTAGGCTGGAATTGTCTGCATTGGGCCCCCATGCTTTCTAGACCTATGAGCATGTTTGGAGATTTGAGGAGGAGCTGTAGGTGTCACAGCAAAATGGCTCCTACGGAGGATGTGAGTAGCTACATAGTGGCTGACTGGGCTCCTGGCTTCACTCATGTCCTTCACTCATGAGCCTGAGTATGAGCAAAAGTCGGTTCTAAATGCCAAAGCCAATCCACATATTTGACCTCACATTTAATGACGGGTGAAATCTTATGCATGCTTAAAGGGAACTCGTTATTTCTCAGCAGGCCTACAGAGGATTACTCTGATGGCCCTAAACATACACTTTTCCTCAGCCGCAAAGGAAAGAAAAATGCATCCAAAATGACATCATGTTGGATTTTTTCCTCCTATCTTGACCCTGCTGACTTCTTCCACCATCAGAGGCCCTGACTAGGAAGGGGGTGTATGTGAAGACAGAGTGAGGCTAGTAGAGGAGTAACTGTGAGGTACAGAGGGGAGGGAAGCAGAAATAGAAGGCCTGTAGCCTGTAGCAGGGAGGAGGTCAGACAAGGCAGAGGGGTAGAGGGGTGTGAAAGAGCAAGGTAAGTGGAAGAGAGGGAGACAGGAGGAGCCCATAGGGGAAAGGGTGTCTGGGCAGAAGAATATTGGGTGGGGCCAGGAAGTATTTCTTTCTTGTTCTTTCTCTCTGCCCAACAGCTGATCGGTGGCAGTTTCTAGGACAAAAAGGAAAACCTGGTGCCCTCCTATTTTTCAAGGTTTATTTTTAAGTTAAAAATACATTTATGAAAGCATCAAGGAAGGGAGAGCTTCACAGCCCTGTGGGAAGTCCCAGCCAGCACTGCTGTGAGAGCTCCTGTTCTGTATGGGTTGGAAGAGCCTGTTGAGGGGCTCCAGCAAAGCCTTTCCTTATTGCTCATCACCATGCTCTTTTTACTAGAGATGGCAAAGATAGAACTTCCTATTTGCAAAGCATGTGCCCTGGCACTGAGCTGCAAGCCCCCTCATTCATAAAACATCTTTTTCAGTTGGGTTGTTGCACTTTGAAACATCATGGTCACAGTATGAATGCATGTGGTCCGGTTTCCTACTAATATCAACAGGCCCCTGTCTGATATTCTCCTGGAAGAGCGGCCTCACCACCTTGGTACTACCAGGAAAAGGGAAGGGTACGTGTCCTGGATTCACACCAGACTCATGGTGGTGGCAGCAACAGGAACACCAAGGAGCTGGGAAGAGGCTTTAACTTCCTGCTCACCCAGCAGATGACTAGACTACCTAGAGGTAAGATATTTGCTTTATTTTACTGCAAATTGCTTTGAGGACCAAGAAGGAAAAAAAATTCTTTAAAAACAAAAATGCACACAAATCAATGCCAGCTACATGTGTTTAGACAAGAGGCCAAGGGCCCATTTCTATACCTTTAATTGACTGAATGGTGCCAGTTGCTGAGTGCGAGCCCTGTATGGTTTATTTTTATTTTTGTTATAACTTTATATTAAGTCACGTTAAGGGCATTTTCATATATGAGATACAATTCTGTTTGTTCTTAGGGCTGTAACGTTACTCACACTTTCCTTGCAGTCAGTCCCACTGAACTTAGTGAGAATTAGCTCTAAGTAGATTATAAAGGATATTCCTCACATATACTTCTGTTGGGTTCTCTTTGTCATGGTCCCAGGGCAGAAGGCTTGATGCCATCCCGAAAAGGATTCTGAGCCCAACAGGATGCTAGACACCTCTGTAGCGAGGACCCTCAGGAACCCCCAAGGCTTTCCTCAGATTCCAACAACTTGGCCCTTCTGTCAAACTCAGCCTCCTGGAATTGCTCTTCTAAAGCCTCTCAGAAGCTTAAGGTTAGAGCAATGAGCATGAGCTGTACGGTTCATCCGAAACCCAGTGGGAGATGGAGCTTCTGAGGGACCCCCATTGAGCAGTCCGCTTAGGCCTTCTCTGCTTTACTGTGTTCTTTTGCCTGAACATGACCCTCGTCTTTCTGCCAGAGACTATTCTAGTGCCTGACTGACCAGGCACTCTTCCAGGGATCCAACCCTAGCCAGGGCTCTCTTCTGCTGGGTCACATTAATATCAGCATGCCACGGACATCGCATGAGAAAGTAGTGATATGATTTCTGGAGAGCTTTTTTTTGTTGTTGCAAAGGCAAGGGATGGAATTTGCAGTATTTCTGCACTTGATGTGGAACAGAATGTTGGGAATTGGGCTCCATATATGTTCATTTAAAACACTTTAAATTATAGAGTGTTTTATGAGCTTTCTGTTATTTAGTAGAACAAGTTTGTAAAATAAGTCAATGTTATTTCCCTTTTACAGAAGAGAATTTAAGCTGAACTGCTTGGCCCAATTTTTGTGACAGGCAGAAATGGTTACTTAGGATTCACAGAGTGGTCACTAAAGCATACTGTGTACTATTGTCTGTAAAACATCCTCTCATTAAACTACTCATTCCCCCAGGATAACCCTTTTCCCTAGTTCATCATGGCAGGGGAACCACATGCTCAGAGGCCACGAAAGTAGCGGCCTCCTATGTCGTTAGAACTGCCGCACAGTAAACGTTTAACTCATTCCTGGGGGCTTGTCATGCATCACTCTCCACAGATCACATGTGCAACCCGGCTGGGATTTGAGTAGCCCTATTGCTTTAGAATAGATCATACTCCAGCTTTTTAGGCATGCTAGCTTTCTTCTAATCCAGTATTGCTTTAACGCCTGTGTTCCCGTTCTTTCATTTCCTCCTGGCCTTTCAAACGGGATACTTCCTCTTCCTTCCTTGCTGTGCCTGTCATGCCCGCCCATTTCCACTTCTAGTCCTGAGGGACAGTAGCCAAGCCCACTGCCTGAATAAGTACATCCTGATAATATCATCAAATGCTATCCAATGACATCTTCTGCTGTTCAGAAACTCTGTAGAAAAGATCATAGATATTCGACATATTTATTCCTACCAGAATGCATCCATACATGTCTTGTGTTCCTTTTCTATTTTTTTAAAGTATGAAACACTGGCTTTGAAGAGCAAGTGGCAACTGCTTTTCATTTTGTTCCAATGAAAAGCATTTCTACTAAGTGTCAGGCTAAGACACACCCAACAGTCTCCCCCATCACCACATCCCACAATTAATTTCTTCTCCTGTCGGAAAATTCTGACTGGATCTTCATAGGAAGAGGTGATAAATGAGGAAGATTCCACCCATAACCTTTTTTTAGCTTCTCGTAGAACAAAAGGAACGAACAAGCTTAAGAACACTAGTGTGGAATTTTAAAAACCTCCAGAGGGGTAGCTGTGTTGGTTGATTTCAGCACAGAAACTAATACCACCTTAAAGGAGACTAAACTTTGATTGTGGCTTAAAGTTTCATGGCATAGAACGACAGATGCTTGAAGTATTGTGCTCTGTAGGCAGACAATTTATACACGAGTACAGTGAAAAAACTGAATAGTCAAATCAAGGAGTAGTGTAGTCCTGCAATGTTCAAATGCATGGATCAGCAACTCCCTCATGGTATCAATAATTGCTGGAAATGCTACATGTGGTGTGCTAGCAAGATATATTTTCAAAGTATTTGCATTCAAGTATTGTTACTTTAAGGTGTAATACTTCAAGTCTTAGGAGGCTGGAATGTTCTCTTACAGAACTGGCTTCTGATTATTTGAATATCAAATTTTCTTGGAGAATGAACTGTTTGTTATACAGAAGGGGGGCTTTGTTGTCACTGAGGGCATAAGAAAAGAACAAGCTCTAAGGATCAGATCAAAGGTCCATCTTGTTTAATGTCTTGCCTCAAAAAGGAACCAAGTAAATACTTCTGGGAAATGAATAAGCAGAGCCATACTGCTATTGCTTCCCAGAAGTTGGTATTCAAGAGTGTATGACCAAGAACATACCATATGGCCATCATGACTGATTGCCTTTGACAGACAGACCCTCCATCAGTATTTTAAAGTCATTGATGAAGCTGGAACTTGTAAAGAAGCTGAAGAGGGGAATCAAGATATTTAAATTGCTTCAAAGCACTTAGAGATTACTCAAACACATTATAACAGATAATATGCATACCACAAGTGAGAAAAGGTGGCACAAAGTCCATGAAATCACCAGCATGGCTAAGGCACAGAGTCAGGGAAGCTCTTAGGGAGAAAAAAGCTTTCTTCAAAAAATAAAAGTTTTGCCAAATGAAAAGAACAGATGGGGCCACAAGCTTGTACAAGGGAGATTGTAGAGAAGCTGAATGATTTTTTTTTATCAGTCTTCACAGCAGAGGAAGAAGAGCCGATACCTGTCCCTGAGCTTATGTATTCTGGAAGGGAGTCCAAGGAATTAGGGCAGAAAGTAGTGACAAAAGATGAAGTTCTTAACCTTATGCAGAAACTGAAAGTCAGGAAGTCAGCAAGTTCTTAGAGAACTCAAGCATGTGATTGCTGACCTTTTTACCCACACATTTAACGTGCCTGTAAAAACCAATTTTTAAAAAGGCATCTGGGGGAATCTGGGAAATAACAGGCAAGTTATCTTAACATCTAATAAGCTGAGGACAAATGAAAGGAGGTACTGCTTCACAGAGTGTATAGTTAAACTGTGGAATTCACTACCACAGGAAGTGGTGATATTGCCAGTCTGGCTGGCTTTAAAAAGAGATTGGAAAGGAGGCTGTCAGTGGCTACTAGCCTTTCTGGCTGCGTGCTTCCTTCTTTACCAGAGATGGCCTGCCTGCATCCACCAGTTGCTGATGCACCCATCCTGCTTGAGGATTCCTGTGGGGATCTCATTTGCCACCATGTGGTATGGAGTGCTGGACTATGTGGACCTTTGGTCTGATCTAGCATGGCTTTTCTTATGTTCTTAAAGTAACTAGCAGAAACACACAATCAAGTTACATTAGACTTCTACTCTTGACCTGCCTCACATGTGGATTACCAACCACGTGCAACAAAGATTTGAAACACATTTTGGACATCATAAAAGGATCAACGTGTTTAGCACCTCTACCTCATAACCATTCTAGATATTCATATATGATGCTAATGATGCTTACTTATTGCACCGGTGTCTAAAACATCAGGACAGTCATCCTTACAAAACTGGTTTTGTATCTCTTGCTTTAATCATTTTACATGTAAGTGCATTTGTCTCTTCTATGGAAAACATGCGACAAGAAAGCAAAACACTATCTGATTTTAAAGAAGAGCTGCCCGTAGCATCATAATTCCAAATCTGAATAATTCATCAGCATTTTGCTGTGGCTTCTGTCAGCTGGAGACTGCTGGAATTCCTGCTCACATAGCTGATGAAGTGGACTCTTATTCATGAACTCTTATGACATAATATATTTAGGCTTGGAAGGCACCATAAATTGATTAATTGATTTTAAGGCATTTTATACCATTCCTATTTAGTCAATTACTCTCAGGACAGTTTACAACAGATTAAAAAATATTTTTTCTTGAATTTCCTTCAACAGTCTAAAATGTATCCCTCTCTGTAAATTCTTCTTTGGGTATTCTGGGCATGGGTCAGAGGTTAAGTTGTAGAGTTGAGTCTAACCCTGCCAAGGAGCTAAATTTGATCGACCATTATCTATTGTTACTACTATTATTATTTTGATGATTTTGTCTTCAACATTGCAAAATTCTTTAAAAATGCAAGCAGCACCAGTAAAGATGAGTACTAGATGAAGAACACTTGGGAAAAATAGCACAAGCAACATATGTCAACATACCTGTCAAATCAAAAGTGTCCTGTATTGTGAACCCCACAATCCAGACTGAGAAGAAAAGGAGGGTAACTCCAAAATGGGATGCCATTGTCAATAAGATGTTGTGTCTCACCCCACCAGTGTGTTGATAATGCACTGTGATGCGTGGCTGCACCTTGTGAGCTCCAAGTAAGGTCCTTCCTTGACAGCTGCTGCACGGCCAGTGCTTATTTCACAGACAGGCATGAAGTTGTTGCTCAGTGCAAAAGCCATCTATTGGCCAAGGTCACTCTCAGGAAACACATGACACCTATCCAAACTCATACTGACTCAGAAAACATACAACTGGGGAAGAGAGATAACACAGTGTTATACTCTTATTCTTATCAACAGTAGGGAAATTTCCCCTGTACCACTAGGAAGCTCGTTCTGATTTAGTTCCTGTTTAGCCAGTTGTGACTTGCTCATAATTCATTCCCTTTTTTTAAGCTGCTAACTAAAAGCAACAGGCCTTGTCAACAGAAACCCAGGGAGGAATGGGGGACACCCCACTGCACTTTTTTGCAACTGAGGCTTGAAATTCACTCGTCCTTAAGGAAATGAGCACTTTTATGCAGACAGGATTTGAATATTTTTAATATAAGGTTGGGGTACACATTTGTGTATACAAACCAACATATAAATAAAACTACTGGGCAGTCATATGTAGCCCCTGCAGGTGCCACTAGGACTCTTTGAAGGGGCAGTTCATGGCAACCCATATCAGGATCAGGGTCCTGCTCTCTGGAAAGCTACATTAAAATGAAAAAACCGAAGATTGGCAGGGAGCTGAAAATGGCCTTGCATTGTGGCAGAGATGGGGAAAGTAAGTGCCAGCTGCCTCCAAGTGGGATTGCTTGTCCTTGGGATGTCTTGCCACTCTTGCCAAGTGAGTTTCTGAGGGATCAATCATCTGAGTTTAGACAACAAAACAACCCACTGCAGAAAAAGCAAACCCAGGAACACCCAATGGGTTCTCATACTGGGTTGTCTGGAAGCAACGTTAACCCACCATGGGCTTGGTTCACACAACATGCAAACCATCCATGCACACCCATCACATGTGACAAGCCATAGCTGGTTTTTGTGTCATGCAAGCCTGCACCATTTCCCACTGGGTGGCTTGTTGAGGACAGCAAGCTACCCTGAAATCCCTTGACTTGTTTTAGGAGGTGTGCTCACAATGGGTTGTTGTGCTATTTGAACATGGGTGACTGATCCCACCAGGGTACTAGGAAGCAGGTAGGGAGCTGCTTGGCAGGAGTGGCAAAGCCGCCTTGACATGCTTGGCAAGCTTGCCTGGGCCACTGCCAGCTACCTCACAAGTGCCCTAGTGGCACTTTGGGACAAACAGCACTGACTCCATGTCCCCCAGTGTGATCACAAGCCCTTTTGTGTTTGCCAAAAGGGGTGTGTGGGTGTGTGTTGCTCCTTTTACCTAGAAAAATTTCCAGAAATTATCAAAAAAATTGAAACTAATGACAGTCTTTTTAAAGTGCCTGAATGTCACATTGGAGGGGCTGTCATTGCTTCATCACCCTGTTAATAAAGGTTGTACCCCAAATGTGTGCAATTGTTTCCTTTTTTTTTGTTGGACATGTGCAAGTGCACACTTGGTAGAGAGCTGAAATGGCTCCCTCGCTGGTCAATGACCGAGAGGTGTTTATTGTTTAAGTGAAGCTTTGACCCAGAGAGGCTACAAAGAACTTCATTTTTTAGTTTATCTTGATAGCTTTCAAAAGGTGTGCTGTCAAGAGAAACCAAATCTGTGATCTCAGTTCATGCAAAGGGGGTTGCCAGTAAGTCAGCTTCTTCATGGTGAGATCATCAAGCTTTTTTTTCTCTGCCCTGCTCATCTGAGAGTCTTCTCACTTTTCACCCTTTTCTAGGTGCTCAGGGAGGCAAAAAGGTTTGAGATGCCTCCTTTTTATACAAACTATCATTTTTGACAGCTACCTAGCTGTCAAAGGTCTGCCTCCATTTAAAAGGCATATTTTGACCTATATGCTTGCGTAAAAGAGGTGGCTTGCCATTTTCTACCTTCCTGAGCACCTACAATATTAGGAAAAGATGGAAAAGAAAAGAACTATCAAAGAGAAAACATTAATAACAGAACACAGCACAACCTCAAGGATTTCTCCATGAAGGGTTTGACTGACTGGTCACCCCCTCTTTGCAAGTAAAGAAGGCATAGAAAAGCTGTTTGCAGCTTTGGTTTCTCTTGAAAGTGCACTTTTTGACATTTGGTATACAATTTTACTTTTTTTCAAACAGGTGGCAAACTAGTACCTCCAATGAGCCAGATTCTTTGGAACTGTCACTAGTTGTCAAAAGGGAGATAGCTTTTTGTGATCTCTGCTAAAAGGGAAAAGAGCAAAAAATACCCACAGGGAATGCAAAATGGCTTGTGATCATGGTAGAGAGAGGGCAGGATTTGTGATAGCAGCAGGTGGTAGTAGTATTGCTTAAAGAACAATTAACTTGTTTTCAGCATGGCTTCTTGTGATGTGCAAAACAGTGCACTGTGCAGAAAATGTATCTTCCTAGTTCCAATATAATTGAAATAACAGTCATAGTCTTGCTACATGGATCTGTGGTAAAAGTAAGGGTGGTCAACAGAAATTGATGTAGTGAAGTGAGACAGGGAGTCAACCTATTTTCTACCCCACAGTACTCCCAACAGCCATTCTGAGCAAGGCAATGCTAGTGATTTCAGAAGAACTCTATGACAGTCTTTAGCCAAGTGTTACATGACCCACATCACCACATCCTTTACATGATCTGCAAATGGCTAGGACTGCATAGTGAAGGAAATAAAAATCCAAAAAAAAAAAAAAACTAAACTAAACTAAAGGTCAGAGAAACAAAGCAAACACATACAACTTATAGGTAGTTTTACTTGTAAAGCGAACACATTGGTCTATTTAAATGCAAACCCTGTACTGCAAAAGTGTTTGTGGATGCACATGAGTACAGGTCTAGAAATTATACAAAGTTACTTGCACTTAACCCCTTCATGGATCACTGCCTTGTCGTGGCGAAGGGGCTTGTGTAGCTATGAGCCATGCCATGCAGGGCCACCCAAGATGGACAGGACATAGCAGAGAGCTCTGACAAAACGTGATCCACTGGAGAAGGAAATGGCAACCCACTCCAGCATCCATGCCATGAAAACCCCATGGACAGTACCAAAAGGCAAAATGATGCCAGAAGATAAGCCCCTCAGGTCGGGAGGTGTCCAATATGCTACTGGGGAAGAGCAGAGGGCTAGTACTAGTAGCGCCAGAAAGAGTGAAGTGACTGGGTCAAAACCGAAAGGACATTCAGTTGCAGATGTATCTGGTGGTGAAAGGAGAGTCCAATGCTGTAAAGATCTATACTCCATAGGAACCTGGACTGTAAGATCTATGAATCAAGGCAAGCAAAAGATGGCAAGACTGAAGATCGACATCTTAGGAATCAGTGAACTAAAATGGATAGGAATGGGTGAATTTAATTCGGATGACCATCAGGTATACTACTGCAGGCAAGAATCCCTCAGGAGAAATGGAGTAGCCTTCATAGTCAATAAAAGAGTAGGAAAAGCAGTACTGGGGTACAATCTCCTAAATGACAGAATGATCTCAGTTCAAATCCAAGGCAAACCATTCAACATCACAGTAGTCCAAGTCTATGCCCCAACCACTGGTGCTGAAGAGGCTGAAGTTGACCAGTTCTATGAAGGCCTACAACACCTTCTAGAATTAACACCCAAAAATGATGTCCTTATCATCATGGGGGATTGGAATGCTAAAGTAGGAAGCCAAAAGATAACCGAAATAACAGGCAAGTTTGGCCTTGGGAGTACAAAATGAAGCAGGGCACAGGCTGGTAGAATTTTGTCAAGAGAATACACTGGTCATAGCAAACACTCTTTTCCAACAACCCAAGAGACGACTCTACACATGGACATCACCAGGAGGTCAACACAGAAATCAGATTGGCTATGTGCTCTGCAGCCAAAGTCGATGTGAGCTTAAGTGGATTCCAGGGGATGGTGGAAGACAGGAAGGCCTGGAGGAATGTTGTCTATGGGGTCGCGATTGGTCGGACACGACTTTGCGACTAACAACAACAACTTGCACTTAAATGGACCCGCAGGGGTCCATTTTGTCCCCTTTGCTGTTTAACATCTACATGAAACCGCTGGGAGAGGTCATCAGGAGGTGTGGGCTGCGGAATCATCAGTACGCTGATGATACCCAGCTCTACCTCTCGTTTTCCACCAATCCAGGTGAGGCAGTGGCTGTACTGAACCGGTGCCTGGCCGAGGTAATGGGCTGGATGAGGGCCAATAAACTGAAGCTCAATCCAGACAAGACGGAGGTCCTGTTCGTTGGCGGATCGGGCTTCGGAGAGGGTGAATTGAACTTAGTCCTGAATGGGGTTGCACTCCCTCTTAGGGACAAGGTCCGCAGCCTGGGAGTGCTCCTCGACCCAGAGCTTTCATTGGAAGCTCAGGTGACAGCAGTGGCGAGGAGCGCTTTCCTTCAGCTTCGGCTGATCCATCAGCTGCGCCCCTACCTGGAGTATGACTGCCTGGCGACAGTGACACACGTGCTGGTGACTTCCTGCCTTGACTTCTGTAACGCGCTCTATGTGGGGGCTACCCTTGAAGACGGTCCGGATACTTCAATTGGTTCAGAATAGAGCTGCCAGGCTGCTGACGGGGACTGGGTGTTATGTTCACATGACTCCAGTCCTCTGTCAGCTTCACTGGCTTCCCATTGAAGTCCGGGCCCAATTCAAGGTGTTGGTGATGACCTATAAAGCCCTAAACGGCTTGGGTTCTGGTTACCTGAAGGAGCGCTTACATCCATATACGCCCGCCTGCCCCTTGAGATCTGCAGGAGAGGCCCTTCTCCGGGAACCCTCTGTGAAAGAAATTAGGAGGGTAGGTACTCGGAGGAGGGCTTTCTCTGTGGTGGCGCCCAATCTATGGAATGCGCTCCCCAGAGATGTCCGCCTGGCGCCGTCGTTATTTGTTTTTCGGCGCCAGGCGAAGACCTTTTTATTTAAACGTCATTTTAATTGTTAATATTATTTGCTTATTTTATCTGGCCAGGGCGACTGATTTTATATTGTTAATTTGTTTTATATTTTTAATGTATTATATTTTAATTTATGTTGTGAGCCGCCCCGAGGCTTCGGTGAATGGGGCGGCATAGAAATGTTTTAAATGAATGAATGAATGCAGAATGGAAGCTTTAAAATGTATTGATAATCATGTTTGTGTTTCCTTTTCTTTTTTGAAGCAAGATTCGTACAAACAGGAACCCTGTTTAGGATGAAACAGTCAAGGGCAGAAAAAGAAGCTATGAATCTTTGAAATTAATTTTGTTCAAGATAGTTAATTGCAGTTGTCTGCAGCATACCATTGCATTCTCTGGTGGAATTCCTATTATGTGCTCATGTACAGATGAAATAAGTCACATATGAGCAACAAAGGGGACTCTGGAACAATACTTTTATTTCCAAATCTCAAGTATGTGATGTTATACAGTACAATACTAGCACACCTGTGCAAAGTCTTACAAAATTTAAACAAAAGATAGTGCCTCTTGAGTTTTTCTCCTACAAAAAGACATCAGTGCTGTGTACAAGAAACAAATATGTCTTGGTAAAGCCAAATAAATAAATATTGCACTTCAAAAAACAACGCCCAAACAGAAACCTATTTCAGAAGGAAAGGCATAAAATGGCAATATTCTTCATAGCCATATGAGTCCTAGAATTGGAAGGAGCATAAACTCTATTTTCAGGTCATGTTGCACAATGTTTTCCTTGTCTTAGAAAATATAGTCACTGATTTTATTCTTGGGCAGTATGCAATGACAAGCACCCACAGGTGACCAGCTCTACTGATTTCATTGTGTAAGCAGTGTCCATTGCTTGGGTAATGCAGAATTAGCACTTGCAGGAGCATTCTGGACTGGAACTACTTATTTCTGGAACAGGGTAGGTTGGTGGAGCTCAAGTAAAGAAACTCCACCAACCTGTCTCCTTCCAGAAATGAGTGTTTCTGTTCACTGAAAGGCCCTGGAAGTGCTAGATCTCCATTGTGCAAGAGGTGGGCGCTGCTTGTACAAAGGACTTAGCGATGCAAGCAATGGTGAACCCCCTCGTGGACAGGCAGCACTGGATAATGCCCCTGGTGAACTGATAACCCCTGAGGAACATTTTAATTTTGGTTGCCCAGAACCCTATTAATGAGAGTCTACTGAAATCAATCCATTTTCCCAAGAATTAATGAATCAGTAAATCTTTTCTGCAGAAAATAAATAGCTTCAAGTGTGAAAATCTGTTTATATTAAGTAATTGTACTCAGATCAGTAGAAGAGAAGAAGACAGGAAATGCATGAAGAGCGGTTGCCCTGGTTTGGACACTTGCGTACCTTTAACCAGGGTTAAGGAGCTAGGATCGCATATGTAACAATTCCTTTCCTTTCCTTTAATCCTGACTGATACTTACTCTGGAACAAACTAGGAGTTGCTGATAAATAGGAAGTGAAATCAGAAGAAGCTAATTTTAAAACTAAGGTCATCAGCAAGCCATGGTGAATGCAGAGCTGATGTTAGTCTGAAGGCCAGCTAGGAAATGGCTAGAGACTTTGCAGATCACTTCCACAATGATGGTTATGGGAACAAGATTGTTACATGTACACCTGTCATTTATGGGTACACTAGTAACTCAGCTGCGCAGGAACTATTAATTTAAGTACTTTATTTTGTAAAGGTTGTTGATCACATCACATCACTTACTATTTTCCACTGTTTAGGAGGAGGTTTTTTTTCCCCTCAGTTGCATGTAGCGTTCTGCTTTGAGGTTTTGAGTGATAATTTCCTTATTCCTAGCTTTGTGATAACTCCTAATTTCCTAGCTTTGTGAATACCCTGTACTGACAGAAAGACAAACAGGTGGGTCCTAGATCAAATCAAGCCAGAACATTCCCTAAAGGTAAAAATGACAAAACTGAGGCTGTCATACTTTTGACTCATCATGAAAAGGCAAAACTCCCTGGAGATGATCATGCTAGGGAAAGTTGAAATGAGAAGTAGTTAAGGAAGACCAAACAAGAGATGAATTGGCTCCATAAAGGAAGCCACAGCCCTGATTTTAGAAGAGCTGAGAAAGGTTGTCATAGATAGGACATTTTGGAGGTCTTTCATTCATAGAGTTGCCTTAAGTCAGAAATTACTTGACAGCACATCAGAACAACAAATTTCCCAGTGGTATGTAGCAGTAGGTGCACGTCATCATTCCTCCATGAAGTATTTGAAGAAACATAATATTTCACCAGAGTGAAATCTCTTATTAGTCATGTCACTGAATTCAAAAGCCAGCTGAAATCTGTCAAACCCTTTAATTTCCTTCTTCCAGTTTGAGAGCAAGTGTCACACATTCACATTAGCCTTATTAAACATGCTCAATCACTACTTTACTCTTCTGGAGCCTTTTAGAGACATCTCCAAATGGTGAAAATATACACAAAGCTGTGTTTAGGATCAGTATTAGGTATCTCACCAAATCATCTCTAGCTTTCCAAGCTGCTTAACAGTAAAGATGCAACTCTCTCAGAGCAAAACTTGGGAGTGTTGATCAAAACCTGAGCTGTATTCAAACAGCTACTTGAGTTAAAATTGAAATCATGCTACAGATCTGTTTCCTGAGAGATTTAAGGTAATGGCTGTAAGCCCCCAAATCCAGAAGTCATGGTCATCCATGCAGAACGGGAGGAACAACAGAGGTTATTTTCTGCTAGATGGGCTTTTTTCCTTGCTTTGCTGGACTATTTCAGAGGGGCTGGGAGGGAAGCAGGAGGGGCATCAGGATAGTTTGTATCCTGCCCTTCCCAGCCTCTTTACCTCCTTGCACCCTTCTCTCCCCCTTCCTTTCCTGACCATGGGGAGCAGCCAGGATGGCTCTGGCTGCAAGGGGACAGAATGGGGTGTGCAACTCCAAGGTTAGGGAGCTGCCTCTGACCTGGAACTGGGAACCTGAACTCTCATATCCTGTGGCCCTCTGATGCTGTCTAGGGCTCCCTTAGAGCTCCCTTACGCTCATTAAAGTGAAAATCAGTTTACCAGAAATCTGTGCTATTTTTCCCACTGAATCCTTACTCTTTATGCTTCTCAACAAAAGACTTCCTTCACATTCACTGCAAAACTGGGTCCTACAATGTGTGGGTGTGTCAGACAGAATGTATAAGAGTTTAAAGTAACGGTAAGCTATGACTATTTTATCAGCTCTTCATTCTCTTGGTCAGCACAATGCTTTCACCTCTGTTTTCGGGTCATCACTCTGCCATGGATGATGCATTGTCTAGGGTGCAAATGTGCAGAAATGTTCCACAAAGACAGTGTTTCCTTTACTACCTCTGACCGCAATATAGGAAGCACGATTGCTCGCAGAAAGAAATGAATGTCAGATGAATTTGTGTAAAGGGTTAGGGTTCGTCAGGGATGTCGAATGGAAAGTGAGTTGTTGCTATCAATGATGATACATGCAACACAAGGAAACACACCTCCTTATGCGCATGGCTGAGCTGCACATGACTGCCAATCTCCACAAGGCTTACAGCATCCCAAGAGATAGAGGCTGTATGTGGCATGATTCTTATGCATGAACAAACAGAAATAATGTTATCTTCAGCCTGTGCTTCACATTATTTTGTATAAGTGGCTGGAGTAGCAAGTATTCATGTTTCCATTCATAAAGAGCATCTCTTCTAGGAAGTGTGGAATCTGCCTAAAGACAAACATATTAGTGTTTTAGTATTTTCAGTTTTACCTTTTGCTCACTCCCTACAATAATGAAATCAAATATAAATGCATCTATTATAACTCAAAGGCTTAAAGGATATTGAACAGCCCCTGATGGCAATTCATAGCAGGAATCAACGCTGACGTTTCTGTAGCAGGAAGAGCTGTGGGTGGCATTTTTCAGAAGCACTACAGTCTGTGTTCCACCTCAGAGCTTCCAGAAGTCAATGCCCTAGTTTGTGCTCAAATGCAGCTTTTATATTTATTATGTCGGTGTGTTGATATTCAGGCACATCATTTAAATAATGATTAGCATAAAAGAGAATAGCATTTATTGGCTGGTGTATCTGGCTAGTTAAAAATCACACAGCAATCACAAGTCTGATGACACAAAAGAAACTAAGTGGTGGGTTACTGATCACATTTGACCACCATGGAAGTGATGAAGCTGCTTTGCTTTGTGCACTTCTGATTCAAAGCGGCTTTTTTCCCCATTCATGCTTTTGTTATTCCGTGTGTTGATCGTGTTGTAATCCCGAGTTCCACCAGGAATATTGCTGGACAGCAGAACAGGTAGCTTTCACTTGTTGCCCATCTCGTAACTCAGTACAGGAGGAGAAGTAATTATATAAACTGGAAATTCCTAGCACCGCAGCAAAAATGATGATAATGGCAGCCACAATCCAGAGTATGTTCCAGTGTTTATGCAGTTTGGGGTAAAGTATTTGTACGTAATGGATAACAACCTCAAGTTTGCTGTAAAATGGAAGAGGAGTAAGTAAAAATTGGGAAATTTCATTGAAACTATTTGAAGTCAGATACTTCTGTGATTTGAAAAACTGCAATAACATGCAAGACTCAAAAGGATAGCAGTGTGTATGTGATCCTTATTAGGTCATAGCTCTCAGGATTAAAGATAGGTCTTCCCCGCTAACATGATGATGCTTATTATTCTTGCTCATCTATGTGGGTTCTTTTGCATTTCCAAACTTTAGAGCTTTTATAACACAGAAATATCTTTTTGAAACAAGTATTCATATTTATATTAAAGGTACTACATCCAGTATCAGGAGAAAGAGGCAATATTCATAGCAAGTGTATGCTCGGCTGAACTTGTCACTGAGAGTACAGCTCATGGGATCATGCAGTCAAAAGTCCAAGAAATGCTAGAAGTGAAATTTCCCATGCCCTGTTAAGAACCCAGTATATTAATCAAAGTTGTTTTCTGTTCACTGTTCTAGAAATTTAATCATGAGTATTAGAAGCAACCAAATAACATAGTGTTTTTTACATGCAACCCATGCTTCAACCCACAGGCTTTATACAAATGGTGTGCCAGCCTACTATTCCTAGTATGAATTTCAGCTCCACCTGAATTTACTTAGACGATGGTTGGGCAGCTACAAGGGGGCTGAGGGTGATTACCCTGTCATTATTTAGAAATAATTATAATTAAGCCTGCTTAAAGGTTCCTTAATATATACTTGGCTTCTTTAAAGGTTCTTTAATATACTTGGCTTCTTAATAAGTGATTTTTCCCTAGTAAAATAAGCTCTCAATAGCTTTGCCTTCAGACCAGATGTTACAATTTTATAAACAAATCAAGTTATACACAATGCAATTTAAATTTGTAGAGAGTGCTAATGCAGTATGCTGCACATTTCCACTTTCCCCAAAAATCTCTGTCTCACCCTCACCCCTTAAAGAGTTTTTCCCACATCAGCAATGCTTCTGAAAAGGTTACATCTCTCATCCAGAAATCTTTAGGGTACTTTTAAGCACCTTATGATTTAAATCCAGACTGGTGATATCCTGCCTCCATTGCCTGCAAAATTATTCTTATGCAGGTTATTCTTCCTGCAGTATATAGGCCAAGCCAGGAAAACATCTTTAAAAACTCAGAAGAATGGACTCCTTCCCAAAAGATCGGTCTGTGCGCTGCTAGTGGGGGAGCTGCTGGAAAGGAAATTCTATTTTCACACTGGAATGTTATTCAATCAGACTCTGAACATTCCATAATAAGATGATGTACATTTCATTAAATATGAGAATACACTCTGACATTCTCAGTGAAACTATGTTTGTACCTGTGTTGCTTGCTGATTTCATAATCATTTTCACCTGCTATGAATTCATTGGGGTTTTCATGCATTTTTTCTTCATCAGCATCTTTCAGCTCTTCATGTTCCTTGGTTTTCTTTAAGCCTTCTTGATAACTTTAATTGAAAAAACACATATTTGTATGCTTCTTTTAAAAAAAGAAAGAGAATAAAATGTTTGTGCTATGTGACTTTAAAAAAAGTAAATGTTGTACAATTGCCTCATTAAACCTACTACTGTGCTTTAAATTGGTTCATAGAAATCAGAATGTGGTATCACCATTACTAAAATCTTATTCAAAAACTACCCAATAAGCTAATTATATATCAAGAGTTAGTTTTCAAGTCTCACAGAGTATCTACACAGAGTAGCCCTAAAGAGATCAACCCTGACTGCTCTTTAGAAGGCCAGGTACTGAAGATGAAACTCAAATGCTTTGGCCATGTAATGAGAAGGAAGGACTCACTGGGGATGACCCTAATGCTGGTAACAATTGAGGGCAAAAGGAGAAGGAGACGGCAGAGGATGAGGTGGCTGGATGGAGTCACTGAAGCAGTCGGTGTGAGCTTAGGTGGACTCTGGGGGAGGGTGGAGGACAGGAAGGCCTGGGGGAGTGTTGTCCATGGGGTCGCGATGGGTCGGACACGACTTTGTGACTAACAACAACAAAAGTTCATGCAGGAAAAATACAGTTAAAAATATTCAAAATTTACAATATATGGTATCTCTCTCAAATTCTGAATTTGGGCATCTGTATCCCATGTCTTTCAGGCAATGTCTGTATGATGAACACAAAAATCTCAGCTACGGTACTTGCATTAATTTGACATGAACTGATACTGGGGAAACAATATAAATCTGGACCTCACTCACATTTCTAAAAGATGGTTTCTAGAAATGCCTATTCAATAAAGCACAAAAGCATTTGCTTGAGAATAGTCTTTCAATACATTATATAGAGTCACTTATATACTACAATGATGAGTTATTTGAGAATTAATCAATGAAAGAAACATTGATTTATGAATGTTAAAAGCCAGTTTTAGAGCCCATCATCTCCAGGAAACTGTACCAGATGCAAAGTAGAGCTTCACACATGCCTTTGTCCACAGCATCCTGTCTATAGGGTTGTTTACACCATGGGCTATCACAGCCTCTACAAAGAATCTTTGGCCAAATGAAAAGTGCACTCTAGTCCTATTTGAACCTTCAGATGCACACATATGGGCGTAAAGTGGGAAGACAAAAGATTTGGGGACAAAAATGCAAGTTCTACCAAGAAATACAGGTCGGGCATTTAGCAGAATGGTTTCAAATGAGATTACAAGCAGATTCAGCTCAGCATGTTCAGAACCCACATTCAGGTCTTTCTGCTGAATGTGCAAAGGTCAGAGGTGGACCCAACAGATGCAGAGGTTGCATGCATGACTCCTCCTCACTTTATGTCTACGCATGTTTATCCATGTGCATGAATATAGCTACTGCGTTTAGCTAGAAGTATGTTATCCCCCTGCTCAAAAAGAGGCCACTTGGCTTGCAGGATGTGACAATCCATCATGGCTAACTAGTCATGATGACATGGTGCACTGTGGCCACTTCTCAAAGGGGGGTTTATTTGGGGGTAACAAGCCACCTGACAACCCATGGATTGTTTGATCCAAAATGGGTTGGCATCTCATCCAAAACCAGGAGAGCAATTTTATTACTGGTTGCTGGGATCAGCTAAACACCTATCATTCTTCTTGATCCCACCCATGTCATGGCCACTGACAGCCCCTCCACCAATGCTCTAGTGGCACTTTGGACAACCAGCACTGCTTCACCACTCACTACCCTTTAAAAAATGGGTCAGAACATGGAGCAAATGTTTTCTAATATTACCATTCCTATTCCTTTCATAAGGATGACCGACACAGCAGTGCTTATCTGTAGAGAGAAGTACTGTGACATGTGAATGCTCCCTGAGAGTCATCTGGCAATTACTGTGTCTTGTGCAGCAAATTCTGCACATCAAATTATGCATTATATAGACAAGTGCTCCCTTTTGTCTGTCCTGAATCTCTCACCAATCAGTTTCACTGGGTGATCCCAAATTCTGTTACTATTGAGAGAGAAGGAGAAATGCCACACATTATTTTCTAAACAACAAGCCTTGACTTTTTCTTCAGAACAGTTTTCTAGCTTTTCCTAACTGCAAAAGTGCTTCTTGGCCACTCTTGTTTTGGCTGCCCTTTTCCTAGTTCTACACTGTCCATTGCGAGATGGGGTGGCCAGAGCCATTCACTGTGTTCCAACTATGACTTCACCATAGCCTTGTGGAACTGGAGCAAACCTCAAAATCATCAGCTTGGCTAGTGAGAAGAGAAGGGTTATCCCACTTCTGAAATGGGGATTGTGATTTCACAGGGGTTTGAACTTGAAATATTACCAGGGAGGGAAAAATGTGGAGGCAAAAGAGTACCTACAGCTTTCTTCTGACCCTTCCTGTCTTTTTTTTTTTTTTTTTTTTTGGTAACTAGTATGTCATTAGTGCCGTTCCTGACACACTGGGGTAGAAGCATAGTAATGCAGAACAGAGCTCTGCTCTTTCTGTACCAAAGCAACCAGCAGGCCCAGCCTGTATAAACATTTAAAGATTTAAACAGTGGGAAGGACAGGAACTGATGCCAATCATGGTCACCACTCCTCTGGCCACTGAATCTTCCCCTGCTCACAAAATTCTACCTACATAAGCAAGCAATCACTGAGGGTCCCAGAATATGTGAGGCCTATGCCTGGAGAGCCTACACTGGTAGGCATCCCCACTGCTACCACTCATGCCTAATGTACAAACTTTGGGGGCATGGTAGAAGCTGCACAATCTCGGGCAGGAAAAGCAGCAAGGCTGCATTGTCCCTTGATCATGTGGAGTCCTCTTTGCATGAGCAGAACATGATGCCACCTAAATCTGACCTGAGAGCATGGTGACATAGAAACGGAGCAAGTCAGAAGAGGCCTCCCGGGCCATCTAGTCTGACCCCCGGCTCCAGCTGGCTCCATTCACGACATGCCCACCATGTGCATGTCCAGCCTATCTTTGAACACCCTCACCAGTGGGGCCTCAACAACCTCTCATGGAAGCCCGTTCCACACCCTCGGGGTCCTGACAGTCAGGAAGTGCTTCCTGGCATCTAAATGGAACCTTGGCTCCCTGAGCTTTGCTCCGTTGGAGCGCGCCTGTCTTCCTCTGCAGGAGAGAACAGGTCTCTGCCCATCTCCATGTGACATCCCCTCACATACCTGTACGCCGCCAACATATAACTTGGCTATATCCTTTCTGTGATGAGGAGCCCAAAACTGAGCACAATACTCCAGTTGTGGGTGCACCAGAGTCATACAGAGTGGTAGTAATACCTCTCTCATCTAGAAGCCACACTTCTGGCTATGCAACCAAGGGTGGCGTTCGCCCTCTTGACCACCGCATCACACTGCTGACTCATGTTTAGCCTGCAGTCAACCAGTACCCTGAGGGTCCCTTTCACAAGTGCTGCTCTCCAGCCACTTGTCACCTAACCTGTACTTATGACACCTATTCCTATGCCCCAAGTGCAAGACCTTGCACTTATCCACATTGAATGCCATCCTGTTGTCTCCTGCCCACTTCCATAGTCTGTCCAGATCCTTTTGGATCCAGAGTACCTGCTCCTCAGTTATGGCCACTGCTCCAGTTTTAGTATTGTCTGTGAATTTGATCAGCAGACTGTTCACCCCTTCTTCCATGTCATCTATGAAAAGATTAAACAGGATCGGCCCCAGGACAGAGCCCTGGGGGACCCTGCTTGTTACTGGCCGCGATCCTGACGATTCCCCACTAATGGTTACCCTCTGCTTTCGGTCAGTCAGTCATGCCCTAATCCACCGGACAGTGCTTTGGTGTATCCCAAAACTCCTCAGTTTCTCCACCAGGATATCATGGGGCATTTTGTCAAAGGCCTTGCTGAAATCCAGGTAAACCACATCCACTGCATCCCCTCCATCTAGCCATCTCAAAACCTTGTCATAGAATTCCACAAGATTTGTCTGGCAGGACCTGTTTTTGTGGAAGCTGTGTGGCTGCCAGCCTCCCTTCCCTATCTAGCATCGCTAGATCTCTCTCTATTATGAGCCTTTCCATTGTTTTTCCTACAATAGACGTAAGGCTAACAGGTCTGTAATTCCCCATGTCCCTTCTACTACCCTTTTTGAAAATTGGGACCACTGATGCCACCCTCCAGTCCTCTGGAACTTCACCCATTCTCCACGAGGCCTCAAAAATGGAGGCCAGCGGGCGTGAGGGAACCCCTGCCAACTCTCTAAGTACTCTCGGGTGTAACCTGTCAGGGCCTGGTGCCTTTGTAATGTCCAATGCCCTGAGGAGCCCCTCGACTTCAAGGGGGCTGACTCTAATCTGTGTCCCTAAGTCCCCGGCCTCATCTAATCTCCTATGCAGATATCCCCCGTCCTGCTTTGGGGAGAACATAGAGGCAAAATAGTCATTTAGCACCTGTGCCTGTTCCCTCATATCAGTCACTGGATCTCCTTCCTCCTTATTTAGTGGCCCCACCACTTGTCTCCCCTTCCTCTTCCTATTTACATACTGAAAGAAGCCTTTTGCTGCTCTTGATATTCTTGGCAAGTCTCAGCTCGTAATCAGCCTTAGCCTTGCGAAGACTCCTTCAGCAATGGGCCTCCTCCTCCTGGTATACCCTTTTGTCTATTTGCCCCAGTACCCATTTCCTACGGAAGTTCCTCTTCGTCTAATAATGTCATTTTGAAATAAACAGAATACCAGCCAAAATTTACCAAGAGGAATCTCACCCCTGCCCCCCATCCCTGCAGCTTAACAGTACAAGAAAATTCCTGAAATTTGCTTCTCTAGTCCACCATTGGAAGACAGACTTTCAGTCTGTGAAGCCATCACTGGACTGGCCTTGGTAAATAAAGAACAGTAGCAAGAAAAGCCCATCAGGTAGGAAATTGGCTCAGTTGTACATCCATATATCCCGAGGATGGTCAAATAAAAAGGCAAGTGAGCACAGGCAGGTTGCCTGAACCCACACACAACCATGTCCAAATATAGGGAAGGACCTGAATAATTTGGGAACATGCACCTCCAAGAACATCACATTCGTTGCTCTTCCAGAGGGGACAACATACACCTATAAAAAGCCAGATACTAGAGATCAACTGTACCAAATACTGCCATGCCTAAACCCCAGCTTTTGCAAATTCTTTGTTTTCCTGTGAAAGAAGCTGAGGCTTATTCTCTTTCATGAGGATTTTGAGAATTTCGGACAAACTTCTAAGTGTGCTTACTTTACTGTTATAAGGACTCAACTCCTGCAAAAGAGCCTTCAAAGGATGTGGAAACGGATTCTAAATCAGATGAAACTGAGATGCCAAGGCCAGTGGACTCAGAGATAAGCCAGGCACTAGTTCAGACAGCATGCTAACAAGGAGGAGGGTGTATTAGGCATCACTAATCCCAGGGTCAGGCATCTGTTAAAGGAGGCAGACCACCGAGAAATGTCACACACTCCAAGTGATAGCTCTGAGACAAGAGGACCCACGTTAAAGCTGGACGGCGTAATAGGAGTTTGGAAGAGAGGAGGCATACTCAGTTTGGAGCCACCATCTTACCACCACGGTGCATTTCTTTAATGGCTAGTATTCCAACTATGCTGGTTTCTTTTGTCACTGATTTCTTCAATATGCTTTATTTATACTTTTAAGCCAGTCTGATTGGCCACAGTTAACAAAATAAAGCCCTTTGGTAGAAAGCCACTGTCCTGGCTTGCCTGGAAAGAAGAAGAAAAAAGGACAGCCTCCAAGAGGGGTGGTAGTGAGTGGACGCGTTCTTTTACCGTTTCTGTCCCATTCTGTCCTTGCAGCCTCTCTGAATGCTTGAGCTTTCTGAAAAGTCCCCTTTTCAGACAAGGACCTCTTCCCTGGGAGCTTTCCAGTGAACCAGACCAAAAATGCCAAGTGCTAACCTGGCCACTTCTATTTCAGCCATTTGTCTTAGTTGAGGATGGCTATTGTTCTGAACACTTTATATATTTTTGTTGCCATTGTTGTTTAATAGAGACAAGACTGCTGTGCCTACATATACTGATAACAAAGCAGCAGGATTAAACACCATTTCACTGTAGTACCTCCTGAAGCATTACACAGAGTCAAAATGTTTTGCTTCTCAGAATTGTTCATTCTCTTGTAATTAATTTGCCTCCTTGTATTCATGGAACAATGTGTAAGTGGTGATGATGAGTTCCCATAGTGACTTAAAGCACACTCGGGGAAAAAAAGGCACTTTGGCGATTGACTTCTACTCAAATAAATGGCCAATTCAAGCTTGATTTTTAGCTCTGGGTTACCTGCAACGGACTGTGTTCTGTTCTGGAAATGCCATTGCTGCAATGAACAGTAAGAAGTGGCTACATCTCTGCAAACTGTTGTTGTGCATAGTAGTTGATAACATTAATAAAAGCAAGAACCACCCATCTAAAATTTCATTAGATGTTTAAATGAAGGTGCCTGTCATACAAAGTTCCTTATCAGCAATTCAGATTATCTGTGTGCTCACCCTTTGTTATAAGCTTCCTCTTCTATTCTGGCTTTTGTCTCTGGGCTGATTTCTTCCAAGCCAATCAGTGTGGGCACTGAAGGAAGAGGGTCACACTCCTGGTCTCCAGTTGATTTTCCACTAACAAATTTTAAAATAAACACAGATAACAGAAACATAATTTTTAGACGACGTAACAGAAGAGCAAGAATTTATTTTTGTTGCATGTTTATTGTTGGTTGACTGGAAGGCCCACATTTCCCAGTCTTACAAAAAAAGGAGTCACGCAGAATCGAGGCTGCTGTACCGCCCACAGAAGACAGTTTACTGATTCATAATTCCAAGCAGTTGCCTTTTTTTTATGTAAAAATGTGTAAATGAGGCTGTTACAAACAATGCCTACAAATTAGTGAAGCTGTTTTAGCTTTTGGAACATACTCCTCAGCAAAGTGTGCCTGGCACTGTCCCTGCTGTCCTTTCATTGCCAGGCAAAGACATTTTTATTCAAGAAATACTTTTAATGGATAGCTGTTTTAAATGTGTCATTAAGATCTCCTTCATGCTAGAGTTATTTTTATATTGCTGTTGCCAAACCCATTATTGTAATAGGTTTTTATTATGTTTTATTCTTTTAATTTAAAAAAATCTATTTTAAATTGTAAACCACTCAGCCCTATGGGCTAACATACATTAACATTCATTTAGTTAATACATAAGAAATGTAATAACTAAATGAATAAAGCCTAACATAGCAAGTCAGAGAGAGAACTGATACCTGTGCTCCCTTTCAGCTTGTTAACCAAGCCAGAGCCTTTCCTTGGTGAGTAAACTGGGGACCCAATTGCTTTGACCAGCACACTGCCCTATGCTGCTCCTCCCTCAGCCCGTGACAGCCAGCCCTGCCTTATCTCTAGTCCCTCCTCTTTGTTCTGGGTTGGTGTTCCAACTGTTTCTGAATGGTTTGTCAGACCACCAGCGATATTCCGATATTCCTACCTGACTCCAGCTGCTGCGGCCTTGAGCATTCCCTGCCTCTGGAGAGGCACTGTGGCTGACCACCAAAAAGCAGAACTTGAGGAAGGAGGCTTTGGACGAGGGAAGGTTAAACTGTGGTGCTTTTAAGCCACACTAGGCATTAGGTCAAGTCAAGACAGGACGGCTTGATACAGATCTGGACTACATCTTGTGAGAGAAGGCAGAATTTTACTCTTTCTCTGCATGGTTGAGCCTGACTATTCTCTTCCTTTCACAAGCTAATTCTAGCAGGGGGGGGGCACTTTCCTCCCAGGGCAAATAGATGTCGGTGGGGAAATGGTCCAGAGTTTGAAACCCCCTGTGTCACAGTTTAAACTCGAATTGGAAGCTCCTGCCACTATTTTAAAAAAAAGTTCAGAAAAAGACAAACATGCCAACACATATTTCTTATCTCATCTAGGGCTGGGGTGAATATCCCCATCACACCTTTGCAGGACCTTTACATCCTCTGTGGCAAAGGTTTTTGTGTGGGGGGAACTTCTTCAATCTTTATACAAACCCCTGTGAAAATTACAATTTCAGGTGTGGCCATACCTATTTTTATACAAGGTGACTGAATGGTGGTCTTAATTTCCCCCCCTTTCTTTCTTAGCAATATGATTTAGTGGCATAATTTAAAAAACAGAGCCTCAAATGCTCTTGCAAATCACAAGATGTGAGGCTTGGAGTCTGAAATGCCTGGTGGCACAGTTTTGAGCAGTACCTCTGCACTTTGCACTGAGAAAGAATAGCAAAGGAATGAAGAACACACAATTGCCTTGTCTAAAAATATATTCTTTCCACCCCATAGAATGAAAATTTCCTGAACCCACAGATGTTTGGAAGGGTCTTGGCCTCCACCACCTCAAAGCCTCAGAAATTCAGTCAGACTAAACATTTGTGTCAGCGGTAGCTGGTCCTTCTGTGGGAATGTTCAGTACCACGAGGTTCAGTTGGACCAGCTATTTGGCTTCTGCCTTCCCACCACCACCTCCTGCTGTCCCATAATACAATTTCATTGTTCAGCCTCATGAAGTAATTGGTGCATTGAACTTTCCTCTTCCTTTCCCATCCCATTTTTTATTGTGTTATCACATCTACTTGCAATGATTTTAAATGGTAAAGTGCCTTCAGAATTTTGACAAAAAGGCAGTAAATAAAATGTATTAAGCATATCTGAATCCCTCCAACTTAAAATGCACATGGCTAGATCATGTTCCTAGTGTCCAGTAATTATAATTCTTTTTAATCATAGATGTTTATGATTCTGTGATTCCTATCTCACTAGAATAGTAGAGGTTGAAGAGGCCAAGAAGGCCATCAGGCCTTTGCTCAGTGCAGGACTCCAAGTTAAACTACCCCTCTCAGATGGCGGTCAGCTGCAGAAGAGAGGAAGCTGCCATATGCAAAGTCAAAGGATGGGTCATTCTATTTTAGCACCACTTCCTCTGACTGCCAGCAGCCCTGCTGTTTCTTAGGCAGGGGTAACACTCTTACCAAGAAGCAGCTAAAGGAACCAGGATTTCAGCATGGTTCTACATGCAATGAAAGTGCTCTACCCCCAAACCACGGGGCACTGGGAACAGGAAGACATTGCGATGAGGAGCTGAGAGGCTCACTTAATGCCCTCTGCCTAAGCACGGGTCTGAAGTGTTGCCACAGATAAGTGTTAAGTGTAAGTGCTGTGAGATACTGTAAATGTGGGAGCACAGTGAAGGCACGAGATCACTGGCTACCAGGTGCTGTGAATCCCTCAGCTCATGCTTGTGATGAGGATTTTATACTCCTTTCACTGAAATTTTAATTGGGATAGTGAGGCCTTCTTTCACTTCCCTTCTTTCCTTCCTCCCAGGAAGAGGGCAACTTGTGTATACTGACAGCCTCTGAAGCATGGGGAGGGAGCAACAGTTTAAACTCCATGGCGAGGAGTGCTGTTCTTTGGCTTTCTGCATGGAACGAGGACTGTTGTGCAAGATGTCTGTGTCACTAGTGCACCATTTGTCACATAAGGAAGTCCTGGGACTAAAGGGGTGTGTGCAAGCTTTCCTTTTGTTTGTTTACTCATAATCTGCATCCATACTTCATCCCTGTATGTACTCAATGAACTAAATCTCAGCTTTGACACCAGTGGTTTCATTTCTACTAAGTATCCTCAAATCTAAAATGAGGCACCTTGGCTGGACCAGGCCACTGAAATTAATACACATGGTTCTTCACAGGAAGATATTGAAAGATCAAGCAGACATTGAGACCGAACTGAAAAAACCTGTATAATCCTCTGTATTTTCCACATTCAGACAAATACATCACTACATCCCCTAACTAAACCTACCTAATATCTACTCTTGGATTTACACTCAAAAGTTTTGCTAGCTAGTGATTCCCTCTATGAAATGTAAGTGATTAAATTGTAGATAAGTAAACAGTTCTTTATTCTTTTTCATTATATAATTACTTTTTCCTTATTCTGCATGGACCAATAATTTTGAGCAGGTATTTAATTTGCATTAATTTTCTCCACAACCACTGGATTCTAAAAGTTCAGTTGCAGCATTTTTAGATTAGCACACAGAAATAACTCCAAGATATATCATAAAAATTGGAGTTCCAAAAGATGAAACATACATAATTGAAGCTAGCCAGAAAAATAACAGAGTATGAAGCAGCCAGTTGTTTAAACCAAGTCTTTCTCTTCCCTGGTTTTGGACCTGTCATCTTCATGCTCTCAAGAGCTCCCATCTCAATAAGTACATCTCATTTTGGACATTCAGACTCTTAGATTTATCACGAATACTAGTAGTAAATAGTGGGCACTATTTACTTTTCACAAGTTATTTTGGGGCAGAGTTCAGTTGTTTGAGAAGTTTAAATGAACATTATGGCTCTTTCATTAGTATGAGGGTCACGTTCAAATCTGCTTGGTTTAGCAGCTGGAAAATGTGCATAAATCCTGCTCAGAATCAAAACATGGGCAGAAGGAATTGCCCCTAAGCTGCCTTGTTTGCTGGGGACAGAGGCCGTGAACGGGCAGCCTGGAGACGAGCATCCTGGTGATGCCCAGGACCTGCATGTCTGTCTTGAGCTTTGCTCTTTCTGAGTGTGGCTGGGCTGCCAGCACATGCGGGAAAAGAGCTTTTTGTCCAGATACTGTGTGAAATCTGTGATTCTCTCTCCAGTTGATCCTGAAGGGAAAAATCCACTAAACTTCTCACTGCTGTAGAAAAGCTAGATATCCTACATAAACACAGTCCTCTAAGCATCACCTACTATCCTTCCAACAAATCACTCATCATAATTCCAAATCGTCAGCAGACATTTCCTACTAATGTACTGTCTTTCCTGAAGATGATGAGTGACCTGACCTGGGAGAAAAGCTGCCAGAATACTGTAGATTTTCTAGGAGGTGAATTCACGTATTAAATTCCAGAACATAAACACATCCTGTCTTCCTAACAGGAAGCAATCTTTTGAAAAATGTGAGCCAAATGAAGGTTGCATTACTTGTTCTCATGTTTAACATCTAGAATCTTCAGGAAGATGCAATGATTTTATTATTCATATTATCCTGGGCTGAGTGCAGTCTTTGAGAGACTTTGAGACAGCGCTATAACATTCATGATCAGCAATTTACCTTTTTTGGGGTTGTAATCTTATTATGTCTTCTAGCCAATCCTGTTTTGTAGGTTTTCATGATGGGCAGTATCCATCAGGATCATTCTGCAACCTCAAATGGCACTAGCAGAGTTCTGTCAGATCCCTCTGTTGTGAAGAACTTGCTCAAGAAGTCATGCTTGCACAAATATAACTGTAATGAGATTCCCCTCCTAGGCATAGTTTGGAACCCACATTTGTTTCCTCTGGCTTGTTGGATACTGTCTGCTTTCAAAGTGTATCCTAAAAATAATCTAATCTGCTTCATGAGACATGAAGGTGCCTCGCCACAGGAAAGCAGTCCCTTGAAGTAAAATGCTATCAACGGGCACAACTCTGCTTCACCTGTCTCATTTGCTGCCACCTGCCAGCAGCAAGGACCTCTGTGCCTGCCCATTCCATTCCATTCGTTCTGTTGTTTTGCTGTGTTTGATTGTTTTGACTTTGCAGCTTGCTGCTGAGTGTTTGCACCTGTGGACTGTGTTGTGCCAGGATTGGGCTAGACTAGAGCTTCACCTCTGATTGGGCCAGCTCTGCAAAGAGGCTTATAAAGAACTAGCCTGCTTTATAAAGAACTAGCCTGCAGTGCTGACTCCAAAAAGGTAGCACCAAAGGGGACTGCAACTCAGGGAAGTCATGTGGTTGTGGCTGAGAATAGGTAGGTCTCTGTAAGAAAGACAGCCTATGGCCCTGATTTTGGTATGTCATTCCCACACAGATTATGGCATCCATCTGACTGGGAATGGGATGGCATTTCCCATGCTGATCTTATGCATCACCTAATTTGTCATCCTTTCCTATTGTACTCCTAGCTACCCGGTTTATATCTGTTGGTTCACTGAATTATTACTGTATGGGCTTGACATTTTCCCTGTTTTGTTTTCCCTTATGCTTCCTTCTTCTTATGCCTCCCTTCTTTCTTTTCTTGTTGATTTACTGGGAAAGTAGGTGCTAAAAGCCAGGGAGGGAAGGAGGTTGATATGGAGACAGAGGTACCCATAACAGCTGTCATGGATAACAGACAGTATGTCATCAGAGTGGGCAAGGTTCCAGTTGGGTACAAGCCACTTGACTCTCTGATCCTCTCCTCTGTCCTGCAGGTTTCTGGTGGACTAGGGACTGCACCCTCTGGCCAGATTGCGGTGTTGGTGAATGCTGGATTAGCTGGTTACAAAACTTGTCATCCATGATATGATTGTGGATGAGGAAACTGACCTGACACACACCATGGAAGATCCAGTTTTGCCCACCTAGCCACTCAGGTGCTTGAGAGAGTGGGGACATCCCACTTGAAGGCACTCTGGAATGAAACTGCCTATATGAATGCATTTTAGTCTGGAGACAAGCCTGCTAGGGGACTGAATTGGCCCCAGTCATCCTGGTGTTTGACATTCTTCAAGAGAGACAGAGAGGTACAATCATGTTATCTTCTGGATCTCTCAACAGCTACTGATACCATGGACCATAGTATGCCTTCTGGAGGCACCATTCTACAATGTCTCATATTTGCAGAGTCGATTCCGGAGAACAGCACCGGGTAGCTACCTGGGCCCGATAGCAGCTGAACTGTGTGATAGCACATGGCACCATCTTGTCCTCAATGTTATTTAATGTCTTTCTGAAGTGGTTATGGACATCAGGAGATGTAGACCAAGATGTCACCGATATGCTGGTGACACCCAACTCTATTTCTCTGCAAGGTCTGTATTATTTGAAGTGACTCTTTTTTATTGTCAGGTAAAATCTTTGAACTGTGTGCCTTCATTAACAGATGAAACTAATTATAGCATTAATTTCCTTTAGGAAAAGTGTTCTTTATGGCAGTAGGTATTATCTGCTATATAATTTGCAGTACAGCAAATACTGGGGCACTCACTTCTCTATAAGCGCAGGTAAGACAGGGGTTGATGTCACATGACTTCTTCCATTTGATGACTCCGGCTGCAAATAAAGATACTAAATTTTATTCAAGTATCAACAGAAAACACTGAATTCTATGAGGAGCTATACGTACATCAAAAAAATGTCTTAAGAGTGCCAAAACTTGGCACTTTCTGAAGAATGGATTTGATCTTGCATAGGCAGCAAGTTGACTATCTTTTGGAACATTTTCACATATTTTCTTTATTGCTTTAAGTTGTTCCTTACTGCTTTCTGTGTAGAGGGCAGTATCCAGCAGTGTCAATGGAGTTAGCATTGAACAGGCAGTTGTGCATTACTCTTGCACAAGTACTTTCATGACTGGTTGCGTGAGTATAATATGCAACTGGTTACAAAGCTGTCTGTGCAACTACACTTGGACAACTTTAGTTCTGTTCTCCTTTCATGTGTAGTTTGGAAGCTCTTTTCCATTAGTTCAATGTAATTCTAGCAAAATTACACAGTTGGATACTGCCCATAGCTTGATTCTGATATAAATCTAATAACTGTGTTTCAATCACATTACTCAAAAACTACCAAATTAAACAACCCTAGGTTTATAAAATGTGTCAATCGCATCTGTACAAAGTAATTTTATTATTTATTTCTGTAGAATTTTAGAAATTTTAAAACATACTGTGGAAGATGGCATCAAAGGCATGGCTGATGTTCCAGGTGACTGGCCAGGGAGCTCAAATTTTGAAACAACAGCAACACTGACTCTTCTCCTGGGCATCTATAATAAAAAATGCACTTCAATACACCAAGTGATACCCACACATGACGTATAATCAACAAATTATGGCAAAACAGGGAGAATAAAGGACAAAATGATGTGAGAATTTTTCCACCTGACTTCTATTCACAGTTCAGTTCTAAAAATCACCTAATGCATTGGCAACTTGGCAAAAAAAATACACATTTTCCTATAATAACTTATTGATCATTAATCCCTCAAAAGCATTTTTTCTTCAGCCTTTCAAATGCACAACAGAAAAATTAAATCCACATTATCTACAAAAAGAAAAAAGCAGTTTTTTAGCCTATCATAAATGTTTGGAGTGTGGAAGGTTTGAGTTTGTTTTTTCTGCTTCATATGTGAATGGTTGGAGAAAAACTCCTTTTGGAATGGTTGGAGTATTCTTATACAGATAATTAACAAAGAAATTCTAAGACAATCTTTAAGTAACTGCACACTTCTCTTATTACAAAGGTTGTATACCAGTTATATATAGGAATCTGACAGCATCTGATTATTATACAGAAGCAAAATTTGTATGCAATGCATAGCACACTCTTATGAATATTTCCTTAGAATCATGGCCATCTGTGTTCAGTGGGACTTACTCCCTAGTGAGTGTGTTTAGGACTGCAGTCTGACATAATTAAACTCCTTAGTACAATTTTTAAGCAGAACATACATGCTTTTTAAGAAGTGTGCTTAAACTGTCCATTTTCATCTTGAAGCAAAAGCAACTTTGCTTCAAATATTACACATACTGTTTACTTCCAAAGAAGTAGTTTACTATGAAGGCATCTTTGATATGAGAACTGGCTTCCAGAATGCTACACTTGGTAGATCTGGAGGAAAATATTTAAGATCTGAATGTTTGTGTCAAGGTAAAATGGGCATGTTGTTTTGGAGTAAAAGGAGGATCAAAGTGCTCAATAACAAAAAGAAAGGCATAGACATGGGTTTTAGGAAAAGTTAGAGAAGAGAATAAAGGGAAAAGAAGGGATAAAGGAGATGTGACAGAACTGTGGACATGTTAAAGTAGAGCTGGATATAAGTGGTGAAAAAGACTACGATGGGAAGACAAATGAAGGTATGGTGGATATATACTCTCCCCACCCCACATATGTGAGTGTACACACATGTGCACATGAGAAAGAGAAACTGTAATTAAACAACAAAAGCTTTTATGTCGCTCAGTGCACACATGTCATTTCCTGTGATTTCTTATATTGCTAGACTGCCCAATCAATCAAGTTCTTTGGGTGGTTCATAAAACAGGTAAATCAATAAAATACGAAATACAATCCAACAGTGGTAAGAAATAAAGTTAAAAGAGTATCAATACAACCAACATACAATCAAAGAAAAACGGCAAAAATGCGACACAAGGACGATGTAAGAAATACTTCAGGGCCACCATAAAGTAAATATAAAATGAACCTAAAAAAGGCAAACTAAAAGCAAATATAAAGCTTGTAAGGGGACTAAGGAAAAAATGGTCTAGGAAAATTAAAAGGTTTTCATCTGGCACTGAAAAGGTTACAATGAATCTAAGGGAGGGCCTTCTCTGGGGAGGGCCTTCTAGAACTTGGGCACCACTACCCATAAGGCCCTTTCCTCAGTGGCATCCAGACTCTCATGGCATGGGGGATTGTGGCCCTAAGACACTGTAAAGGGCGGGATACAAAAAATTTAAGTAAATAAATAAATCTGGAGAAAGGCAGCAGTATCGGGTTCAAGGGTATAGATAACTGACCCCTGACATATGTCACAAATGGACATATAGTGTTTATTAAACAGCTTATTAAAAGTTTATTAAAAGTTGTATGAATACCTTTCCAACAGAAAGAGACATGGATCTAGATGTACGTGGAACACCATCTTCTGTACCAAAGAGGGGTTAAGAAAGACAGAAAAAATAAAATTGGAGTTAGAAACATTACCACTACTAAAATATTAGGGAAGTTGATACTGAAAAAATGTACTTATACAGCAACATGGTATATTATGCAAGCCAGGAGCTGTTCTCTACTAATGCAACAAGTTCTTGTGGAACAATTTCACTTCAGTACAGTATTATCTTGTATCATGTTCTCTAATTCCTGCTCCTAAAGAGACCATTGTGCACAGTTTTCCCAAAAATATTTAAATTAAGACACACCACTTTGTTCAACTACAGTAAGTAATTCTACTTTATCGGGTACCTTAATAAAATGAATGTCTATCTATGTAGAAATGGGAGTACTCAATTACAAATGTGAAGTGATATAGACATGCTTAAAATCTTGGAAAGATAGACTGTTTTACCAGGAGAGCCATAGCTTCTGCTAGAATTCTGATTGGCAAGTTTCTTATACTCCATGAGCTCAGCATGATCCTTTTCATATGTCCTTTTCAAATTCTCCACATACTGCATCATTACTTCAGTGGCCTTCGACATGCGTTTCTCCTACAAAGGAAGGCAGCAATACACAGAGGCACTTGTTCAACACGGAATAGCATCATCTCAGAGCACCTATTCAGACTGAAATTGTACAGGTTCCCGAACACAAGACACCATATGTATCAATTTCTGTCTTTTTCCTTCTTAATGTTTTTTCTGTGCTGAGAAAAAAAGATAGAAGCAGCAGTGGGAAGACAGAGGGAGGTTACAAGTACAAGGCAATCCACAAAATTCTGTGATGGATGCAATGATGATGCCTTGGCCAGCGTTCAAGCCGGCCTGTGCACCAGCCAGCAGGGTCAACAGCAAGCACAGCAGATTGCTAGCAGTTTTTAAACCCCCTGAAACAAATGGAAACACTCATTTCCAGAACTAGACAAGGTCAGTGGATCTGTAATGGTCCAAGAACAAGCATCTCCACCTGCTTTCTGGGTTGCTTTTTGAACTGCTTGCTTTCTGTTGTCCAAGCAGTGGGTCCTGAAATAGATGAAGCCGGAAAGGAGCAGCAGTACTGAATTTTATCCTTGTGGAATTTTTTTAACTGTAAGTGCAGCTTCCAGTAATGCCATAGGGTTGAGGTTCAGAGACATGCAGCCCAGAACTTCCCTAGGTAATTGGTTCCATTGTCATACTGCTCTAACAGTCAAAACAAGGAAGTTTTTCTGCAGATGTTCAACCAGAATCTACCTTCCTGTAACATAAGCCCATTCTTCTGTGTCCCACACTCGGATATGATTGAGAAGAGATCCTGGCCTTCCTCTCTGTGACAGCCTTTCAAGTACTTGAATGCTATTGTATCTTCCCTCACTCTTCTCTATTTGAGGGTGGACATGCCCAGTTCTTTCCATCTCTCTTCATAGGGCTTTGCTTCCAGGCATCCTTGTTGTCCTTCTCTGAGCCCTTTCCAGTTTGTCTGCATCTTGCTTAAATCATGGTGACCAGAACTGGATGCAATTGAGGCCTAACCAGCACTGAGCAGATGAGAGCTAGTACTTCATGTGATTTGGAAGTGATATTTCTATTAATGCAGCCCAAAATAGCATTTACTCTTTTCTTCAGCCACTATCTGCAAAACTCTCTCCTTTCCATCCATATCCAAGGAAACTGCTCAAGTTCTAAATCAGTGTATGATGTTGGTAATGGACTGGTTGAGGGCAAACAAACTGAAGCTCAATCCAGACAAGCCAGAGACAGTCTTACCTAGTCAAATGTCAGATTGTGAGGAAGGTGACTATCTGTGGCTACTAGACTTGCTGGCCATGTGCTTCCTCCTTTACCCGAGTGGCATGTTTGCATACACCAGTTGCTGAGGAAGTTGGGCAGGAGGCGGTCTTGCACCCACCCTGCTTGAGGGATCCTGTGGGCAGCTGGTTTGCCACTCTGTATACAAAGTGCTGGACTAGATGGACCTTTGGCCTGATCCGGCATAGCTATTCTTATGTTCAGAAAAGGCACTAGGGACCCAACTTGTGTTGGGTGGAGTTACATTCCCCCTAAAGAGTCAGGCTCACAGTTTGAATGTGCTCAGTGCTTGACCTTGAACCTGGATGCCCAGGCTTTGGTAGTGGGCAGGACTGCATTCACGCAGGTAAGCCTACTGCACCCACTGCATGCATTCCTAAAGGCATCTCATCTGGCCATGATCACACGTGCCTTAGTTACATTTGGCTTGGACTACTGTAACAGGCTCTATGTGGGGTTGCCTTCAGACACTGTTCAGAAACTTCAGCTGTCTGGGATGCTGCAACCAGTTTGTTGACCAGGGCTGGTTGCAGGGGGCATGGTACAACAGTTTCATGAGTTACTTGTCTGTTTCCAGGCAGAATTCAAAGTGCTGGTTATGACCTATTAAGCCCTATACTAGGGATGTGTGTGGAATCCCTTTCTGCAACAGAGTTTGGAGGTTATTTTATAACCATGTCTGTCTCCTCTGCATTGTCATCAAGGGTTACTGTAAACATTTCACAATATCAAGTATAGCAATCAAAGAAAATACATTTGCTTCAAACAGTCTTACCTGGCGGACAGCTCCAACCATCTCAGCCCGACTGGATAATCTAGAGGCCAAACGATGAAGCACCGCAATGTCCTCTAACAACTTCTGGTACATGTCTCTGTGTTCAGAATGATGCCATAAGGAAGCAGAAGTCTGAAAGGACAGCATATGCTAATACATCAGATCAAGAAGAAGGTCTGACATAAGCCATCATTGTGCTCCACAGTTTTAGGGCTGCTTCCCTTCTAATGACTTAAACATACTATCTTGCAAAAAACAGGAAAGATGCTTTGGAGCCAACAGGACTCAAAATGGAAACATTGCTTGAAATTTCACAGAAAGTATAAGCTTTGCTAATATAAAGACTGGCATGTTTCACTTTACACCTGCTCCTGACCTACCTAGGAAGGTGTGTATTCCCCCTCCTAATAGGAAACAGCTGTGCAACACACACATCCTGAAAGCATGGCCTGCATTTGATTTACAGAAGATGTACACATGCAATATTTGTGGGTGACAAAAGAAAATATTCTCTGCGGAGTATAGGATAACCAAGAGTGCAGTTAAACATTCAGTATTCTACAAGAAAGGGATGTGAAGGTTCATCCAAGTCTTCTTACCGTAATAGCCACTTTAAAGTTATCCAATTCCTTCTCTGTGTTCTCCTCAGAAAGATTTCTCTCCCGCTCAGCTTGGTTAATTCTTGATTCTAAAGTATAACTATCATTTCTGAAAGCCAATGAAAGTTGCACAAATACATTCTGCAGAGGGGGAAAAAAGACTAATTCAATCATGCTTCGATCCCAAGGGGGGGAAAAGGTTCTTGCATTATGCTGAGTGCACTAGAAAGGACTGATTTCCACTCAGATAAGTGTGAGATCCGAAATCTCCCTCAAAGAACTGTTCTCCAGCTTAAAAGACTAGATCTGAATAAACAGACTTTCCCTCTTATTTCATATGCTACAGGGAGTCCACTGGAATAAATAAATGAAATGAATGCCTGTATTGGTATTAGTTTGCCAGCTCAGTCTTTTGCTTCAGATCATTACAACTTCCAAATGCACAACATAATGTATGGAGCTCTTCAGTTTAAGCAGAGAACCTATCACAATACGGCACCAGGAGAAGAATTTTATTTTAACTATTGCATTATCCTTGGTTACTACACTACAACTTCTGAAAGTCCCACTTGTCTCTTATCCAGAATCCATTTCTATAGTAACATGGTCCATAGCAGCAATCAGCTCTAATCCTTGGATTGCAATGGTTGATCCTGCACAGCCACTCAAGGAGGCCATGTTTCAAATCCCATTGCTGCCAGAATATGGACAGGGCTTTCCTGGGTGTGCAATATTCTCCCCTGGGCGGCTCCTTTAGCCTCCTCCTTATTGACTTCAAAAGTCTAGTGAAGCCTGGTTTATTCAAGCAGCCTTCAGGTACATTTTAGCTGTGCCCCTCTTTGGTTTGCTTTGGTGGAGGCTGCTGGCTCTGTCGTTAATGCTGCTTTTATGTATAGTGCTGACCTTTTTTGAGTACTACTTTACTTTTCTTATTTTTACAGCAGCTGATTGCTTTGTTGTACGCTATTTTCTGGGCCCCTTTGAGAGTGAAATCACTTACACATTGTAAGGAAATCATATGCTGTGAGCCGCCCCGAGGCTTTGTTGCGATGTGGGCGGCATAGAAATGTTTTAAATAAATAAATAAATTATGGTAATAAGCATCAGGATCAGGTTTTCTTCAAAGTAAGCATGGTGAGGTTTCTGGACCAATGTATACAGAGCACAAATCTACATTCCACCACAATTACAATCCAGAAGTTTTCTCTCCTGTGCTTCTAACGCATTTTAAAATAACCTATTTCAGATCCAGAGCCAGTCCACTTGGCCCAGTGGTCCTTGCCAAGCAGATCTCCCATAAAACACTCAGATTTCACGTCAGTGAAAATCTTACTTAAACAAGTACCCATTTCCAGTATCTTGCATCAGACATCCCAGAACAAGCTTTATTCTTCAACAAATATACCAGTCTCTTTCACTTCTTGCTGAAGTCAGTTCTGTTGTAAATATATACCATAGCACTGGTTGGCTTATTTCTAGAGACCCCAGGATCACTGAAAGGAATGTCCTGAAGGAAACAAGTTGGCTCATACAATCCTCATCAAAAACCAGAAAGGTCCCACATAATCTGGCTGGATTGTTCATATTACTTCGTAAATCATCTGTCTGCAAAGGAAGTGAAGACAACTCCTTGCCATTTAAGAACATTCCTTTGAAAGGAAAAGTGCCTGCTGATGCTGCATAAGCCAAAAAGTAAGGTTGGAACTGTAAATATAGATAAAATACATAGGAAAATGCTAATGCTGTGATAGGAAAACTATGTACAGTCAACATTTTAGTTAAAACAGTATCTAGGTTATTGCTTGAAGCCAATTTTGGTTCTTGGCTTCAAGTTCCTTATTCAACATTGAGGTGAATAGCAAGACTGGATAAGGAACTAATATTTGCAAGCCCCTAAGCACCAAATTGAGCCAACCCAAGGCATACACCCCTGTCACAGGAGATCATTTCCTCGAGAGGTTTCTATGGCAAGCCAAACCTGAGGGGCCTGTGTAAAAACCCCTTTGGACTGCACACGACAACACGTTGCCTCAAAGGGGACAGTCTCTTGGTGACAGGAAGTATACTCATGAGATCATCATACACTTCTGTTAAAAAAGGAACTAATTTCAGCACTGTGGGTACTTCAGAATGAGAGCTGCTGCCATTCGAATCCTAAACTAAGTTTTAAGTAGCTAAGTGGTTACGACAAGTGGTCAATCCAATGCTGCTTGGGCATCAGCAGGACCCACTTTTAGCACAAGGGGGAGCTGGCTGTTCTTAAAGCAAGCATAAGACTAGTTTCCAGAATGGAGCAGGTTAGCTGAGATTACCGAAGGGCTCTCCACTGACCTGTCCCAATCTGGGCATGAATGTTTCCACTGGTTCCCAAGGATCCTTTATGAAGCACCCACTCCCCATTGCAGTGGCAGTGGGTCCCACTGGTGCAACAGAACAAGCAGGCCTGTGGTGGCTCCACTGGATGCTTCCCAGGCCTTTTAACCTTTTCTTAGCCAAGTAATACGTGTCTTGAGTTTATCAAGTCTTCTTGACTTTTTTTTTTTTTGCTAAAAAAAGATGGTCCAGTGAGATGAACTGAACTGACTGCTACTCCAAAATACATCAGTTTTGCAGATCAAGCTGCTTTCTTCTGTTTCTTTCTCCAGCTGTTCTGGAGTTTCAATGCACTCTGTATGTTATTATTCATAAGTGATGTCAAAGAAGATACTTCAGTTACATTTTCACAGAATCTTTTAATATGAAGTACAGCAGACCATGAGAACAAGGCGTTTAGCAAGAAAAAGTTGGTCAGCATTATGTTGCACACATTTGAAAGTCAAGATCCCTAAACCATTTTAGGCTATAAAGCATCTTACCTCGACTTCTCTTTCAGTAAGTGGAGGAGAACTGAAAACAGAAAGAAAAAGTTATAAATGTTGGAGACACAAAAATGTTGTTTATTCAGCGTACCTAAAAGATTAGTCCATTTCCCCTGCAGCTATATTTATAAGTGGTACAAGGAGAGAATGGTAAAATATATGATTCAAATCCAGCAAGTTTTAAAGCTGCATGATACTGTAAATTTCAGCAGCTTTTAGCAGGGGAATCCATACCACCATTTCCTGTTCCTGAGCCCAGAGGAACATTTTAGAATGGTAAAGCAAGTGAAGCATATAACCAGAGCACCAAAGTACCACAAATAAGCCACAACAAATGCAAGTGAGAAACACCACCAAGTAATAAATCATGCCAAAAGTGAATCAACCTGAACAGAACAGATCTAGGATATCTACCAGGTTATAGTTGGCAGTTTCAACATTTTTAGTAAATTACAGAGTTTATTATTTCCACCAGTGTTTGTAATCATCAGGGAAGATTCCTAGATAAGAAAGAGTCAAAGGGTTGAGATCCACAATTTTACTTTCCCTGAAGAGTTGAGATGGGTGAGCTGAGCTCCCTGCAGCCTGCTCACGCTGGATTGGTTCTGAAATAATGAGAAACGCTGTGTCTGTTCAGACCATGCCTGGGAGCATGCAGTCTGTTCCTTGCCCGATGCAAGACTACTACCTTCTCAAGAACCAGTGCAATTATGTTTATGATACTATTTTATTTTTCACCTCTGTCCTCCATAGAAGTGAAGGTTCTTTCATTTTCTCAATTGGTGTGAAAAATAATACATTTCTGGAGAAACTGACAAGCCTTCTATACAGTAATGCAGGACTGTCACTTACAAACAGCACAGTAAATAATGCTAAAGCAAGCAGGAAATACCATTTCCTTAATTTGGCCAGGGAGGCTCATTAATTATACAGTAAAGTTGTAAGGTCATTTATGTTTTGATTCAAGTGTCTGACTGCATTTTCTGCTTAAATAATTATTTTGTTTGTGCCCAAAGAATAGAGGTAGACTTAAATAACCTTGGTTCAAACTATCCAAATTCTGATTAGAACTTAGCTTTAGTATTGCTTTAAACATTAACTAATACACTAAATTGTCTCTCATCTGTCATTGTCATGTGAATAGAAGTGCAATGGGAGGAAGGGAGAGGGAAACAGAAGGATGTCTACATCCACCCTCCACAACCAAGTGGTACCCTCCAGATCTCCTGGACTACACTCATTCCCAGATATGCTACTAGAAGACGATGGGAATTGTAGGCAAACACACTTAGATAATACCTGGCTGCAAAAAACTGGATTAATACAGCTGCATTTTGGTCGCAAAAAGCTGTATTATCTGTTTCACAAGACATGTTCAGCTGTCAATGCAAGCAGCACCCACAGAGGGGTTTACCTTCCTGGAAGAGAGGTGTGCACTCGGAGCTTTCGTAAGAGCGTGTCAGGAATGTTGGGCATGACATCACGTCTAGTCTTTGCTGCCTCCTCCTCCACCTTGTCCTCCTCCTCTTCCTCTTCCTCCAGTAAGAAAGGAATTGGTGAAGACCCTGTGGTAAATTTCACTTTATAAGTTTTGCTATTCAAACTGCTAGAGTTCTGTTTCACTAGTGAGACATCAGCAGCTAAGGAAACAAATCACACTGTAGAACAGAACACTCTGATAGTTTCAATGTTCTGAAGAGGTAGAGACAAGATATGTTCAATATTCTGCCCAAAGAAACCTATTCAGGAATCAAGTTAATCTTGATTAACTTCAGGATCAAGTTAATCTTGATTGGTTAATCAAGATAATCTGGATGTTCAGTTCAGGTACTATTGACTGAAGATAAAGTTCAGCTATCCAAGGTGATGGCCACACAGCATTCATTTATTGGTGGTTGTTGATGTTGCTGTGTGCCATCATCTTCAACTTTATGGCAACTCTATGAATGAAAGACCTATCCATGACAGCCCTGCTTAGCTCCTCTAAATTCAAGGCTATGACTTCCTTTATGGAGTCAATCCATCCCTTGTTTGGTCTTCCTTTCTTCTTCCACCTTCTACTTGCCCTAGCATGATTGTCTTCTCCAGTGAGTCTTGCCTTGTTAGTTATGGCAGTACCAATAAATAAGTGAAATCATCTTCCCCATCTCAGTACTAACACCTGGTATCTTATATGTAGTTTAGTTTCTTCCCCCACATCCTAATCTACAGACCAAATGACATTTTTAGTGACCAAATACCTGCATGCAAAGTCCACCATAATCAATGGAATCTACCTATGCATAATACGGTCTTATGATCAAGCTACCAATCAGCTAAAATCCAAGTACATCATCTTTATTGATAGCTGGTCTAATTATTCAAAATTATTTTTTCCTACACATACTTGCATGGTCATCACAAAGTGTACTATTTTCCTGCTACACTGAGTAAAGAATCTATGAATTTCCAGATGTTGATCCTATTCCCATTAGCTGAAGCCAGCATGGCAAGTGGTCAACAATGACTGGAGGGCCACCAGTTTCTCCCCTCTATGCCAAGCCCAGGCAGGAAGAGAGCATACAGGAATGGATGGCTCTGTCAATCCAGTTGCTCTCCACAACTCACTCTTCCAGTCTTATATTTTGTTATTTCAAATCTGACATTTCCCCCTTTAAAAAAAAAAGTTTGTACAAAGTATTGTATAGAGTTTTTTGTACATTTCTCCTAATACATGCATTTTTGTACATACTTTATGCAAGAATTTTTCCAAACACAATGCATTTTAATATGATTTTTACTAGCATAAGCATATTTGTACACAGATTTCCTTAACAGACATGTTTTATATGCCCTTTTGATTGGAAAACCAACTGTAAATTTCAGAGGTGTGTGACCTTTTTTTTGTTTAAGAAAAGCTCAGTCACAGTTCACATATTGATTTAAAAGTGTGCAGTTAGGTGTGTTGACAGTAAAAGGCAAGCTAAATAAATCCCCTTACCCCCACAGTTTCTAACATGAATTGAACATAAGGCCACGCAAAGAGCTCTGCGGGATCAGCCCAAGGGTCCATCTAGCCCAGCATTCAGTTCACACAGTGGCCAATCAGCGATGTATGAGGCAGCCAAAAGTACAATCTGGATGCAATAGTACCCTCCCTCTTGTGGTCCTTTCCCGTAATTTCTCACAAAAGGCCTTCGACTTAGCAAAGGACTGGGACTACGGATGCAAAGCCCCCCTCCTTCGAATCATGAATATGTTTCCCATATGTTGAAATTTTATTTCACCTCTTTCCTGTTCAGCAGCTTCACTGAGGTCTGGGAGTTTAAGTCCAACTAAATGTTGATTCCGCATCAATATGTGTTCCTGGTGAGAACAAAATCTGAATTATGGCAGAATAGTTTTAAATAAGAAATAGCTGTCAGTAGCAGAGTAAAGTAATACAACCACAGCATTATAAATAAGAGGAATGGATTTAGTGAGAAATTATCTGCTATAAAATAGTGTCTGCATTTTTAAAAGAATTGGTAACTGGTGTGATTCACAAAATAGTAAACAGAAAAGGAAGACCACCTAAATAAGCAAAACAAAACAAAGAAACAGGGTAAAAATAATTGCAGTGAAAACAACTAAAGCCTGGAAAAACGAAAAGGGTATTTACTTCAAAGTAGGAGCCAGGAGAGCAGATTTCCTACAACCACATCGCTATGGAATAAAATGTTCCTTAGGGTGCAAGGGGGACAAAGCAGGAGCTCTGTGTTCAGCATTCCAGCTCCAAAGCCACAGAACATCAGCACTGGGGCTCCAGGAATCCTGTGGACACCAGACAATGCTGGGAAGCCACAGGATTCTACCCTTAGCCACATATAATACTGTATATGGTCATAGGGAACAGAAATTCAGTTATTGTTAAAAAGCAAGATTTCTTTTTAATTCAAACATTCGTGTTGAACAAAACCGTTGAACTCATAACTTGTACACACTATGAAAAGTTCTAAAAATTGCAGCTGTATGATTGTCCAAGGCTATCCCGGTGTTTTCAATACTTGTGCGAATTGTGGACATATTGTTTCAATATGCCACTGGATTTTGCTCAAATAGAAACATTATTGTATTGCATTTATATCTCACTTCTTTTCCTCTTCCAAGGAACCCAAGACAGTTTACGTAGTCGTTATAGTCATTCATTCCATTTTATCCTCATAACAACAACTTCTAAATATCTGTTTTTCAAACAAACTGTTTTAGGGAGCAGTTCTATGGCCCCTAGACAACCATATAAAGAGCCACAGGATATGTTGAATGCCAAAACCTGAGGGAGGAGCTCTAATGCTAACCTTCCCTTTCCCACCCAGCACAGAAAGAGCCATGCTAGCTGATCTCTCAGGCTGGGCACATAACTGTGCAGAAAGAGAAGATGGGGTATTCCAGTGGGTGGTGGGGAGGGGCAGCCAGGCTATAAGTGATCCTGAAGCCTCTGTAGCTTTCTTTCCTCCCTATCTGGAATGCTCCACCTAGACAGGCAATAGTAGAAAGGCAAACTCTCTGCCCCTCTAGTCATCTAAAATACACAGGGTGGAAGATGCAACTGGACAGCCATCCGAAAGGGATGGTTTAACCTGGTGCCCTGCACTGAGCAGGAGGTTGGATACAGTGGCTCTCTGGCCCCTTCCAACTCCACTAAGATCACCGCCACTGCTCTGCCGATTCTGCATAGGAGGATTGTAAGCTTTCATGTTTGGAAGAGTACAGACATCGCAGTAGGAATGTACCCTTAGCTATTTATAACAGTTAATTTTATATAAAAAGAGAAAGCTTTGCTTGTGTATAATGAAGATGTATTGTATATATGAGTGTGAAAACGTACATACCTTTAGGTGAACTGATCTATATAATGTACACCCCAAAAAGTATGGCATTGTTCTTAAAATATGGTGCGGACAAGTTCAGGATGACTGTACTAACAGAATAGAAATACAGGAGCAGTAAGAAAAGAAGAATTCAGTGAATCTAGAACACAAATAAGGAAGTCCAAGGGCCAAATTTCAATTTGACAAAGGTCTTGAAGGCTGCATTGAATGTGTGTGTGTATATGGGAGGCGGAGTTAGAGTGGGTTGGGCCAAAATGTGATTTTTACCTACTCCTACTTGGAAGATCAAATTTCTGCATGTCTACTCACAAGCAGGCCTGAATTATTCAGCAACACTTTTGAATAGCCGGTGGAAGCCACACAAGTCAGCATGAGTAGCAGATCTACTTCGAAGTAATCAAGGAAAGCCTCTCCATACCTCCTCAGCAAGAAAAGCTCCAAAAACTAGCAGGACTAGCTAACTCAGCAGTTTCCACCCAAGGTCCCATTCTGTCTCCCCAGCAGGGAAAATACTCTTGTTGATAAATGCTGATCCATGGTAATTATTATTTATTAATCATGATACATTAATCTTGCTTAATATTAAAATCCCATTAAAACATAATGATAAGGAATGGAGATAATAGCAGGCAAAATGATAACCATAACAATCAAGCAGTACAACTAGCAGGGAGTCAAGGATGAGACATGGCCTCCCCATCCTATTATCTGGAACCAACCAATAGCTAAGAGCCAAATCACCAGAAAACAGTGCCCATTTCATAGCGCCAGTCCAGCAGAATACCGTGGTCAACTGCATCAGAAGCTCCTGAGAGATCCAGGAGAAGCAACTGGGCTGCACTCCCATTGCCTCTGTCTCAAAGATAATCTGTCTTTCCTTGCTGAGAAACTAGCAGGGCCTAGGAAGAAGCTGGCAGCTTGGATAGAGAGCACCTGCAGATCATTTATGCTCAGGGGCCAGATGTTCTCCACCCCTGGTATAGAAAAAAAAGTTTTTTATTGTGATGGACAGAATTCACTATTCTTTTCCATTTCCATTTCAATTGCATTTGTATAATTATTGAGATGTCAATGTACCAAGGACAAGAAAATAATTGCTTCTTTGCTGCTGCAGCACAGGTACAGAAATGGCCCTCAGCATTCTTGAATTGGATTCATCCTGAATTTTGCTCTGCATTTAGGCATTAAGGCCATTTGTGTTACACAGAACCAGTCCTTTAGCGACCAGCTGGTAAGGTAATATAATGTAATGTAACACAGTGTGGGAAAAAGTGTTAACAGCAGCAAAAAAGAGCACAAAAGGAAAGGAAGTACATCAAGCAATGTTTCAAGATAAGATTGTTGATATATTCTCAGGAAGGAAAAGTTTTTCTGGATGCTAAGGGATCTCCTAAGAGACCAAAGAAAGCTATTTCATTCCTAAATATTACTTTGAGAAATGACAGGGTGGTTGATCGGCTTTTTCTGTTTATATATTGAATAGATTATCTAGCGAATTAAATACCTTTGGACCGTATTTATGTTCACCTTAACAATACACAAGAGAGAAACCACCAACGTTTCCCTTACACTGAGTTGCATCCAGTGGTAGCTTTCATCAACTGAATGAACACCACTGGCAGATCAAATTCCCTGCAGCTCCCACATGACCCCAGATCTGCTATAGAGGGCTGGGGGACAATTTGGAGCAGATCCAGGGAGGCATGGGAGAGGAAGAAGAGGCAAACCGCTGCTGTGTAAAAAGACATCTACTTGCTTAATGAGGGATGTGACCCACTTAAAGATATTCACTGCAATAAGTTATTTTCTGAGAAAGCATCACATTAAGAATGTCTAGTTTTATGCTACTGAGGAGGAAAGCCTTCCAATGAAATATTAAGAACGCAAGAAAACTGCTGAATATGGCCAAAAGCCCCTCTGTTCCAACAGTGGTCAACTGGATGCCACAAGGAAGCCCGCAAGAAGGACCAGGATGTGATAGCAGCTGTACTCCAGCAACAGGTGTACCTACAGTGCCCCAGCAGCATTCTGTTTCTCAAACTGCAACTAAAATCTAACCACTGTTACTGGAAGACAGGAAAGCCGCATATGTTTGATGAGTTAATTGCTCTAACATTAACTGATTAAGTTATATAAATGATTGACAAATTAAAAAGTTACTACATGGGGAAGGGGTATTCTTTACCCAGTAGATAAAGCCAGAACAATCAGTCTCGATGTCAGTTTACTTATAGATCAGTTCACACAGGGATGCTAAGGTACTTCTGGAAGAAGTAAGACCCCAGAACTGTGTAATGCATTCTTTAGATTCAAGTTCACCCTTCCACCCATAAAGAGATTGCCTAGCCAGTGCCAGTTCCACAATTCTGAAAGCTTTAGGACAAGACCTTTGTAATTGGTGCCTTTCCTCAGTAAGTCTACATTCACATAGCCATTGCCACCAACAGCTTTTGCTCCTACCCCTACCCAAATGCTTGCTCAAGAGCTAGTGGCATCTGCTCCTCCTCCCCATCACTGTGGTCTGGGTCAGGGTGAGAGCACGGCAAATATGAAGAGCAGTGGCAGAGGAGGCTCTTGGCAATGGACCCCTCAATAAGTGCCCAACTTTGCCTAGCCTTGGTGCCCTGTGTCTAGCTCACTTGTTTCAGGAGAAGAAAGTCATGTTGGTCAAAGGCTCTGAGACCAGAGCCATTTCCCATAATCTGGTGCCTTCCACATGTTGGGCTACAAGTTCCAGCATAGCTGGGAATGATGGGAACTACCCATATCTGGCTGGGGAAGGCTAAAGAAAAGGTAGTGGGGGGACAGTAGAGATAGTTACTTTCTGCAACTGATTCTGATAGCCTACCACTCCACAATAAAATAAAATATTTTGTACTACTGGAAAAAAAAGTCTAAAGCAACATCCTTCTGCTAATTTACAGAAACTCACCTCTCTCAGCTTTGTCAATTTTTGCATTCTGATTGGTTGAACCTGTATCAGGAGGTCTTTGAATGCCGAAGATTTAGTTGATACACTGCTGGATTTATTACCAAGGGCAAACTGTTGATCATCTTCAGGTGGTGGTTTAAAAAGTGCCTTTCCTGCATTAGAAGGTTCTGCATGATCCCACGAAACAGTTCGTAGCAGAGGAGGACAGGCACCAGATGGACTAAGTTCTGTTTTATGTGAAACTTTGGAAAGTGGCAGTATTGGTGCCAAGCCCTTTAATTTTGGGTCCGCAGTAACCATCCCTGGGCCTTGCAAGTGGCCTTTGAAAGGAGAGTCGTTTTCTTTTGCTTTTTTAGGGAACTGTTTTCCAAGTTCCTTTCCACAGATGTTTGTGCTGCTATTTTGAGATACTCTGCCAGAGCTGGTACCTGAAGTGCAGGATCTGGTTAGGTGATCCATATGTGCATGTGGATCACAATTCTCCTTTTGTTCAGATAGCTTCTCCTTTGGATTTTCCGAAACAGCTGTGTGAGGACCCAATCCCCCCTGAGTAGCGTTTCCTTGTTCATTCTCTTTTTGATCAGTTAATCCTTTTGCGGTGTTCTGAAACAAAATAAATCTTCATATGATTACATAAATGGCATAATGTCTTACAAAGCTCAGGTTTTTTTTTTTTAAATCAGCAGCAATGCATTAATGATAAAAGCAACCTTTTCTGCAATTCTTAGTCTAGCAAATCAGCTCCTGCCTTCAGAGGATGCAGCTGGAAGCAAAATGTGGTGCTAACTATTAGCACTTTAGCATTTAATCAGTGTAAGAGATCACTGTTATGCTAGGTGGATACATTTGCAGATGCTTCACATACAAATCTTGTTACAACTCTTGTTACTCAGAAAATTCATGATATAATTCTTCCAATATTTTTATCTTTACATTAGTAGAATTCTGGGAAGCTCCTAATTTGATCAAAACAGCAGTGTAGATCTCAGAGCTTTCTTAAAAGTCTAACAGTGCAATTCATGGTTCACTGGGGATCACTTTCTGGTAAGTGTGCACATAACTGTAATGTAAGCTTCAGGTCACATACAAATTTTCGAGTGTTTTAAGGATATTTAGGACTTCATTGCTTCAGTTCATTTTGCTCAACATTGCTCTCTAGAGTCTATGGTAAGAAGTGATCCTGCTGGGAAGCCTGAATAAGAACTCATCCTGATCCTTGATTCTGGACATGTATCCAGAATCTAAGCATTTCTGTATCAAGCAAAACAGTGCCTTTGGGTGGAACTGATTTTCTGGATCCATTTCAGACTGGATTCAGGCCTGGTTGCAGAACAGAAGCTGCTTTGGCCACACTGTGGGATGACCTATGCTGAGGGAAGGAATATGGAATGTGAGCTTGTTGGTTATCTTTAATCTCTCAGCAGCTTTTGATACCATTGAACATAGTATCCTCCTTCACTTCCACTGGCATGGCCAATTCCAGAAGGTGGGGCTGGGGAATTAATGCTCTGCCCCATAGCAATATGACAATATTTTATTTCTTAGGCTTTTCAATATGTACACGAAACTGCTAGGAAAGGTTATTGACAGATGTGGCCCAAGGCATCACTTGCATGCAGATAGCAGCCAGCCTTACTTCTCCTTTTCATCCAGTATTGGTGAACTAACAGGTTCTGAACCAATGCTTGGTCATGGTAACAGATTGGATGAGGGCCAATAAACCTGACCAGCTGAGTAGTGTTCTGGAGAGGTTGCCCTCTGCCTAAAGATGCTATTGGACAGCTTGAAAGTGCTCTTGCATCCATCTTGGACAACACAATAGCCTTTGCTCAAAAGTTGAGTATGGATTGTTACTGAAACGTGGCTTATTGTGTTGTCTGAAACCAGCTGAGATAAACAACCACAGCAAAACCCCACAGTTCATATCAAGAAGACATGGATTCTCTTTGTAGGTTGTGTTTCATCAGCTGCAGCTTGTTAGCACAGCTGGGCTCAGATAGCATAATGAATCAAGTTTCAATAATAACCCACAAGTTCCACTACAAACCACACTCATCCCATAATCAGCCCTTGAGTGTGGCTTATTGTGGTCTGAACCCAGTAATTTTAACTAGACACACAGGCACCTCTATGGCTCAGAGCACCTTGTTTAGCTGGTGGTGATTAGAATATAAGATCAATATACTAATCACCACCCTACATGTGCTAAGAAACCCTCACAACAAGCTAGCCTCCTGTTTAGAGTATTGTAATGTATTATATGTGCAGATGTCTTTGAGCATGGTTCAGAAACGCCAGCTAGTGCAAAACAGGGCAGCCAGACTGCTGATGAGTGGAGCTGCCTGAACCACACAACAGGAGCTCCTACTGCTCATCCTCCATGGGTTTCCTGCTAGAGCTCAGGAGTTCCAGGGCTGTGGTCCTGCAATGTGGCTGCATGAATCCCCTTTGGCTTCCCCTACTTTATTCCCCCAAGTAGACTGTGAGACTGGAGGAACGCTCAGATGTGAGGACAATTTTAGTGCTGCAGGAGTGGTGGTAACAGGATCTCCACAAATCAGTCAGTGAGAATGAAAGCAGTTAAGCCAGTTGTTGCCTACTAAAGGCCTCTGCCAAGGTAATGTGCATTGAACCCGGACATATTTTATGTGATGCTCAATAACATAAAACTATTAAGGTAGCCTTACTTGCAGTGAAGATACCGAACCAACAACATTGGATCCACATGTATCAGAACCTAAGATATGAAAAAAAGGTGATATAAACACTGCCACAAACTTCAATTTATCATGGTTAGAGCCAAATAGAGTGGTCCCATAACTACCACAGACATATGATAGAAGAAACTGAAAAAGATCAACCTATATCTGTCTTATAGGATTTCTATTATAATAACTACTGTTTCACAATTTGGGCTAGGTCACATGTCATGATAAGTCACTGTGGGTTTATTTACCTGCAGGTCTCCAAGAGCACTCTTTTAATTATGATAGCTATGGTGGGTCTGTTACTTTAACCCTCAAGCAACATACCATGCCCAAGGTCGCACAACACAACAAGCCATGGTGTGCCCCCAGCCATGGCTTGCATATTGAAAAAGTTGGCTGGTGTGCATCTCAGAGCACTGCAGCAGGTGACTTAACCTATGGTGACTTATTGTGATTATGAGCCAAGTCAGTATAACTGGCTTGCATGACAAGACATAAAAAGGATATCAAGTGGTGCAGATCCAAACTGTTTCCTACAGGGTGGTTTGTTTCTGGGCAATGCGCCCCCTTGTTTTTTACTCACCATGGCTTGTTGTATCATCTGAACCCTGTTGTGGATAATGAGAACTGAACTGTGAACTGCTTGGAAAAAGCAGCAAAACTCCTTGCCATATTAGTCAGGCATTCCTGGGTCCCTGCCAGTGCCAACCACTCGCAAGTGCCCAAGCAGCACTGTTGGCAATTGGCACTTGGTGGCTGTACCTCACTATGATCTCAAGCCCTTTTAGCTCACCATAGCCTTTCCCCACCTTTTTCATTTTTTCCAGAGAACATGATCTTTGGCTTGAAAGCCAGTTTTTGCAACCTCTAATTTGCAGTCAGTGACAGTCCCTTCAGCCCAAACGGCACATTGAAGGGGCTATCAGTGCTTGGCAATCTATGCCATTAAAAAAAAAAAAAAAAAAGATTTGCACCCACATTGGGAAGAAATAATTTTATGATTTTAACTATTTAACTATTATTTTAGCTGTGCTTATGAACCTGCAAAAGCATGTAGTTCTGTGAGTGCAGAACTGAGGAGCCAAGACAGGACAATGTTCTGGACGGATACCTGCTGTCCACAGGGGAGCTGCCAGGGGCAAGCCATGTTGCACACACAGGGGTGTTCACATGAGAACCAAACGGTGTGACTTGCTGCCAGAGTGGGATGCTCTGAAATGAGAACTCAGCCTACACCTCATCTTGATCTTCACCAAAAAGCCAAGACATGTTCACACAGTAAATTTCTTACAAGCCTCTCCATCACATGAGATCTGATGAGGCTTTGCTTTCGATTCCATCTGATGATGAACCTGGATTGGCCTCTGCCAGGAGCAAATTAGGTCCTGTCTCTGCCCTGATGCAATGAAACTCTCTTCTAAGGGAAGGCCATGTGGCCTCCTCCCTGTTTACTTCATGTGGACAAGAAAAAACTACTTCAGGTGGCCTCTGAACATTTAAATGGATTGTGGTAAGAGTTGCCACATGACTGTAATGGCCACCCAGCAAGCATGATGCTCATGGGTGGCCTTAAATAAATTTAAATAAATAAATAAATAAATGTTGCTGTTTTCTTCTTGTTTCATTATAATGAGTGGTTGCTTTATAAAGGGTTGCAGTATCCTTCACGAACAAGAACTTGTAAATAATGTTAAAATTTCCACAGACTTGTAGGACTCATTACCAGAAAATATGGCATTGACCACTATTACAGTTTGAGGAGAGAACAGACACATTCATGGAACATTGCCCTATAAGTGACTTTTAGCCACTCCAAGCAATGCAACTTCCAGGTTCAGAACCAAGATATCTCTGAATACGAGTGGTAGAGTAGAAAGGGGTGAAGTTGACTCTTCAGTCAGGTCCTGGTTTTTGGTTTCCTGGTGGCATCTGGTTGGTCACTATGGGAAACAGGATGCTGGACTCTTATTTTCACATCCTCCCTATGTATTTGTCCAACAGAAATGTCTAGATTTCCACTTCCAGCAAAAAATATTATGTACCAGACCTTACACTGATTGACTTTCCAAAGATGTTCAACTAAATATAAGTTCATATTGGAACATGCAGCATAGATTTTACCTGTTGGGCTTGGAAGAGTGAATGAGTTATTCCGAGATGGCACAGGTGAAATACTGGGACTAAGTACCGGTGATGGCGCTGCATCAAATTAAGTTAAATACAGTAACAAGTAGTTAGTTCTTGCAAGCCAGTGATGAGTTTTCAAGAAGAATTAAATGAAGCCTATTAGATATCAGCGTGACATGGTCGGATTTCAGGGTAATGCAATGGAAGAGCCAGGTTCACCATAAAGGTCACTACCACCATTTCCTTATATCTGAAAGAAATACGACTGGCAGCCTACAAAAAGCTTTCCCAAAAATTCAGTGGGAGCACACCAGGGCCTGTCAAGCTCAGCTATGGCAAAGGAAGATCCTGACAGATGCAGAGTGCTCTAATACTGTCATATCTACCAGTGCATTAGGCATAGCTGTTCCCAATATTATGGCACTGAATGGGTTTCCCACACACAATTAAAGCCCCAAATACATTTGGCAACTTCCCAGAGATCCACTCTGAGTCTACCCCAGGACAAAGAACACTGGGCTCCAAGAATTTGCACACTGTGGTCATTTTAAGGAGCCTGCCGTAAGTGGCTTTAAAAAGCCAAGCAGGACTCCTGGAAACAAGGGAGCATCAAGGCCACCCTAGGGCAGAGCTTCACCTTGGCCTTATTTGCGCATTCAGAAAAAGTACGTGGTACAGCTTTCTAGCACTGTCTGAATGCAGGTGGACGAGCCTCATAATGAAACAAAGAAGTACTTTTCCTTGGTATATGAGGGAGAGTATTAGGCAGCAGCTTTTCTCTCTGCTGTTCTAGCTTTTCACAGACAATTTTAAAAAAGCGTTTATTTATGAATGTGGTACTTCTCCAGAGATATCACATAGTGTACAGAGCTTCCTCCTCCAATTTATCTACAAAACAGGAAGCTAGGTTGAGAGATTACAGCTGGTCCAAAGCCACACAGCTGAGGCTCTCCCTTTCCTCAGTCCAATACTCTCACTCTACACCACACTAGCTTTTGTGTGTGTGAGTGTGTGTGTGTGTGTGTGTGTGTGTTTGTGTTTAAACATGGAAGCCATTCTATCATCCATCCCTCTTACCTGTATTTTGAAATGATGCAGTTCCAGGGAGTCTGTAGATCAGGGATAGACCATCTGGCTCAATCCTAATATTTTGGCCTACAATTCCCATCATTCCCAGCCAGCATGGGCAGTCTATCAACATCTAGAGGGCACCAGGTTGCCTACTCCTGGTGTATGTCACAGGAGTAGGAAGCCCAGCAGGTCAAGCACTGGAGACACATAATCAATTGGAGGAAGCAGGAAGTTGTTGCTCCTCCCTAGCTAGTAAGATACTGCCCATGACAATTTCTTGGCTGGGATGATTGAGAATTTTAAAGTTTTCGGTCCATACAAGCTGGGTCTTTATTTTATGCCCAGAAAATGTATATAAAATATACATATGTAAGGCCTGAATAATATAAAGTGGGTGTAAAAGATGAATGACTTCTAAGGCTCCTTGGGAATAGGGGATTTCCTTCTGCAGTACAGCAATGATATTCAACCTAGTATTCAAAATTATCTCAGAGACCCAACACAAATCCCCTATTCCTTTAACAGTGTTGCGGAGGTCACTATTTTGGCTTTAGTCTCCTATCGATAAAAATGGAGTCACTGTCTGCCTCGTGAAACTGTAAAATGTTTTCACATGTTGAATGACTGGCAAGGAAAGAAGTTACTTTTGGGTCAGAACGCCTGGCAATCCTGAATACAAGACTATAGGGAGGAGGGGTCCTGAGTCATTACATGAAGGAAAACATGGCGGGTTGAAGAAAGAATGTGAGCTGGAGGGAAGCTTGCCAGGGATATACTAACGATATAGCTCCAGCTTTGTGCCACAGCATGCAGGTCTTTGTGCCACAGGGCGCTTGCATTAACTTGATTGGTACACTGTCTAATGGCTAACAATGAGTTCAATTTGCATCATGTCTCAAAATACAGTATTTTAAATGCATACCTGTGGGAGAATCAGAGAGGCTGCTTCTTGATTTTCTTCCTCTACGAGTGAGAAACCTCTCACTCACCCTCTTTGCTTCTTCTAACAACTCAAGATTTTTCTTTTTATCTTCTTCAGATATTTTAACATCTGGCAGCTGGTCATTTACTAGGTCAATTACATGACCTGCATTATCTAAACAGCAAAGGATCAGAATTACAAGTTGTACAACATTATCGTGCATGTAAAGCAGGGGTGTTGAAACTTTCAGCCTGACAGCCAATTTCTTGAAAGAGTAGGGTCAAAGGCGGAGGGGCAAGGACAGAAGCACCAGCCTATGATGCTAGGCTCTTATGCCACTAAGTTTTAGGAGAGGCATTTTGACATTTTAAAATGAGGGAGGAACTGCATCAAAGCCAGGAAACCATCCAAAAATGTTATTTATTAAATTTGTTTGGAAGCTGCCTGTTAGTAGCATGATCTCTGGGCAGCCATTAAAATAAAACTACCAAAAGATAACATAAATAAAATCATACAATTAAAATATAATACATAAATAGGATAGAATCACATTATGTTATGTTATTTGCGAAGTCGTGCCTGACCCATCATGACCTCATAGACAACATTCCTCCAGGCCTTCCTGTCCTCCACCATCCCCCAGAGTCCACCCAAGCTCACACCAACTGCTTCAGTGACTCCATCTAGCCACCTCATCCTCTGCCGTCCCCTTCTCCTTTTGCCATCTATTGTTCCCAGCATTAGGCTCTTCTCCAGGGAGTCCTTCCTTCTCATTAGGTGGCCAAAATATTTGAGTTTCATCTTCACTATCTGGCCTTCTAAAAGAGCAGTCAGGGTTGATCTCCTCTAGGACTGACCGGTTTGATCACCTTGCGGTCCAAGGGACTTGCAGGAGTCTCCTCCAGCACCACAATTCCAAGGCCTCAATTCTTCAGCACTCAGCCTTCCTTATGGTCCAGCTTGCACAGCCATACATTGCAACTGGGAAAACAATAGCCGACACACTTTTGTCGGCAGGGTGATGTCTCTGCTTTTTAGCATGCTGTCTAGATTTGCCATAGCTTTCCTCCCAAGGACCAAGCGTCTTTTAATTTCTTGGCTGCAGTCCCCATCTGCGGTGATCTTGGAGCCCAGGAAAATAAAATCTGTCACTACCTCCATTTCTTTCCTATCTATTTGCCTGGAAGTGAGGACCAGATGCCATGATCTTAGTTTTCTTAATATTGAGTTTCAAGCCAACTTTTGCACTCTCCTCTTTCACCCGCATCACATATACATAGTCAAATAAATCTTTAATATATTAAACCCAGTGCAAATTCATATAAATAATCTAAATTATTTATATGCAACATTATTATCTGATTACATGCTAAAGTGATGGACCCCTATGATACAGCTGAATGAATAAAAGAATTGTTGCAATGGTTGTAAAATTCAAGGAATGCAGTGTACTCTCTAGGTATACCCTACAATATTTGCATTAACCATAGATGTACCTACAGTATGTATGCTTCCTTATGTTGTGTGTCCTGTTTCCTAAGGAGCTAAACTAGTTATTACAGTAGCACATATGATGAGCTGCAGCTAAGTTAGAATTCTACATCTGGCAAACAAGGAAGACATGTGCAGATTTGCCTCTTAAACTTGACAACCCCTGAAACCTTCCTCAGGTATAGATAAACTACAGGAAAGCATGCATCCTGTACTCGCTAGGATGTCATGCAAAAGACTGAAGGACACAGTGGAATGATTTATTATCTTACATTTCCTTTGTTCTCACTTTGGCATTTTTTCTGAATATCGTAAATATAGGGCAAAAACTTGAGAAACAGTACACTCATTAACATCTTTCCATGGCAGGCATACAGAAACCAATGCATTTTCATCAAGCAGTATTTGATGCATCGTTAAACCCAAAAATCAATCTGTACACATGCTTCTAAAAAAAAAACAAGTTAAAAACAGCATTTAGGAAATTGGTTTCTTACCCACAGAAGTCAGTGAGCTACCTGATGTTCTATTGTTTCTGACAGAATGCCTCAGATGAGGATTGGCCGGTCTGTGTTGTGGGACAGAGATCAAAGAATGAGGAATAAGCAATGCATGTTTTAACATACAGTTATGAAAACAAACTTAACGTAAGAGAGATTTATTGATTGGGTCTGTATACTGTCTGTCCAGTACAGGCAAATACCCTTGGGGCACATAGCAATCATAAAACCAAACAGCAAGAGAGACGTGGATTTCAAAATTACTCTCTGCTGGTTGATTAAACAATTGCATTGTTTCCCTGATCCAAACATTTATGCAGGCTCAGATGTGCCTACAAAAGGCTCTATTCATACTGACGTAGAAGAAAGTCAAGTGATACATGAAAAATGATGGACGGCACCCTCACCTCTTGAATATGCACACTTCTCATTAAATCTAGCTCAGCTATACTTGCATGAATAAATTATGTTGAATAAATTGTGTTAGAAAAAGTAATCCCTATTTTAATCAAGAAGAATAACCTCTATTCTGTGAAATTTCCAGTATCAGAAGCAGCATGCCTGTGTAAACTAGTTGGTGGGCCGTGAATGGGAGGCTGCTTTTGTACTCTTGTTCTACCTGTGAGTTTCTTATAGGTAGCTAGTTGCCACTGTGTGTACAGAATGTTCAATAAGCTGTGTCTTCTGTCTGATTCAGCATGGTTCTCTTTATGCTCATTTCCCCTTCCTGGCTGACAGAGACTGTGGGAATGTCCACATATCACAAAAAACTACTCTGAGAATAACTTACACAGGCGTATCATGCTACAACCCATGGTGCTCCTGACTGGAAATCAGAGTAGTTGCTGGTTGTAGCAGGAAGTCATCACAGGCATCAGCCCAGAGAGTATGCCAAAAAGTATACTTTGATATCTATCAAAGGCAAGCTTTCAAGTGAAAACAGAGCTCAAGTGCTCTTTCTTAGCAAAACTTGGCGGGCTACCAGATCATCCCCTCTGTGGCAAGATCCTCAACACACTGAAAATTGTGCTTGAGGTGTACTTCTTTTCAAAGTCGCTAATCCTTTGCTTTCATATTTGAGCATGTACTTAATATTTTGAATCTGGAAATGTTCTGAATATCTAAAATGTACATGGTTATTGTCCTTGCACAGAACACTCTTTGGGCACTCAGGGAACCCCAAAAAAGCTTAGCCTGTTTTCCTAAAATCAGAAGTTCATTGAATTTTTCCAATATTATTAAAAACCAATTTTGGGTGGTTAAAAAAAAACTGAGTAAGTTTGTCATTAGTGGTAGTGATTTGGTACCATTTTCTGTTTTTGTCCAGGTAAGAAAGCAAAGGTGACCAAAGCACACAGCAAAAATGGGGGGGGGGGGGGGAAGAGGGACTATGAAAAGGAAGGGGCAAGAATCATAAAACAGTACAGTTGGAAATGACCAATAAGACTGTTGGAAAAGGAGTATGAGAGAGGAATAGATGTGATGGGCAAAGATTCAGCCAAGCAGGGAAGTAGTAGGTGGGCAACTAGCCAGATAAGACAGATATGCCTTTGGTTCTGATACTGAAAAAGTTTGTTTGAAATGATAGTGTACTTCCCTTGATCAACGATTATAGTATTCTATGCAAATTCCTGAAAAAATCCATGTATTCCTATTTTAAATCTAGGAGCTTTAAGTTGCATAATTATTAAAAACTCAGTATATTTATTTAGTTTCATGCACCTATCCCTGCAAAATGTCTTCATGTTATTAATATATGTTGGCATGTTTTGGCTGTGAAAAAAATGCTTTGCTATTTACAAGTATTCAGGGCACAGTTCTGCATTCGATTACATGCATATAAGTCTCACTGCAAAAAAGAAAGAAATGGATGTATGCATAAATGCCTATATGTTATCAGCCTTTATAGTACAATTTTCTAGAGGACAGAAGTAGAATACTATAAAATTAAAGACATTCCATCAAAACATTACAGCAACTTTTCATTCAATGTTTCTCAGGAGGTCAAAGCGGCATATAATAAACATTGTTTAATAAGCCATTCCACATTTTTAGAGCTTACACAAAGAACATAAACTGTAACTTTTAATATTCCAACATTCGCCACTCTATGACATTCACTCCTCTAATTCTACTATCTTTAGTCCCAAATTAGACATTGCATAGAAGTTGTGTGAAGGAATCTCACTATTTTCCTAAATGAAAAGTAGTCACAGGATTGCTGCCAGCTGGAATGGAGAGGCCAAGTGTGTGTGTCCATGTGGAGCAGACCCCTTGCTAGTCTGCTCCGTAACACCCTTCCCCCACAACTGATTTGTTACCCACGGGGGAAAGATATGGAGTCATTTCCATCTACACCACATACGTCCCTTGGGAGACAACAACAATTTGCCACTGCCACACTTCCCTTTCTGTCCCTTATGCCTGGAAACCTCCTGAAAAACCTGTCAAAGTCAGGTTTGACTTCTGTCAAAGTCCAGTTCAAAGAACATGCTTAACTTGTGCAGCTTTTAGCATAACTTTATCCTCGGCTAAAATAAACCCTACATGCAAGCACATTTGCTTGTATTTATCTCATTCTGCCTTCCACCTAAATTTAAGGGCCTTCTGGTATCATTTATTAATTCATTAGATTTATAGCCTACTTTTTCCTTACAATGGAGTCAAAGCAGCTTACATCATTCATCCTGGAACAACCCTGTGAGGTAGGTTGGGCTGAGAGTCTGTGAATGGCCCAAAGTCACTCAATTGGCTCCATGGCTGAGCGGGGACTAGAACCCCAATTGCCCGAGTCCTACAGCCACGTTCTTAACCACTAGACCACACTAGCTCTCAGTGGGACCTATTTTTAAAAAACCACTATATACCACAGATGACACAGCAGGAATAAAGATACACATGTTTATTCATTACCTGAAAACTAGACTTTTCTCTCTTTCTGTATCTGCAATTGTACACTCTGGAAGAACTATAGTGGGTAGATTACATGTTGCTGCTTCAGTGGGGGACTCCTGAATAGATTGCAACAAAAATATAGTTTAAAAGGTTAGTGGAAAGTGAAAATTTACCAAATCATAGTTGCAGTGAAAAATAGATTATCACCTTATTTTCAAATAAGTACCTAGACCTACTTACTTTTCAGGCAATGCACAGTTGAAACTGTGGATTCCAACATCTTGCAGCAAGTATCTTTATCCAGGATGTGGTATCTTACCATTTTTGTACAATTTTATAAGGAACTCAGATGCTTCAAATCTGATTTTAAACCAATTAGAACTTAGTGCCATGTTGGGCAAATGAAATGAATAATAGCATTGCTACTAATAATATTAGATCCAGTAGAAAAGATACATTTATCTCAAGCAATACAAAACTATTCCTTATTCTTTTTATGAATGGCAATAAGTGTCAAAGAGACCTCTCCCACAGCACCAAGAATACCAACTTATGCAGACATGCTTTTCTCTCTCCTGTAGGAACTGGGGCTGCTTCCCCCAAAATGCAGGATCCCTCAGACTCTGAATCTGAACTGGTAAAAGAGTGGGGGGTCAGAATGCTTAGCTGACATGCTACAGCCGGTATGTTTTGAGATAAGCTAAGTGAGAACCAGATCACCTCTGATTCACAGGTAGATGCTATAGGATGGAGTTGGGCGATATCAGGAGGAGGAGGAATGTAACCTGAGCAGTCCAGTTGTCTATCACCAGGCCAAGAGAGCTGATCAATTAAGAAATGTTTGGCATTCCTGCATTTTGGCCCAGGAGCATGTGTGAACCTCCCCAAGGGTGGAGCTAACTCTGGTGGGGAAGAGAGAGGAATCCTGTTTGGAATCAACATCTAGTACAGGCAGAATTCAATCCACAATTAAAAGGCTCTTTAACTTAACTGATGATTCTTATTAAAGACCTTTACCCTCTTTTTATCAGGAAGCCAGGACTGGCAAACCAGTTTGAAACAATAAAAGAAACAATAAAACAGACATCAGCCTTTGTAATCTTCTGGGAAGAGAAAAGGACAGAGGTTGGGGTGGGGGACAGAGAGCTCACAAGAACTACATTATTTTTACCGTAAGCAGACTGAACTACATTATTGCTACTGTAAGCAGACTGAATGCTCAGTCTACAACCTTTTCCAACCTTGTGCCTTCCAGAGATATTTGGGCTGCAACACCCAGAATTCCCAATCAATTACCCTGCTGGATGGAAATTCTGGGAGTTCCAGTCTAAATACCTCTGAAAGCCACCAGGTGAGGGAAGGTTGCTGTAATAGGACTTGTTTCACTGAAAGGTGAAGGGCTCTTGGTGATGGATATATAGAGATCCAGCTAAGGAAGGCAATAAGCATAAATAGGCATAGCCTTGCAGGCTTCAGACTTTTGTGGACATGTTGGATGTGCCTCCTAGGCATGCCATCTCATTTGCTATGCTGAAGGGGCTAAACCTTCAGATGTACACACAGATGCATTTCCCCATTGCTATAAGAACAGTGACTATGAGTTTGCAAGGGGAAAGTTTGATTCGGGCCATGGTCTTTAGTAAAGCATATTAGTCTTAAAAATATTCTAAATATTTGGACAAGCTTGGAGTAGCCGTCTATTTTTGTATCAAGAGAGGCTTGCTCCGCAAACAGAACAAATAGTCCGCTGGTACCTTAAATACTGGCACATTCATGGAGTGAATCTATGGCCCCACAGGACAGCACTGTGGAGTCACAGGATGCAGCTAACAGGGCCGTGACCTCTGTGGAGATCTGTCTGTGGAACTTTCCACTCAAGACCCCACCAGCTGCTGTGGAGAGCTCAGTAGTGGCTCCCTTTGTAGAGGTCGGGATGCTAACCTCAGGAAAGGAGGAAAGGAGTGTCTTGGGGGCAGCCAGTGAGCACAGAGGGGAAAGGCTTTCAGATTGCTTGCACCACAGGCAACAATGCTGGCTGTGATGACAGACCCCACTGACGCCAGCATTGGAGCTTGGGCAGCTGCCTGGACAGCAGTGTGGGTTGCTTCCTCTGGCTGATATCGCTCTTCAGAAAGCCAACCCATCCTCTGTTTCACTCGGAGGGCCCCATCAGGGTGAAACAGAACGCAGGCGGCAGCTCCAGAAAGCCCCACCACTGCTCTCTCACTGTGGCATTTGCTGCACGGCGACCAGTGCATGGAAGCCCTGGAAAGCCCAGGCAGCCCTGCTCCCCAGCTGCCTCCGTGAGAGGACAGCCTGTGTTCTCCTGCTGGAAGTGGCAAAAGCACAACCTGCCATTCCAAGCTGAGTCCACCCCACCCCACAAGAGGGCCAGACCTGCTTCAATGGGCTGTGAGACCCACCTAGCAATACATTCTTCCAAGGAGGATGGAGAAACAAAAAAGCCTCTGCTGTCCCTCCCACTCTGTAGCCTGTAGGATTTCTCTCTTATCGTAGCAAACAATTACAAGGACTAGAGCCCACCCCATCAGATTCATAAAGTGGCTTAAAAGGTACATTCACTCTAGACTTCATGGGAGGTTGTGCTATTATATTTTACCTATTTGTTCACCACTTTGTTATGTGCACAGGATTCCCTTGTGATGTTAGTACCACCACTGTATCTGACCATTTAGATGTAAGTCCTGCAATTTTATAGCAGTCTGTTTATATTTTTGGCCACAGCTTTCTCTTTTTGCTACTGTGTAAGAAGGGGGTGGGCTTGCTTGTTTACTGCCTTCGTATCTTGCCCTGTACAACTTTTCAGACCCACAAGTTTCCGCGCACCACAGAAGTCTGTGTTATGGCAACTGCGGCATGGGAGCATTGTGGGAGTGCTTTCCCTCATGACCAAAATGGTGTCCAGCCATTTCTAGCCATGTGCTTTATGTCTTTGCATTTCAGATACGAAGAAGTCAAAACACAGCCCAACGCCTTCTCTGAGATTGCCATGCTGGCTGAGAACTATGGGAGTTGCAGTCCAACACTTCTGGAGGGCACCAGGTTGTGTAAGACTAGTCCAGCTGCTTCCCTGTAACAGAATGATTGGCAGGGATAGTTGGAACTCCTACTTTCTCATAACACTGTCCCATGGTTATAATGACTTTTTCCAGGTAAGAATAAGCAGTAACATGAGAAACAGGAAACCATCTGATGCAGCTGAATCATCAACCTCCATCATAACCAGAAACTAAGCAGTTAAACAGAAAAGTGTCCTTAAAATTTTACACCGATAGTTCCTCAAGTGAATCATTTTATCATTCAATAGCTGGCAAATAATGTAGGTATACAACTGAATGCATAATAGAGCAAAATCAAGATCTTTGACCTATGAGGTATGGCTCACAATTGACTGTTCTCTAAATTCACATACAGAACATTTGTTTATCTTGAACCAGGAAACTAGCCCTCAGCACAAATGTATAATTATGTCAGAAAGCATGACAAATCACTGCAGAGTTCAACATTTTCCTATGATGTTAAAGGAAAAGTAGCGGATGTTTTTATCCAGAGTGTAGAATACCATGTCCTAGGTTTACAAGACAATGATAAAAGAAAAACTGAATGTGCCAGATATACATTAGTTTTAGAGTTTTCAACGCACCTCAAAGAACATTATGATCTGTTTTGTTTTGACTTTTCTAAAGCAATTTATCAGAATAGATCCTAAACAGGCAGATGTAAAGGCCTGTGAATCATTAGGTGCGTTCATTTAGTTCTGCATAAGAGTCAAAGTTCCTACTTGGGAACATTCTACACATGCCATCCAACATGTATACATAGTCAAATCCTCAACAATATTTTCTGAATGCAAATTAAGATGGAAAAATTGAGGGCAAAAGAACTTTCAGTGTGGCAGCTCCATTCCCCTAGAACTCCCTGGCTCTAGAAGTCAGTCAGGCACCCCACCCAACATTGGGTTGATTCCAGCACCTCCTGAAAATATTTTTATTTCAAGAAGCCTTCCTTAGTTGACCAGTTATCTTTTTATTGATTCTTTAATATAGTTTTATTCTTTTCATCATTTTATCTTTTTATTTTTCATTGCCCTAGAATTTGTTTAGATGTATAGTGGTATGTAAATGATGTAAATATAAAGTTAAAAAGCTGGAAGCTTTCTACATGTATGATATAGTGTGTCACATACTTTCAGTATTAGAAAAAAGCATGGTCTGGGTTTGCTGGCAAGTAGGACAAGGTTATTTTTTTAAAACCCTACTTTAATTTTGGTAGCCGTTTATTTATAAGATGCATATCTCACCTTTTATCTTTTTTAAAGAACTCAAAGTGGCTTACATTATTCTCTTCCTCCAGCTCGCAGTCTTATCCTCACAACAACAACCCTGTGAGGGAGCTTGGGCTGAGAGCCTGCGAATAGCCCTAAGCCAGTCCATGGCTGAGTGGGGACTAGAGCCCAGCTCACCGGAGTCCCAGACCTGTGCTCTTCACCACTACACTACAGTTGCAACTGTTCCATTTGCATGCCAGCTAGGATACCCTTCATACATTGTCTTAAGCAGCATTAACTGTTTAGGAAGTGCCTCCAAGCTGGGCAGATATTCTGGGTGAATGTAGGGGGAAAAACCACAGCAGAAGGTTACTCCAATATGTCTTACAATAGAATTCACTTCCAAAGCAGCAATGGCCGAAATCCAAGTGGAGCAAACTACAGAACATCCCGAACTATGCCTTCGTAACATCCATTCTACTTGGAAGTTGACAGCAGCCCTGAGAACAATCTAGAAAGAGCCCCAGACCAACAAACAAAAGTTTTCAGGCAAAAACAACAGTAGTAAGAACCAGAACGAGCAAAGATCAAAACACAGTGCTGTCACACTGTAGCCTTCTATACAAATTCTTGCTTGTTGTCAACATGGATTAAAGGACAGAGATTTTGAGTGCTTGAGTGGGTGTGTGAGTGCATGCAAATATGTTAAGTGTTGCCAACTTAGCAGGTCAGATTCTTGCCATAAATCCCCCAACTCAAGGCAAACTAGATGCCGTCCTAAATCTACAGCTGCGGACAAGATATGCTACCTCACTGCTAGCTTCCCCCTTCCGTATGATCTAACAGAATGCTCCTTTTGCAGAGCCAATGTTCTGTTCCACTCCCCATGTCATTCACAACCATTAGAGATTATCATGGGGGAGGAATTAAACATGCAACAGCTGTAACATCCTAGTATTGTTTCAAATACAATGAATCTATGTGCACATCAGTTTTTCATGTAAAACATACGAAGAGATTTGTCAGAATTGATAAAGGTTGCTTACTTTGACGGGAGAAGACAAAATGGGGTGCTGTGTCTCAGTTGGTTGTCCCGCATCTTCAGGAAAGATTGGCATGATGGGAGGCGAAGGACACAGTGGATCGCAATGTGGACTAAAGAGACCATGCGCTGATGGGAATGTCTGTTTCAAGTTAACCTCTGAAGATAAGCACTGTGGGGTGTTGAGATCCCAAGACTACAGCAGATGCCAAAAATACAAATCAAATCCATTTAAAGGCCAGGCTGTTAACACTGGGATCACTTTATAATAACAAGCAGCAATAAAGTTTAAAGCAACAACTTATGTTTCTCTTTGTGCTTTATTAACTAGGGCTTTCAAGATCTAATGTAACACAGTAAGGACATTAAGAAAAACCTTTTCAACATTCCTTGCATTATTACACAGACGGGTTCATTGGTGAGCTCCCCTGTTCAATTAAGTTGGATCTCTATATTAGCTCTTTATAAAAGCTTTATGAAAAGCAAAGAACCAGTTGTGATACAACTACAACTTTTGAGAATGGCTTTTTTCCCTTAATGTGTGTTGTAGGTGGATATGGCTTTGGGTACACAAAGGCTTCACACTCAGCTCTTAGTGGTAAGACTGTTGTGGACATGCATTTGCCCCATTTCTGATAGTTGTGCTATCTTCTTGTATGGCTTGGCTGGAAAGGCTTCTTTTGGTGTGGGGCAGAAATGGCTGGCTGGCCGGCCTGTGTGACAGTCAATAATAATATCATTGGCCAAAGAAACCCATTGTATAGTCTGATCAAGCTGTCTTCCTCAGTAGCTACTAAGATCCACAGGAGTCCCATCTCCTCATTGATATTGTTCCAAAACTCAGTATACCTAAAAAGTAGTACAGAACTTGCCAAAGTGGCTCACACTTTAAACCAGTTACCCACAACCTGGTGCCCTTCACCTGCTAGTTGGGAATTATATGAGTTGTAGTCCACATCTAGAACTGGATGGGGGAAGAGTGAATGTGACCACCAGCTACCTGCCCTGGGGGTCAAATCAGAGCATGAACATCCTCTTTAATTATGGCTGCTGCCACCACTCAATTCAACCCTGGAACTGGAACAAGCAAGACTCCCAAAGCCTGCAGGCTTTTGATAGGTTGGGTCACTATCAGTTACAGCTGAACGATTTTAGCTCTTTGCCCTTGATTAAGACATGCTGTGTAGAAAGTCAACATGGGATGTGGGGATTAGATCTTTGACCCTTCCAAAACATTCACAGTTAAATCCCAAATTCCAGTTAACAAACTTCAATAAGATTAAGGTTGGAGGGAGGAAATATATTCCCATGTGGAAATACTTATACTAGACAATCTTAAAGAGAGATTCCAAAGCTGTGACCACATAACACATTCTGAGATGACAAAAGGGGTGGGGGGGATCACAACTTTTATCCCTGGAGTGTCAAGAAGGGAAGGAAGATGGCAAACAGGAATTGCTACTGTAGGGTGTAGAATAATTTTTACATGATTGGCATGGCAAACCAGCAGAGAAATTAATTGCCTTACCATTACTATTTTAGGAACCCAAAAAGGTAGAAAAAAGAGGACTGGGAGTTGGGGTCAGACTGAAAGTGATTTCCTGTCTGCACCTGTTAGAAATCATGCAAGGGAGTAGCAGATTGATTGTGCCTGGGGCAACATTTATCCTAAAACAGCAAAGCCAGGTATGGTGGTGAAGCATGTAAATGCAAGCCTTCTTCACACCCATGCACTCTCTTCAGGAATCATTAAAAACTTGTTTGCATAGTGAACAGGTGAATTATTTTTAAAAACTCCTTTCCCCACATTAGACAGTTTTGTTTTTGAGAAACAAGCAGCATTTTGTGGTTTCTATGGTCAATTTAAAGACTTCCTGACACAGAGCCTGGAATCTCATCTCTGAGTCACAGAGCCTGGGATCTCATTTCTTTCCCACTGAAATCAATGCAGAAGGCAGTCAATTATAGACAGAAGTCATGCCTATAAAAGAGTTTCAGGACTTTAAATTGCTCTCGTTGCATCTAAGTGCCATTAACAACTATTTCCAAATAGCTATACTACCAAAATGGTAATTTTCATGCTAAACTAAATATGGGGGGGGGAACAATTTTAACCGTTCTTTGACCATGTGTATTTCCATTGCCTATGATATGAAAAAATTGCATGGATTAAGTCATTAGACTGTACAACTGGAATAACTGTTCCCCAATAACCAAAGCATTGCTGTTTGACACTTGTGCCCCTTCTCCACAGTCTCCAGTAATAGCAACTGCCTCCTGCAGTCTTTCCCAGCCTACTACCCTGTCCAAGATCTGTTGGACACAGCTCCTGTTATTCTCAGATACACCATATACAATAAATTCTTTAAGCATTGTATATACCATAAAATAAGAATCCAACATACAATCACAGGACCACAACGCACATGCACATATACATGTACACACAACAAATATAGATATTCTGAGATCATCTTAGGGCACAGAAATCCTCCTCCAGTGCAGAAGAGCTTGGAGCCACTTCAGAATATCTTGTATCCTGGCCATTCCAGTTTCCTCCCCTACCCACCCACCAAAATACCCCCTGTGCCCTTCTCTGAGCTTACTTTCCTAATCCTGGAAAGCAACTGGTATGGTTCTTTCCATGCTGTCTGTAAGAGCTTGGATATTGTCCTCGAGGTTTGAAGCACTTTCTCCTCTCTTAGGACTGGAAAGCCAAACTATCTTTGGCCCTTCGGATGTCTAGAGGCAACAGAATCATTCCCTAAGCTGCTTTATACAGGCGGCAGCTATCCTTCCTACACCACCAAAGCATGCCTATCATGGAAGATCTATAAAGTATTATTTAAACCAGAACAAATTGAAGATTATATGGTCAAGTGCGCACAAATTACTGGAAATGATATTGTAAGGTAAATTTGGGACAACTTGTCAAGTGTGGACTGCTGCTTAGAGTGTTATTTTATTTTTATTTTATTTAGGAGACTTCTATGCCGCCCCATTCGCCAAAGCCTCGGGGCAGCTCACAACCATAAATAAACTTCAAAATAGAATAATATAAATTAACAATATAAATTAACAATATAATTGGTTGGGCTGGGAATCTAGGAAATCTGCGTTCTAGTCCCCCACCCAGCCATGAGGCTCACTGGGCCAGTCATACGCTCTCAGCTTAAACTACCTCACAGGATTGCTGTGTTTTGTTTTGTTTTAATAAAATGCACCTATGTAAGCTACCCTGGGTTCTTCACAAGTTGAAAAAAGGTGGGATATAAATGCAATATAAAATTTATATCCTATTTTTTCCTGTTGCAAGGAACCTATGGCAGCTTAAAAGGTCCGCCTCCATTCAGTTTTAACCCTGCAACAACTCAGTGAGTATGTTAGGCTGAGAGTGAGTGTTTAGCTCAAAGTCACCCAGTGAGTTTCATGGCTGAGTAAGGACTAGAACTAAGATTTCCTGGATTCCCAGCCTAGGTATCCCAGGTCCCTATCCCAACATTTGTCATTAAATGTCATCAATTAGAGAAAATCGGTATAAGGCGATGATGAGATTATAGGCAATAGCTGTAACAATAGCTAAAATAAATAAGAATTATTCAATTAATTGTTGGAAAAGTCTGAAACAAATGTGTGATTTTTTAAATCATTTATAGGTGGATTGTCCTGGGGTGAGGGTGAAAAGAGAAGGATTAATTAAAATATGGAGAAAATACTAGGCTACAAAATGTCATGAGATCCCTTGTTTCATCTTCTTACATTTATGGATGGATTTTTAAAATCAACAACATACGGAATTAGCAAGAATATTAAATATAAATAAAGAATACCCTTTGGGGAGAATTGTTGGTAAAAATATAGTTTTCCCCACAATGATAGTAGTGGGTTCAAGAGTACCTCCAAAATATGAATCCAGTTCTTCAGAGGATAGTGCAACCACTCCAGAACAGGTTAAGATCCACTCATGTGGACTGAGGAAAAAGCTATTGAAATAAACTCAAACTTCTTCAGTTTGCCTTATCCATGACCAGTGCTTTTTTTTGTCATAGAATGCACCAGAACAGAGTTCCGGCACCCTTTTTCGACAGATTTTCGAAGTTTTAAAAATAACTTGTGAAAATTTGATGTTTGGTCCACATGGATTTGAATCGCCCTATCAAGTGGAGCAGGTTGGCAGCAAAATCATTAAAACGGTGCATGCGGGCTGCTTGTGTGTCGTATGCGATGCATGCGTACTTCGTCTGCGCTGGTTGTAATGGTGCTGCTCGGCTTGCGATTGGTCATGTGGTCACATGCTGAGTGCTTACTGCATGCGGTGACCGTTATGTTTCTTTACACAACTGATGTGTGTGGGTGTGTGTACAGTGATTGACTACGTGTGAAAGGTAAATAATTTCATGAGTTCTGGCACCTTTTTTCTTACAAAAAAAGCACTGTCCATGACCAAGTACTGATCTAGCACTCCCACAACCACATCCAGTTCTGAGAAGAGGGAATAAACTGCATCTCGTCAGCATGTGCATGCCAACATCACACTTTAAATCCCTGAAAGATGTTTCTCAACATCTCATGTCAATGTTAAACAGCACAGGGAACAAGATGGACCCCTGCAGGATCCCAACATGAAGATCCTGCTGGGTCAAGCAGAATTAGTGCAATGCAGCACTGCCTGCACCCAACTCAGACAGCACCTCCTGAAGGATGCCATGGCTGAAGGTATCTGAAGCTGCCAAGAGGTGACAGAGAATCAACAAGGTTGCACTTTCCCAGGGCTGGCCCTCTCCTGAGGTGAAAGAAATCCTCAGCTCGGGCAGCAGAGAAGAGACTGTGGCAAATTGCATGCTCCCTTCAGGGCCAGGAGCACCTGCTGCCTCTGCTTTGCGCCACTAGCCTACCCACCTGTGTCTCCTTTGCTGCCACATCTGAGAGGCTCCACAGAACGGGCAGTAGTGCTGGCAGTAATGGGGCAAGAGTGCAGGTAGGAATGAGGGACATGGAGGGAGACAGACAGACAGACATGGTGGGTGGGGTGAGGGTGAGTAGGCAAGCAGGGTGGGGAAGGAGATGTAATATACCAGGAGAGAGGAGAAGAGGTAAGAATGAGTGGGGGACCATAACGGCAGCAACTGCAAGCAGCATGGTGGCAGTCATGAAAGGCATTGGCAGGGCTTGGGTGCTCTCTTGCCTCAGGCAGAGGGGTGCTTGCACCACTGCATTTTCTCTGTCTCTAGCCCAGTGAAAGCCATCCTGCAGGGCAACCAGGGCTGTTTTCAGTGTGGAAACGAGGTTACAACCCCAAGTGGAAGGAATCCACCAGAAAAGATCCACCACATCTGAAAGAGCACAGAGTTCTGCAGGCTCCATATTAGCACTACAGGCTGATTTTATCACAAGTGGCTTTGGACCACATCTGTCCACATCAACCCACCCCCACCAGACGCATTAAATGCATACAAATTCATATCAAATAGACAAGCAGCAACATTCCTATTACTATTGTTGCTGTTCTTATTACTATTATTAAATAGTAATACTGGTATCTACATTCTGTGGAATAAACATAAATAGGCAAGATAATTTGGATGCATAGGGCAAATGTCATTAATCAAAAGTCTATGTCATATCAATCTATTTTTTGCATTTGTTACCCTGTGCTGCTGTAATTAGCTCTATTGTGAAGTGGCATAAATTAAGAATCACCTATGGAATGAACTGGGCATGAAATTCAAAGTGTGGATTTTGCAGAATACATTTTAAAACCAACTATCTTATAAACTATAGCAACTATTCCAATTATGCATGCTGTAAATTAATTCAGGAAATCTACAACCCTTCCTGACATGCTGCTGTTCTAATATTATTTAATAAAATATAAATAGGTTTTGTTTAGTTCTAGCATGTCTCAGAATCTCATAGCTTAAAATAGAGAGGCAAAGAATTAATCCTCACCCCAAGGCTCACATCTCAATTGCTAAATGCAAAGCACTTTCTTGTATCACTGAGCCATTTGGAGAATGTAGTAGCTAGGAAGTGATGTTCTAGGAGTTTTATTCCATAAAAGGAAAAAGTATTTAGAAATGCTTGGCTTTCAAAACTGTTCTCTTCTTACAGCTCATCTGACCACAGCAGGGAAGGCTGAATACAAACAATCAGTAAACTTACCCTCTGAGTCACGGCTGAATACCTTGCCAAATTAAGGTGCTTCACTCCATCTTCAGAGCTAGCTTGACTGCTGTCCTCAAGCGTTCTATTTAGCCACAGCAAGCATAAAAAAGGAAAACACATAAACACAAGCATCTAGACACTTTCATACTTTCTTTGGACATGATGTACAGCTGCCAGAGGTAGCACAGGATCACTACTGCCTAGAGGGGAATATTCAGCTTTTAACTAGGATTCCCAATGGTTCATTCAAGGACCAGCTACATGTTACCAATCCTGCTCTCAAGTTACACAGGGAAGTTACACAGAGCAGTACCTGGCCTTCTCTTTCATACTGTTCTCTATTAACAATTATATTGCGCTCAAAAGAGGAGGTACTTCATCAAAGATGAGTGAGCCATTACTTCAACTTTATGGACTACAGCCTCCTCTGTAATTTGAACTATTTTTCAACACTGTAGTTTGATGATATAAACAAAAGGCCAGACTTGGTTTCATCATGGAAGAGGGGAGATTAGCATTCTGCTGAGACTTCCCCATCCTCTCCTCCCAATTGTGGCATCCCATACATCCCCCAAACCTGTTCCAGGAGGTCCTCAAACATAACAAGATAGTCATATTAAGTCCAAGTATCCTTCTAGTCGAGCATTCTGCTCACAGAGTAGCCAGCTGGCTGCATGTGGGGAACTCACAAGAAAGAGTTGCGTCCCACAGCACCACCATGGTTATGTGCCTGAGCAACTGGTGTATATAAGTATACTATCTCTGGTGCTGGAGGAGGCATATAGGACTTTGACAGCCTTATCCTCCATGAATTTGTTTAATCCTCTTTAAAGGCATCCAGATTGAGGGCCTGTGGAAGTGAATGCCATAGTTTAACTATGCACTGTGTGAAGTTCTATCTGTAATCTTGTATCCCCTACAATCAGTTTCATGGGATGGCTCTACTGCTAGCAGATATGCTATGTCCTGGATTGGAGCCAATGCATGGTTTCAATAACTTTGGTACTTTAGATTCAATTTCAAAAATTTGCAAAACTAATAGTAAGTTTATAAATTGTAAGAGAGATGCCAATTAAACTATGTCAAACTAGATGCACTCTTTCTTCTGAGATCCCAGATTTGTATGATCGAGAGATTTAAAATCTGTATGCATGTGAGGTCAATTTTTCTTTTAATGAAGATTCTAAGAATTTAAATTAGCTCTAAAAGGATTTGAGGCCTGTTGACTTTGGGCATGAAATGGTTAATGCTACATGATGGGGCATTCCCTGAAGAACTCTACATGAAGAGCATTCCTGCAATTTAACCTTACAGTGACACCATAGTTAGTTCATTGTAGTGGCACAACTTTTAAAAAATACTTTATTTTGCATTTGCAATAAATACAGTATTTTCTGAACTCTTAAAAATGCCTTGCCAAAAGTACTGTTTAGGCACAGAAGTAAAACAGAAGGGTCATGATATCCTCTAGAGAACCCACAAGCTACCAGGAGTAGGAAAGGATGAGTACACAATAAATGCCTCACATAGAAAACTGGTAGAACAAAAACCACTGTCGGAAGACCAAATAGGGGACATTTCAATTGCACAATCTGAAAATGATCACACTTGGAATCTGATCAATAATAGCTCAGTCCTGATTATTTCTTCAATAAGACAGCCCTTGAAAATAAGAGTTTTCTTCCTGATCTAGCTACACCGAGAAGCCACTATAAAGGTCATGCCCAATGGCCAGTAATACATGATGCTGCTCTGGTTGATATATTCCCCAGATTCTCTCCATCATGCCCCAAGATAAAGGCTTCTGTAAACACAATGCTGTATGTTAGGTCAAAGCAGCAGTTGTCTAAAAGACAACTGTCACAGAAGTGCCCTCTAAATTGAGCAGTTATTAGCAGAGCAGAAATATTTACACCCTCCCACTGTTCTTCTATACTCTGCAAAAAGCCCACAGGAAGGCAGCACAGAGGATGGAAGACTGAGAGTGAAGGAAAGCATAGTATGACCTCTGTAAAAGGAAGAGCTATACAGACTTCATTTCTGAGGTAAGAATTAGGCCTGCAGTGCTTCAGCTAAAGAAACATTCTGGTTCTAGTAGCAACAGAATATAAGGTGTTTCTTATATACAATCCCTTGGGCACAGTTCTACTTTGACAACTGCATCACTGGGGCAGTTTTCAAAAAACCCACACCAAAGATGCAGCTGCCATAGCAGACCAAGTATCCACAGGACAACAGACAGGAAAAAAGAACACCAGGCAGGGCAAAGCAAATGAAGCAAAAGGAATATTGAGATTCTATGGAAGGCTGAAAGGTATTAAACAGGAAGCCTCATCAGCGCAGGCTTCTTCTGCTACAACCTGACTGTGTCAAATGAAATCAAGAGTTCTGGGTTCTAGTTGCTGCTCAGCCATGGAGCTCACCGAGTCACAGACACTCAGCCCGACCTACCTCACAGGGGTGTTGTGAGGATGCGAGTGAGAGGAGGAGGAAAATTATGTAAGCTGCCCTGAGATCCTCAAATGGAAAAAGGCAGGATAAAAACATAATAAATAAATAAATGTCTTACGCAGAAAAGCTGTGCCTCAACCTTTCTTCTAGAATTGGCACTTTGGACTTGCTACTTAGGCAAGTCTCCAGGCTGGAAGTGACCTTTTTTATTTGGTCTCCCAAACAATTAAAGAAACAGGAGGTAGTAAAGGACAAAAGGCCAAGCCAGGAACTAGCTACACACATATATACTGCTTGCTTGCTATATTAACATGCAATGATACATATTACAGGAAAAACAACACAATGCATGAATCAGCATTTTTAAAATCCCACATCTTCCTGTGTGTTACAATCCATAGCTGGCTGGGTTCCGCTTCAGAGATGGGCTGCACAAGAAGATGGATGTTAATATCAGAACTGGGTATGTGCATGTGTGTGTGTGCGCGCACCACTCCAGAGGGTGCTGCAGTGCTCCTGAAGGCAAAGTGTGGGAGCCTGTAGCATCTCAAAAGCGCTCCTTCTGTTGATCAAAGAGATCAAACAGGGAAAGTGAGGGTGAGGGGTGCACCTTCACATTCAAGTTTTATTAAGTCATTAAAGGCCCAGCAAATATGATAAACAGAAGAGAAGATGGCTGAGGAGTTTCTTCAAGCTCAGGGAAACAAGGTTCAATTTGGATGCCAGGAAGTACTTCCTGACAGTTAGGACCCGAGGGTATGGAATGGGCTTCCATGGGAGGTGGCTGAGGCCCCATAGGTGGAGAGTGTTCAAGGAAAGGCCAGACATGTACATGGTAGGCATGTCATGAGTGGAGCCAGCTGGAGCCAGGGGTCAGACTAGATGACCTGTGAGACCCCCTTCTGACTCACTCTGTTTCTATGTTTCAAATCCATTGTGAAGAAGCAGGTGTGATTTCAGCTTTTGCTTCACCTGCTACAAGATGGCATCAGCGATTTATAAAGGTGTCTTCCATCTCCCACCATGCTAAATATCTCTGCTATAGGCCTTGTCCAGCTGCCTTAGAGTAACCGTGCACTGCCACTTTCCCTTGTCCTGAACATATTTCATGTTTCATCTAGAGGAAGATTTGAGAAGCACTATGCCCTACTCTATGGGTTTCTCTGTGTGATGCATTTGCTGGGTACTTGTGATTCCGCACTTGCAGAAGCTTGTGGGTCCCCTTCCACCATGTTACTGTCTCCTGTGGCCTGTAAAGTCAGTTCTTCAATTTCAAAAGTGGAAGTGGGACAAATCAGAATGGTAGTCTCATACCACAGCACTGCCTTATGGTAGGGTAATGGAATATACTGAGAGAGAAGGACAAATTCTGAGGGGAAAACATCTATGTAAAAGATGTCCTCTTCCTCCCACGAAGAAAATGGAAGAAGTCTCAGTAAGATGGCAGATTAAATTACTAATACTGAGAGAAAACCCATGATATAATTCCCCCTGCTCTATAATCCTGATATTGCCTTTGGAATATGCACAGAGATACTATTCACCCATAGGATCTCTGTCAGCAGTGGCTGGATGATTCATTTTTATGACATGTGGGAGGTTTCATCCCAAATATGTCATCTCCCAATGGTTGTACAGTTCTCCATATGAAAGAACAGCTGTACACCTACATGGCAGGAAATAACTGCAGACATCTGATTATACTATTGCAGTAATGGCTAAATCTATTCCCTGGCCTTGGTGACTGTAAAAGAATCCAAGATGTGTTTATTAGCCACTTCCTCCCCCTTAATGTTACCGGAATAAAGAGATGATAGTTGGAGACACTCTCAAGTACACCTCTATAACCGCCAAGTGGTCAGTGAGCCAGTGGAAGGAAACACTTTTTGCCACACTTGGCAGTGTCTACGGAAACATTGCCATTTTTTTTGGACTATAGGATAAATCATGTTAAAAGCATTTATGTTAATAACACAGCTTTTGTGGAACAGAAGTTTCTTAAAAATATTATTGAAGTGCCAAAAGCTATGTTTGTTCTTAAGTCAGGAAAGTGCTGAAAAGCCATGTTGTTCTTAAGTGGGGTGCATCATGTTTTGTCCCCAACAGCTGCATGTGATGCTGGATTGGGAGTTAGAGTCTACACACACCTGGATGGGGTGGTGGGAAAAGAGCAATCTGTTTGAGGATCTCCAGGGGAGAGATGGAGAGTTTAGGCGACATGGGATCTGGCAGTACTGGGGAAGCCAGGACATCTTCGCGGGGGCCCAGCTCACACCCCAGCAGAACAGCTGAGCAAAACAATAGTTGCTACACTAGTGCCAGAGGAGGAGAGGATCCTGTTGCCTTCACTCTCTGGTACATGGAATGGAAGAAAAGGAGACAGGAGAAACAGTGGTGCTTTCTTTGCTCAGATATTGGTCAGGCAACTGGAAGGCAGGAGCTGATTTGCTTTTTTGTTTAGCGCCTAGACAGAATGCTGCCTGCATGTTTCCCTTTGCTTCTCTGTGCAGTGGTAACTGAAGGAAAGAGAAAGCAGCTGTGTGGCTCCACTGGCATCCGCATGGCTACAACCTTAAGTACTGATCACCTGGGATATGTCATTTTTCCTTATTCTACTGACAGTTTATTCTAAACTATCAGCAACAGCAAATTAAAAGTAAACCAAAGATGGAAGTGAGAGCTACCCACTGAAATCAGTGTAGAAAGTTGTTAACATAGTTGGGACAGGACACTAGTGTGTCCACCCCTCTAACAAACCTAAACAGATCACTGAGGGATGAATAAGTTTGGTGGAAATGGAATATAAATTTTGCTCTGGGCATGGTGAGAGTCAGAGGAAATGGACTGGTTGCAACCTTCAACAGAAGCATTCTATACTCTTAACATTTTGTTTCAGGACCCACTTCAGTACTCTAATGGAGAGCACAATCTTTCAAAACAGCACCATTCACACTCAAAAGTATGTGTGTGCGGGGGACAATAGGCTTGGGGAATCCCTAGTGTTTGCAGAAGTGCACATAAGCTTTACGGTGGTGTCTCCAACTTTTTTTGACCTGTGGGCACATTTCAGAATTTGAAAAACTTCAAAAGACCTAATCAGTGGACAGTTACTTTGGTTTTTATCTTCATGCCAGTGGATCTCCAGCTACATCTTACTGAGTGAAAACATTTGCGGTGCATCTATTGGATGCCACATATCTGTTTCATAAAGGATTGTCTAATTCAGATAACTGCTGGCAAAGAATTCAGCTAATGCTTCATTAAAAATATGTTTTGACAATGTCTGGTAGTTGCTTCTTTTTGGAAGGAGGTTATCACACAGATATACTTTGTATTGGAACAAGTCTTCATATTCTCTGATGTGCACACACCTTTAAATTATTTGCCAGCATTATGGAATTTAACAGATCAAAGAGGAAACAAACAAATCATGTGTGCCCTTTTGACAGCTAAAGGACTGTTATTACAAAATTGGAAAGTTAAACATTTACCTCCTATAATGCAATGGATTGAGGTCCTTCTTCTTCAAATACATGAACAGGCCTAAAGACATGACCTTCAAATCAATACTTATTTGACTATTTAGTCTGCTTTTGTTGAAGCCAATGTATAATTGCCAGAAAGATTTAACAGAAATTGTAACAATAAAAATTCAAGTACCTGCACAAACCATGCTGGGAATGCCTTTGCAGGTGCCACTGGAAGTGGGTGCTGTGCATAGTGCTGAGGATCATTGCTTCAGGGGAAAAGAGCTAAAGGGAGGGAAGTGCTAAAATAGCCAAATGAATTCTGCAATGCTCAGTGGGGAGCCACTGAAAAAACAGGTGGGTGGAGCAATGGAATGGAGTATCATGAACAAAAGCAAATCACACTGGAAACATTTCTTGGAGGTCTCACTTATTAACAGCATGACAAACAGGATGTTTTCATTGCCAAGTAGTACCGGAACTGCTTTTTTGTCTGCTTAAGTGTGTAAAATCCATTTATCATGCAGATTGACCTGTACCTCTTCCATACTTATTAATGGTGTCTAGATAATATTCAAGAAAGTTGAAAAAAGAATGCAAACTAAACAAAAATGACATCTGAACAAGATAGGGGAAGTTATAGCCTTTACAAATGTTACTGCTGACCAATGATCCAAAATCTTGATACTCATGATTATTGCTATTTGTGGCTAACAGTTTGAATATCATTCAACATATCAACAGCTGTTTTGAACAGTTTTTAGTGTAAGTTTGCATTGTTAATACATTGCCTTAAAGCACAAAACAAAAGCAGAGTAGCTCTCCTGAAAAATTACATAAAGCTTATTTACTATGCATATTGACATGCACCTTTACAACATGTTGCCCTGTGCTATAAAATAATCCTGTTTTAGAAGAAGCCACTGGTATGAACACCAGTGGCTCCAGGAAACATTAAGGGGCTCTAACCTAGGCAATTTGTTCTGGTAGTAGTATCCAAGCATACATATTTTATGTCCAACAATGTAAAAAATTTGGCTGCATTATTTGTTACCATAGGAACCTATTATAGATTGAATTTGCAATTCCAAAATCAAGGAGATATTTTAGGAAAAGAACAAAAAACATAGTTAAATATAGTAAAAATGTCTTTTTACTTTTGCCCTGCTAGCACACTTTTTGCTTCCTAGGATTAGTTTTCCATTATGGCATTGCAGTGTTTTATTTCAGTCTCATTTTATTTTGGATTTTCTTTTAAAATACTGCCAAACAGCAATTTTCAGTCAGTTTAATAACTCTTTTGAATGAAAAGGCTTCCTTTTGGGAAATTAAACATGCATCTTTTTAGCAACAGCATCCCCTGATACAGCATTAATTGAAAAGGGATTTTTATTTTACAAGTCATTTGATTAAGATAATTCTCATGCAACAAAAATAGGTTCACTTTACCTTTTATTGTTTTGCCCATGTTCTCTTTTACTTGCATGCCTTTTCTTGTCTAAGAGATTTTCTTTGGGTTCCTGTCCCAGGAGGAACAGATTACGAAATGTCCACCATCTCTTTTGAGTCGAAATATGTTCTAAATTCAGTGCATCTGTGATTAACATATAATATCTGAGGATCAGGAACTAGGAGGCAACACTGTGTCTTATGTAATTTGCAAAAAATTTTCTATAAAGATTAGAGTTGCACTAAGAAAAAATCCATTAGAGTTTATTTTAAAAGTACAAATTAAGCTCAATCTGACGGAAACTGACATTTTGAAGAAACTGCAGCTTCAAGCACACTGAACATAGGAGGAAAAGAAGGACGATTATTTTAAGGACTAACTCCTTAACAACTCTGAAAAGAAGTTTATAAAATTAAAGCTTTTTGCTTTATACTTGTGAGAAAGGAGTTGCCCACCTTTGAAGACACTGCAGCAGGAAGAAGGTTAAATGAAGGAAACCAGATTTCTTCAGAAAGTACATTAGAACCATAATTAGGATGCTCTGGCTTGAGCATACTACTACCCAATATCACAGATACTGTAATAGTTTACAACAATCAGCATGAAAACAAACCAGGGAAATCAAGATGACATCTGTCTGGCTACATAGGGCCTAATAAGACCCAATAAACAGTCAACCACCACTGAACCCGAATTTACTTTTAGTATACAATGTTTGCAGGAATAGGGAAAAACTGGATTTGAGATGACTAGATTAGGCATTTGAGTGGGCTTTGTCCAAGAGTGTTATGCCGGCTTGAAGAAGGCTGGAGAACTGAGAAAGCAAAACCTGACATTCTGTTAAATCCTGTAGAGTGATTCCTAAAGTCTGGTGCAAAGTGAAATGCTGAGCCAAGGTCCAAAGAAGAAGGGGTATTAGAGCAGCATAGAAAAAACAATCCTTGAGTAGAATATCAGAAGAGATTGTTCAGAGACATCTTCCTTTTATTCACAATAATAAGTTCAGTCACTTGCATCCCATCGCGCTTGCACCCCATAAAATTGATGATTGAGAGAAGAAAGAAGAAACCAGAGCACATCCAAAATATTTGGTGGTGAGGGACAACGCATAGGTGAAATATGGAGTCTGGAGTTCCACTCTTACAGTTTAAAGGGAGAGAAAAAAAGCAAGAAAGCTGTAGGTATGACCAGAGTTGGGCTGGCTGATAGATTTGTGGCATCAACTTTCATAGTATCAGGGGCTAATTTGTGTGATTGTTCAGACAGTGGTTCAACACTGGTTCAGACAATACCATCTAACCCACACTCACTTTTTGAATACAAATGTGTTGTTGAAATGTGGGTCATTGTATTTGTCTGAACCCAGCTGTACAAACAAGGCATGACTTGTTAACCAAGAACAAGCCATGAAAAGAACCCGTGGTTTGTTGTTGAGTTGTGAACCACGGGTTGTTGCCATAGCTGTTTACCATGGCTTGTTATATTGGCTGGTTTCAGACAAGATCATACTCCATGTTGCAACAAAAATTCACAGTTCAATGACAGCCCACACTCCAGTTGTTTGAATCCAGTCTGCATTATGCTAATTCTTCCACAATAGCTTACTTCTTAAGCTATTTTTATGACAAACTTTCTGGTTCTTGCAGTTACAAACCCAAATGCTAAGAACAGTAGCTTAACCCACCCACCCCATTTCCCCTCCTCCTCCATGATACTTTTTTCTTGGCAGTCATTTTTGACTACACCAGTATGAAATTGTACAGCTCTGAATTACCATCAAAGCTGAAGTCACCAGACCCTCTCTCACCAAAAAGGAAACTGAAATAGCAACCTGCCCCCTCCCATTTTTCCTGCACCTGCAGAACTCTACTGGAGAGTGCATTATGTGCTTACACTGTGCACGCAGACACAAATGCACATACAGCTAGTGACCTTTGGAAGCCCTCCCACATCTTTCACAATTTGAGCACTGTGCATTTATGGATGAAACTCCATCATGTTATCAACATGGTGGATACTGTACTGTGTTCATTAGCATATGCCCCTAGAGCAACTACTGCATTTTGAAAAAATGACAACACTGCAGTGCACTGCACGCAAGAGGGTCTCTAGTACAGATATTCCCTCAGCATCCAAGAATTGATAGATCATGCATGGAAAAAACCCCTAACTCCAAGTATGTGTTATCAGTCTTGCCTTTTGCAGAGAGAGGGGTAGAAAAAGAAGAAAAAAAGGAGGAGGAAAGAGAGAGAGCTTTAGATACACATCTAATTCCAGGTTTGTAAAAGTGACTTTTAATTTAGCCCTCAGCTTACTGAGGTGCAAACTCTGATTCTCAACAAGAGCTCAAAATTCTCAAATAGGGGTACAACAACCTGTTACTCAATTAAACCAGTGTGCTCATTAAATAAACAGTTAAAATTGAATGAAATGATTTGCTGAACACCCTGTAGCCTTTCAAGTCACTGGTATTCTTGCTATCAGGATGCAATGCCTCAAAGTCAAATTTTACATACTTTACCAACTCACACAAAAGTTCTTCCTCTTAAAAAAAAGAAAAGGGCAAGGCATGTCCCTCAGATATTACATTTTGAAGCCACCGAGACTTTTTCCAACACAAAGTTTTATATGCAAGTCTCAGGAGACACTGTAACTTTCCATGATATTTATGGCAGCATTCACATCCACTTGAAATGCTTTTACAACCGGCACTGATGTGTTCTTTATTTTTTGCTAAAATACTCAACACACATTATGCAAGTATTAAGTTCCGTGTCCTATTCTATTTTTCCTTTATTGAAGGATTTTAATTACATAGAACCACAGTGGCTTTGAAAGTAAATTTAATCCATACAGTTTTCAAAATAGAAAAGACTTCACAGCCTCAGTCGAACTGGTCATACTGCCTGGAAAGAAGAAGGATCGAATGAAATTGACAGGATGCCAGAATGTCTTTCATCTCCATAGTGCTTGCTAATATGACATGTATAAAGAAGGAGTGCAGAACGTCTTTCAGCCAAGGGCCAAATTCCACTCTGGGGAAGTCCTTGGGGACTGTATTCCAGTGGTGGGTGGGACTGGTGATTTTTCCTCTGAGGGGGCAGCAAATTTCAGCTTAATGTGCTTAAGTAGCAAAGCTTTAGAAAAGGCAATTCAAACCATTTTAACAGAAAGAAAACTGCACAAAGCCAGGAATTCACCAAACTTTCAGTGGTTGGAAGAAAAGGAATGTGGGCCACCTGGGGAAGTCCAAAGAGTTGGACTGCAACACCAGGCGGGCTCAATTTGGTGGCTAAGCCTCCAATTCTGCATCCTTGGTCTAACATCTGGTTCGTATGACCATTCACTGCATAGCAGTTGCCATTATCAATCCCATATATTGGAATTATAAAATAGTTAATGTAAATAGAAGTTTAGGGTTACTGTTATTGCAAATGCGGTTTCCAAATACAGACACAAGCAAGTTTATTGCATGAAAACTACCAGTTAATCTGTTTCTGTGAATTGCTCCTTGGTTCTCAGTTTACAGAATGGATGAGATTCCCAATCTGAAACTATTCTGAGTAAAAGCAGGGTTTCCAGATGGATGGATCCTAGCACTAACAATTAAGAGGAACTGTACAGCTATGGATCTCTCTCTCCTTAACATACTTCTTTGTGGTAAGAAGAACAACTGGAAGAAGAAATAAGAAAACAAGGGACAGTTATCAATAGAAGCCAGCATTATCCAGGAACCACCCCTCTGACACAGCAAATTTCAGTGAATGAGATGGGATGATAGCACAATAAAAACACAATCTGAAAGTAGCCCTGATTTGTCTCAACCCACGGTGTGAACAGACCCTTACTCACGCAAGACATGAGCTGTGGCTTGCAGATTTTAACATCTCTGGCTTCAGTGCTTAATTTCTTAAGAAACAGTGCCAAGTCAAGGTCAGCCAAAGACAGAACCTGGAAGCTAAGCTCTGGCTCAAAGGAAGGTGATAGCCTTGAGCAAAATGTAATGGGAGCCTCCTGTTCTTACATTTTTACCATCATTGAACTGAGCAGGAGTTGAGAATTACTTACATTGTAAGATAAATAATAACAGCCTATATTTTAATCATAATCATAATAAGATCAGTAATAGGTAGCCCTTCATAATTTCACTGAAAAAACATCCAAACTGTTGAGGCATTCTACCTACAAATGAAAGAAATGGAAAACTTGAACACTTAATACATTGTTGTATTCATACACATATGGTACTTGTTAAGTGTAGAAAATAAGCTACTCATACCTATGAGGGATGTCTGAAGCTTGGTGTCATCACTGTCAAGGAGGCATGTGGCACTGGACGTCAAGAAGGGAAAATAAATTGGTGGCACAAGTGTTGAACTGAGCCAAGTTGCACCGTCCTATTTTATATTAAAGAAAAAGGCAAATTCCTGTTAGAGGGGAGCCAAGTTTTATCCAACTCCAGTTCAAACAAGCTAGACTGGAGTCGGCAACCTTAAACACTCAAAGAGTCATTTGGACCTGTTTTCCACAGAAAAGAAAACACCAGGAGCCACAAAACTCTTTTGACATCTAAAATGAAGATAACACTGCATATATAGTTTCTTACCTTTATCCTATGTATAAAAAAACTATAGTGTGTTGTATTTATGAAATCAATGAATGATTCTTTTATATAATCTCCATCTGTGAACGGCTTCCCGTGCCTGACTATTTCCTGAGCGGTCACAAAACTAGCATATGTAGTTGAATTTGCAGACTTAATCCACTTCTTGAGATGATTTTTGCTCAGATCAACCTTCCGCATCAGTTCCGAAATGGCTTTTTTCTCTCATCTCCATCCGGATATTTTTCAGCAAAGGCTGTGTATTTATTCTGGAAATGTCTTACAACATTCGACTTCTTGTTGTTTGCCAATTTCTCACCACATATTAAGCATACTGGTAAACCAGTCTTGTCAGCAGTGAAAGCAAATGAATCTGCCCACATACCATTAAACATTTTGTTTTCTTCTGAAACGTTTCTTTTCTTGGATTTATCCATGGTTGGCCTATCAGGGGTCGAAAAGCTCAATAAATTGTGTGCTGGCAGGTGTCGCACATTGGCGGTTGTGACGCATATTTTGAGCGCCAGGGAGCCACAGCAGAGGGATGAAAGAGCCACATGAGGCTCCAGAGCTGCTGGTTGCTGACCCCTGAGCTAGACCCTCAGATCCATCCTAGCATACAACTGTCCCTTCTTAAATAATTCACTTAACCTTTTCTGCACCATTTGTCAAGAACAGATTCACATTGTAGAACAAATACCACCTTTAGATGTGACCATCAATACCAGACACAGGCAATGGGGGTTATTCTCATGTAATGTCAGGAAGTCATGGATTAATTATTCCACAACTTGCCATGGCGTGAGGTGAGTTACACAGCCATTCTGAAAATTAGCCTGATTGAGTGATCAGTGATTGCTGTTATGCCCAAACTCAGACATTACAGATTAATCATGGATTAAACAACCCACAGTTAACCCAACTACTAATTTTATATTAATTATGGAATATTTAATCAACAATTAGCATATAGTGTCTGGGTTTGAACATTATATATCAATCCTTCATCCTCTGTTGCGGGATGAATACTCAAAATGGCTGTGAAATGTGTCCGGCACACAACATGGCAAACTGTGGGTTACTTAAACCATGTTTTTCCTCTGTTGTATGCAAACCATTCTTAGTCTGTTACAAAAACGAAGTTCGTGGCACCTTAAATACCCACAGAGTTATTATAGCGTACGTTTTTGTCAACCAGAACCAACTTTGTTAGATGGATGAATTGTTGCCAGATACACATATACATGACGAAAGGAATGCCAGCTTTACCTATGTGCACACGTGTACACACAAGAGTGAAATGGTAAAACAGCGGGCCAAAGGTCATAGTTGCAAAAGGTACCAGATGGCATTTTTCTAGGAAATGTCACCACTATTCAAACCAAATTATTCAAACAGCAGCAGCAACTACATGGATCTAGATTCATGTGTTGGTGACTTTCAGGTCACATTATTGTAAAGCAAGTGTGGGCAGGAAGATGTCCGGATGTTTTCAACTTCAAGCATTCCTGATTATTGGCCAGTGCTGGATTTGACTTTTGAGGCCACAAATAGACTGCAGTCCTGATTATTAGACCAAAATCTCTCTCTTGTATGAACATTCTTAAGATCAACAAATGCAACTTGGCTAGAAATTCCCTCTTTGGTGGAAGACCCTGCTTTTCATAAAGGCCAAAATAGCCTTCCATGAAGGAGAGAATCTCTAGCCAAGTTTCATTTGTTGATCTTAGGGATGTTCCTGTAAGAGGGTGCTGTAGGCTCGATTTTCCGGAGTGCCTTCCCGTGGTGTAATGGTGTCAGGATTCACTAGGTTAGTCAAAGCACCAGGGTTTATACTAGCAGGGGCTATGCCAGAATTGTTACCCCCTCCCCACTCGCACTTCCCTATTCCCTCTGAGTTTAGCAGCAATCCTCACAGTAGTTGGGGTGGGGGACTGATTTTTCTAGCAGCAATATGTTATTGAGATGTATCCCAGCCACAAATACAACAGACAGATACAAAGACTAGGAGAATTGCCACAGTGAGTCCCCTACACTTCAAAAGGTATATCTGAGCTTTATCCAGAAAATTTTCTCACATTTGATGGCATTTTGGCCTCACCACAGACCATTCTATCCTCAGTACCCATGTGCATGCCAGCTGAGAATACATTCCATGCACGAGACAAAAACTTGCACCTCAAATTGGTTTGCCTTTAATCTGTAACGCAACTGATGCTCCAATAATCAAGGGCAACTAATCACAACTTACAACCAAAACAACTCAAAATACCTTGAAGCCTATGGAATACACCTAATACCGACTGAATGATCTGGTTCACTCTAACTAGAAAAGTAAATTTACAGCTTTCATCAGAGTGAAGCCTTCTGCCAGGCAGTTAAGACAGAGCAGGAGGAACAGTGGAAGGGATTTCATTCCTGCCTCTGCTAAAATGCACAAATTCTGGCAGATGGCCCTCTGAACCTGTTTAGCTGGCTTACAGCACATTGGGCAAGGCCTGGAAGAGAAAGACTTTCTGCAGTGGCTAAGAAAGGGGTGGGGGTGGGGGTGGGGAGATGGCCTAATGGTAGATTCCTTCTACCAAGTCATAGGAATACTACAGTTTAGGAGGGCAAATACATCCAATGCCCACTGGGATGTTTTTCTAGACAGTATAGGATTTATCTGCTCAGATCTCAAATAAGCAAAATAGATTTACAATAATGGAAAGAACAGTTTTATCTATAAGTGGAGACAGTTACTAACTCTTTAGCTCAGGGGTCCCCAATCTTGGGTGCCTGCACTCCCAAGGGGTACAATATGGCATTTCTGGGGGCATGACAAAGTGAACAGCTGCATCGTGATTTGCCAGAACTAATAAAGTCTTTATTATTATTTTGTTTGCATTTGGGTTCAGTTCTCTTTGGTCAAGCAAGCCAAAATCTAGGAATTGCCTGAATCCACAGGAAGGCTTGTGGATAGTAATCTGCAAGAAAGTTCCAGGTTTTGACAAAATCACAAATGAGAAGCACAAACAAAGTCATTGAATTTTATATTCACAATTAGTATTGATTTTACTGATTATAGTTTTTTCTAACTGCTCACTTCATATTTGAATGTTATGCACTGAGTTAAAAGCTTAATTGTTTTAGTTCAATTTGTTCACCCACAGGAGTGTATGTGGTTCAATTTGTGGTTCAAAAATTAGAAATCTGACTTGTCATCTTCAAATGTGATATTACTTTTGGAGGGAGTCCAAACATAAATCAAATATTTTCTAGGAGTGCAGGGCATAGGAAAGGTTGGGAACCACTGCTTCAGCTGAATTGGACTGCACAATTAATGCAGTTCCACTAACAGAGGTATTCAGAACACTGTTTGATCCAGTTTTACGATTTCAGTTATTGAGGCCTGATGACATAGATAAGGTGATTGGTCAAGTCTGACCCACCACCTGTATGCCTGACCCTTGCCCATTATGATTTATTATCAGAATCAAGGCATTTGTATTTGGGCCCAGGAGGCTAAAAGGTAATCTTCTGGGGTCTTTCTCCAGGATCCCCCTCCAAAGGAAGAAAAGAAGGTGCCCACCAGGAGAAAGTCCTTCTTGGTTGTGGCACTCCCACTATGGAACAAGCTCTCCAAAGAGGTGAGCCTGGCATCTACCCTCTATTCTTTTCAGCACCAGGTGAAAACTGTTTTATTTTCCCAGAATTTTAACAATTAACCTTTTAGTCTTAGTTTTAATATCCCATTTTATTCTGTATGGCTGCTGTACCTCTGTACCAATCTGATTGCAACTGCTGCAGTTTTATAGTTTTACTGTCATATTGTTTTATGATCTTATATGTGGGGTGGTTGTTGCTGTTGTTGTTGGCCTTTGTTTTATGTTTATAGGTTTTTAGCTTTTAACTTTGTTAACTGCCCAAAGAGCCCTTGGCTACTGGGTGGTATAAAAATAAATAAATAAATAAAATACTATATCCACCTCCTTATACTCAGTGAGGATGACATTGCAAACACCCTCTCTGAGCGCCCCCCCCCCCTTGAAGTAGTAAATATCCTTCATGTGCAGAGCAAAGAGGCTTCCAATATTGTTTCATGACAATATCTAGGTGACTATTTTGGTCTTCTACAACAAAGAAAAAGGAGAAGTGGGATGATATGTATAAATAGGTATTGTTTTCACACTCTGCTCCATTCCCATGTTGAGGACAGAGGTAGGCTCAACAGATGAGATTAGCACTATTGCTGACTCAAAATGTCAGTTGAATGTCTGAGAAACTCCTGGGTCAAAGGCCAGGAGAACAGTCTTAAAGGAATACTTGCAGTATTTTAGCTTGTCATCTATTAGAAACTAATGGATTAGAAATTACCTTTGAATACTGTTTTATGGAAAAGTAAAAAAGTATCATATTAAACACATCCAGAACTGATGCAATGCATTGTAATTTAGTCTAAATTTTGTACTTTTCACTAAACATGTAGCAGACAATGTATTTATTTATTTTTTCAAGCAAGGGAGTCCTTTGCCAAAATACATTAATTTATATAGAGGCAAAGCACAAAGCAAACTGAAAAGATAACTTGAGGGAGCCATCCGTAAAAGAGCATGTAGCTTGGCCAGCTGCCCATGGGTTTGGACACTGGATAATACTACTGGGATTACGATGAAAATGTTAAAATAGTTATCCCACATTGCTTATTTTTAGTGGCATCAACTCTAGTTCATCCAAGAGTTCTTTGACCAAAGGCCTGTTTATACAAAATTTAGGCTGTTTGCATGTCCAATCACTGGGTTCACCTTGTCCCAG